TGGCCGAGGCCCATAGGTCAGTGAAGGGCTCGAGGAGGAGCTGAAGGAAATCTTTCTTCCTGTAGACTGGGTGCAGCCTCTCCTCTCTCCGGCAATGCCCCAGCGTGGCCAAGTGCCTCTTCACGTCTTTCTCCCCACTCTTGGCACAGCTGAGGTAAGCCTCGCACACTGTGCAGTAGAAATTGTCCCCGCACTCAGGCACCGGCTGGAGGCACGGGAACTTGATGACCCACTCAGTTTTGAATTGGTGGGAACGTTGCTTTGTACCTCTCTTCGCACATTCCTTCATGTTCCCCTCGCCCTTCCCCAGCGTCTGACTCCGAGACGTTCCCACTTTCCACTCGAGACGCCTCAGGAGGCCTCGATCGGAAAATCCGGCAACAAAACTATTTTCGGGCCTTTCGTTTGCGGAGAGCTGTGCAGATTATTCCCCCCCCCCCCAACCCACCCCACACATACACACCCTCCTCTTTGCTGGGTAAGCATCACAATAACAGCCTGTGACAATGTATGTGGGTGTTCGCCTTGCTATGTGGAGGCTTTTAGCTCTCGCTCCCAGCGAGGCCTGATGGACTGTGAAGTCACTCTCCCTGTAAACTCCCCACCAACAATAATGATAATAACTAGATGGACCTCGGTCTTCTTTTGCCGAGCAAATTCTTTCTGTAAAGTGTAATAATGCACATTTTATTATTATTTTTATTTTATATTATTACTGTAAAGTGTAGTGACTGTATAGGCGGCAGCCAATTGCGCACAGCAGTGTCCAACAAACAAATCGTGGATTGGGTAACCAAATTATTATTTTTTTGTTTTGGAAAGATTATTACCCCCGGAAAATGATCTGCCAATCAACTAACAAGCGGGATACTACTTACTGCTAGGCAAAAACAGGCGTGAGAGTAAGGAAACTTGCCTAGGGTTTGGACCTGCTTGGGAATCGAACCCGGGTCCTCTCGCTTGCGAGGGGGGAGAAGTGGGGAGGCGCAGGGAGTACAGGTGGGGGAGGGGGCAGCTCGGATAGGTAGCTGAAATTTACAGGCCCAGCCCAGTGTTGTGTCTCCACGACAACAACCAAGCCAGAACTCCCTCCCCCACACCCCCGCAACTTCCCATCCCCCACCACATCTCTCTCCCCACCCCCCCCATTCTGTCCATTGATTGATGTCACAGATAAAACAATAGATCAAAGTCTTCTAAGCATGAAATTACCTCACAACACACACACACACACACCTCACCTGGACCTCAAACACACCTCACTTACACCACACACACCTCACCTGGACCTCACACACATCTCACCTGCACCTCACACACACCTCACCTGCACCTCAAGCACACCTCAGATCCACCAGTGAGACACCAGCTGCCCTCAGCCCCAGCTTCACTGGCACAAGGCTCTGCTGCCCTCAGACCAGTAGACGTTAGCAGGATTAACACGCAGCGCAGTACACAGCGTGATCCTTCAGCAGCTCAGCTCACAGATTGGTTATAATCATAGACATTTACAGCACAGAAGGAGGCTCTCCCGGGCAGGACGAAACCTTCGGCAAGTTTCCTTACATTACGCACGTCTGTTTACCGAGCAGTGAGCAGAAACCCGGTTGTTAGTTGATTGGCAGATCACTTTCCTGGTGTAATACCTTTTAAAAAAAATCCTCAACTGTTTGTAGGACAGTTCTCTCTATTACTCTCTCTCTCACTCTCTTTCACAATCTCTCCTCTCTCTCACTCTCTCCTCGCTCTCTTCTCTCTCTCACATTCTCTCCTCTCACTCACTCTCTCCTGTCCCTCACTCTCTCCTCTCATATTCTCTCCTCTCTCTCACTCCTCTCTCTCACATGTTCTCCTCTCAGTCACTCTCTCCTAACTCTCACTCTTTCCTCTCACATTCTCTCTCTCACTCTCTCCACTCTCTCACTCTCTCCTCTCACTCACATTCTCTCCTCTCTCTCTCTCTCTCTCATCTCTCTCACTTCTCTCTCACATTCTCTCCTCTCACTCTCTCCTCTCTCTCTCACATTCTTTCCTCTCACTCTCTCCTCTCTCTCACTCTCTCCTCTCACTCTCACATTCTCTCCTCTCTCTCACTCTCTCACTCTCACATTCTCTCCTCTCACTCTCTCCTCTCTCTCTCACATTCTTTCCTCTCACTTACTCTCTCCTGTCTCTCACTCTCTCATCTCACATTCTATCCTCTCTCTCACTCTCTCCTCTCACTCACTCTCTTCTGTCTCTCACTCTCTCCTCTCACTCACTCTCTCTTCTCACTCTCCTCTCACTCACTCCTCTCACTCTCTCTTCTCACTCACTCTCTCCTCTCACTAACTCCTCGCACTCTCACATTCTCTCCTCTCTCTCACCCTCTCCTCTCACTCTCACATTCTCTCCTCTCTCTGACTCTCCTCTCTCTCACTCTCTCCTGTCTCTCACTCTCTCCTCACTCTCTCCTCTCACTCACTCTCTCCTCTCACTCACTCCTCCACTCACTCATTCCTTTCTCCCACTCTCTCCTCTCTCCCACTCTCTCCTCTCTCCCACTCTCTCCTCTCACTCACTCTCTTCTCTCTCCCACTCTCTCCTCTCACTCACTCTCTCCTCTCTCTCTCTCTCTCTCTCTCACTCCTCTCTCTCACATTCTCTCCTCTCTCTATCTTACTCTCCTCTCTCTCACTCTCTCCTCTCTCTCTCTTCTCTCTCACTCTCTCCTCTCTCTCTCACTCTATCTTACTCTCCCCTCTCTCTCTCACTCTCTTCTCTCTCATTCTCTCCTCTCTAATTCTCGTCTCTCTCTCACCCTCTCCTCTCTCACCCTCTCCTCTCACTTTCTCCTCTCTCTCTTCCTCTCTCTCACTCTCTCTCTCATTCATCTTTCTCACTTTCTCCTCTCTCTCACTCTCTTCTCTCTCTCTCACTTTCTCCTCTCTCTCACTCTCTCCTCTCTCTCTTACACTCCTCTCTCGCACTCTCTCTTCTCTCTCTTACTCTCCTCTCTCTATCTCTCATTTTCTCCTCTCTAATTCTTGCCTCTCTGTCTCTCACCCTCTCATCTCACACTCCTCTCTCTCTTCTCTCTCACTCTCGCCTCTTTCTCTCTTCCTCTCTCCTCTCTCTCACTCCTCTTTCCCACTTTCTCCTCTCTCTCACTCTCTCCTCTCTCTTACTCCCTCCTCTCTCACTCTCTGCTCTCTCACATTCTCTCCACTCTAACGCTCTCCCCTCTAACATTCTTTCTCTCACTCTCTCCTCTCTCACCCTCTCTTATTCTCGCCTCTCTCTCTCACCCTCTCCTCTCTCTCTCTCACTTTCTCTCCTCTCTCTCACTCTCTCCTTTCTCACCTTCTCCTCTCTCTACTCTCTTCTCTCACTCACTCTCCTCTCTCAAACGCCCCTCTCTGTCACTCTCTCCTCTCACTCACTCTCTCTTCTCTCCCACTCTCTCCTTTCTCACTCACTCACTCTCTCCTCTCTCTCTCTCTCTCTCTCTCTCTCACTCCTCTCTCTCACATTCTCTCCTCTCTCTATCTTACTCTCCTCTCTCTCACTCTCTCCCCTCTCTCTCTTCTCTCTCACTCTCTCCTCTCTCTATCTTATTCTCTCTCTCACTCTCTCCTCTCTCTCTCCCTCTATATTACTCTCCCCTCTCTCTCACTCTTCTCTCTCATTCTCTCCTCTCTAATTCTCGCCTCTCTCTCACCCTCTCCTCTCTCACCCTCTCCTCTCTCACTTTCTCCTCTCTCTCTTCCTCTCTCTCACTCTCTCTCTCATTCATCTTTCTCACTTTCTCCTCTCTCTCACTCTCTTCTCTCTCTCACTTTCTCCTCTCTCACTCTCTCCTCTCTCTCTTACACTCCTCTCTCGCACTCTCTCCTTTCTCGCACTCCTCTCTCTCTTACTCTCCTCTCTCTCTCACTATCTCTCACTCTCTCCTCTCTAATTCTTGCCTCTCTGTCTCTCACCCTCTCATCTCTCACTCCTCTCTCTCTCTTCTCTCTCACTCTCGCCTCTTTCTCTCTTCCTCTCTCCTCTCTCTCACTCCTCTTTCCCACTTTCTCCTCTCTCCCACTCTCTCCTCTCTCTTACTCCCTCCTCTCTCACTCTCTCCTCTCTCTCACTCTCTGCTCTCTCATTCTCTCCACTCTAACGCTCTCCCCTCTAACATTCTTTCTCTCACTCTCTCCTCTCTCACCCTCTCTTATTCTCGCCTCTCTCTCTCACCCTCTCCTCTCTCTCTCTCACTTTCTCTCCTCTCTCTCACTCTCTCCTTTCTCACCTTCTCCTCTCTCTACTCTCTTCTCTCACTCACTCTCCTCTCTCAAACGCCCCTCTCTGTCACTCTCTCCTCACACTCACTTTCTCCTCTCACTTTCTTCTCTCTCAAACTCTCTTCACTCTCTTTCCTCTCTCTCACACTTTCCTCTCTCATTTGTCCTTTTCTCCCTTTTCCTTGCTCTCCCACTCTCTTGCTCTCTCCTCTCTCTCACTCAAGCTCTGCCCCCTCACTCGCTTGCTCTCTCTCATATTGTTGAGACATTTCAAAGTGCACAGTGATCAACCTCACTGATCTCCTCTGTCTCTGCCTCTAACACTGGGGATCATCCTTGTCACTCTCTCCTCACTACCCCTACTCATTGGCCTTACTCTGTTTTTAACCTGGGAGTGTCTACAGACTGCAGAGGGAGTGTTACTCTGTTGCTGACCTGCGAGTCCTGGATGGACACTGTTGAAGTGGCTTTACTCTGTTTCTAAGCCATGTTCAAGTCCTGATCTGGGAGGCTTGAATAAATAATATATCATAATATAATAATTCTTACATTTGATATCGCTCCTTATAACATCATTGAGAGTCTCACAGTGCTTCACGGGATACACTGTAAAGTGAATTGACTGTGTATTTTGTGGCAAAATATTCTAACCCAGAGGTGAGTGAGTAAGCGAGTGACAGAGCCAGCTGGCCCGAGCCTTTAATGATTTGAGTTAACTCTCCCTTTTCCCAGCAATGTCTCACTGGGGCCCGTATAAACTGGACGATGGCACATCCTTTGCCACCAATTGCTTTCCAATTCGGAAGTCCTTCCAGCAGAGAAACGAAGGTATTGTCACAACTCTCTCCTAGGCTGGATCATTCCTTTATGTACACATACACATTGTTCCACAGATAGATGGGACCTAGACACCTTGTGGTAGCTAATTTGAATACATCCCACAAGCATCCTGAAGTATGACTGAATGTATCTGGGGGGGTTGTCAGCCAGGACACTGGGAGACGGAAACTCTATCCCGTGTTTCAATGGGGATGTCAGTTATCTGGAGGATTGTTGGCCAGGGTGTAACCCATCACTGTGATGAGCCAGGTGTCTGACACACACGGAAACCCGTCAACTTGATCAGCTGGGTGCCTGTTTTTGATGACAAGTGGCTGAGTGTGGAAGGGACTGTGGCTCTCAGGACCGTGTTTCCCTTGTTGTGATCAGGTCTAGGGCAATGGCTAGTGAGCCACAGAAGCATGAAGCAGCCCAACTTCCAGGTGGTGATCTGTGCAAAACCTCTGGGTCGCTGGTACCCCGAACCGGAGCCCGAGATTAATATCCCTCTTTTAGTCACGAGGGAAGGTGTTCCCATTGTAGAGAACATCCTGGACAAAGAATTCCTGGTAAGTAACACTCTGAATCATAGGATAACAATAATCCTTGCATTTGATACAGCGCCTCACTGGGTCGTTGAGACATCTCAAAGCGCTTCACAGGATAAACTGTAAACTGTATTTTCTGGGCGAAATGCATCAGCCAATCTGCGCACAACAATTTCCCAGTTCACAGGAAGGAAGAAACTGCCTTATCTTTTTCGCTTGCGCTGCGGGATTTGTAATAATAATAATAATCCTTGCATTTCATACAGCACCTTATCAAGTCTTTGAGACATCTGAAAGCACTTCATAGAATATACTGTAAAGTGTAATGACTGTTTATTTTGTGGACGAAACACGACAGTCAATTGAGCACAGCGGTGTCCCACACACAGTCGTGGCTTGAGTGACCATTTATTATTTTTTTGAAAGGATTATTAGCCCCAGAAAAGCGATCCGCCAATCGATTAACAATCGGGTTCCTATTCACTGTAGGAGGGGTGTGGGAAAGAAACTTGCCTTTGGTTTCACTCAGGTGCTCTTGTTTGCGAGGCGAGCGCTCTAACCTCTACGCTACAGGACTCCACACTGTAATCTCCATGTGATAGTGTGACACTCTGGTTGTAACAGGAGAAGAGACCATGTCGGTGACTCTGAGCTTACAGTCCAGACGAGAACTGAGGGAGCCCCCTCCTTTGGATGAGCTTCCTATCTTGTGCCCTGGTCAGGCAAACATTAAGATTCAGTTGGAAAAAGAGAAGCTTGTTTCTCCTGGTGGATGTCCTGGCTGATAATCCTCCAGATATAATCACTGCGGCTGATATTGGGGACATCACTGGGAACAAATTGGCTGTGTTAAGAACATAACAATTTGCTGGTGAAGAAAGACACCTTCAAAAAACAAATTCACCTTCCACCAGGAATCCTGGCAGTCACTTGACATGTCGTGTCCCAAACTATATACTGTATTCCGTATAGTAAGTATACCAGAGAGCCTGTTCTATATGTTTACTATTCGCTCACTGAAGTAATGTTTCCGGAGATTTTTTTTCTGAATTTACCCCCTTCAATCATAGGCTGTGTCCTCTGGTTCTACTGTTCAGTACGAGATAAAACAGCTTATCCAGATCCCCTCAGAATCTTAAAAGTTATTGTCACTACACTTTATAGTAAAATTCTGTGAAAAGTTTTGTGGCGGTCTCCTGACGTGATGGGCTTGTCTGATAAATGTTCATTATTTTTTAATGGTCAGACTCCTTGGTGTCTCTGTTGCTATTTCCAGATGGCGCTGTTTTGTGTGGACAGTCACTCCGACCTGTGCATCGTGGACATCCGCGACAAGCACCTGGTGGGCGTAAGTCAGCATCTCGCGCCACCCCCAACCCTCATCCTTAGCCAAGTTTCCTTACTCCACACACCTCTGTTTACCAGCAGTCAGGAGGAACACAGTTGTTAGTCGATTGGCGGATCGCGTTTCGGAAATAACAATCCCTTCAAAAAATACAATTTGTCACACAATCCACAATTGTGTGGGGACACTGCTGTGTGCAACTGGCTGCCGAGTTTCTCGCACAAAACACAGTCACTACACTTTACACTGTATTCTGTGAAGCGCTTTGAGACGTCTCAATGATAAGCACTCTGGGAGGTCACCCTGCATGAAGGGTTCTATATAAATGCAACTTCTTGTTGTTGATATGAATGCAAGCATAATAATAATAATAACGATAATCATCATTGCATGTGATATCGCGCCTTAGCATGCGTTAACACATCTCAAAGCACTTCACAGAATATACTGTGGGCGAAAATGGGAGGGAGATTATTATTATAGAATAAAGACAGCCCCCATCACCCACCCGGAGGCGAATGGTCTCCTTCTGTGCTGTATAATTCTATGATTCTATAAAGTGGGAGGAGGGGAGCGTTGGCTGTGGGGGGCGGCTGTGCAATGGTTCTCACCCCTTTGTGTACAATGTGAAGTTTAGTAACACAAAGTGAACGAGGTGACCTCTGTATTCAGTCCTAACTCCGAGAGTGCAAATCCCTACACTTGTGGAACTTCACTATTTGGAGCAACATGACGACAGGTTTTCCCGATTGACTTACTGCTCATGCAATTGAGATGCTGTCTTCAGTGCCCTATCACACCATCAGGCCTCTGAGTGCAGCAACTACCTGTTTTGTGTTTTCTCTACCTCCCTCCTTAAGAATTTAACAGAGATTCGAAGACACTACTGAGAAGATACAACTGATTTGTATTAGTCTTGGACAACAAGGCAACAATAACATAAAACAACAACAGGATTATATTTATATAGCGCCTTTCACATCGGGAGGACGTCCCAAAACAAATGCAACATTGGAAACAGATAACTAACTACACCAAAAACTGAGATATAATCAGCAGCACTTAACTACTGTTAGTAAATTAAAGAAATAATCCTGATTTGGAGGTCATTCCTCTCAAGTCAGACACGTGCCTACAGGGTGAGCAGAAGATAGTGTCCACGAGGTAAGCCCGACCCCTTCCTGGCTCCGCCCCTTCAACAATGTGTCATCGGGGGTCCCACGCCAAGTATCACGTGGTCTATCCCACTAATTGGTGCCACTCAGCAGCTTTTAGACTTTATGTCACCAAAACTGTCTGTTAATCTAAATACAGGTGGTTTGTCAGTATTAAATCACAAACCTTAAAGGGACAGGCAGCCCAAACAAACAAACTATAAAGATATTCTTTACAGAACTTATTTATATATTAATGAGCTGTACTCGTTGCAGATTCGCTTGCAACCAAAGGATTTAACGTGGAATGTAGATTGACACAGACATTTTGGGGAGGACAAGTTTGCAGGACTGTGGGGAGATTGCAGGGGAATGGGAATGATTTGGAAGCTCTTTTCAAAGAGCCGTCACAGACACGATGGGCCGAAAGACTTCCTTCTGTGCTGTATAATTCTCATCTGGCAGGACTCCTGTGGGAGAACTTTGTTCTTCACTTTCATGTAATGGGCTTTCTCTCTTTTGTCTAGCATTTAATAAAGATAAATGTATAATTTATAATCACTGGGACATGAAAGGCGCTTTAAAAATGTTTTGTTGTTGTTGCCGTGGCTTAGCTTCGTCTGTGTTCTTTATTTTGTTCCCGCCGCTTGGCTACAAGTGTGCACTGTGAGGCACGATGCCACAGCGCTTCCACCCGTACATATATAGCTGCTCTGTGACACATGATGCCACAGCGCCATTTTGACTCGGTGGCCACCACGTGTAACTGCAGTGAAAAATGCAAAACTTAAATAACTCGTAAACAATAGGAGATACCCGAAAACAAATGTGCCCATGTCACTTTCCGATGAGGTATAAATTATGTCGCCACATCAATCTGTTATTGAGATCCTTCTTGAAGTGCATTGTCGTTTTATTAGTATAATAAGATATGAGATATATAAGATACAGGTTAAAGAGTGTACAAAACAGGGTAACCATGACCGGTGCAGGGCCTTGCTCTCTTCTCGCGCCTGACGCACTAACGCTCTCGCTTTCCGCCTTTTGCTCAAAACTCTTGACTGTCCAGAGCCTTGGGGTGTCCTCCCAACGTGAAAGGCGCTATACAAATGTAATTTTGTTGTTGTTGTTGTTTGCTGTGTCGGTGCATGCACACTGCTCCGATCCTCGCCTGGCACCAGCTCTCACTGTCCCCACCACTCCCCGCTTCTCAAACGTTCCCTTTCCACCGCAGGGATCGACTGAGTGGGGATGGGAACCGCTGAGACTACTGTCCAATAACAAACAGTTGACGACTCCAAATGCTGAAGTGTTAAACATTTGACATTTGATATAGTGCTTTAACATGTCTTCAAGATGGCATGGTCAAAGAGGAGGGTCTTGAGGTGGGACTTGAAGGAGGCTAAGGAGGGGGCGAGGTGGAGTAATTGAGGGATGGAATTCCAGAGGTTGGGGGCAGAGTGGCTGAAGGCTCTCCCGCCAATGGTGGGGCGGGTGGGTTGGGGAACGTGGAGCAGCCGGAGCCGGCTGAGCGGAGGGAACGGGTGGTTGGTAGGGGGTTAGGAGGTCGCAGAGTAGGGTGGGGCGAGGCCATGGAGGGCTTTGTATGTGAGGACCAGGATACTGGATCCTCTGAAGAATAGGGAGCCAGTGGTGTCAGGCGAGAATGGAGGAGATGGGGTCATGGAGTTTGGTGCGGGAGAGGACACGGGCTGCAGAGTTCTGGATTATCTGCAGCTGTGGAGGGAGGACTTGTGAAGGCCGACAAGCAGGGCGTTTGCAAAGTCGAGCCTGGAGGTGATGAAGGCACGAACAAGAGTTTCAGCGCCTGAGGGGTGAGGTAGTGGTGGAGTCGGGCAAAGGCAAGGGCAAGAACCACAGAAGGAAAAACTTTCAAAAAAGGAGAAGCCATATGGTTTCGAAGGGAAAACTTAAAAACAGAAGGATGGAAAAAAGGAAAAATTTGGGGGAAAGATAAGAACCTCAGATCATATTGGGTAAAACGTGAAAAAGGAAAGATATACAGACGAACATCATGGGAGATCAAACAAAGAAAAATGAAGAAAATACAGGAGGAAAAGGAAAAGCAGAAAGAAGATCAAGGAGTGGCAGAAACAGTCAGATCAACCAAATGTGGAAGAGAAATAAAAAGACCACAACGAATGATAGAACAAGATTAAAAAGTAGAGGAGAAGACACTAAAAGAAGGGAGATGTTACAAATTGCTTCAGTGACTTAATTGGCAATTGGAAATTGATACTGAGAAGCAGCAACAACAACTTGGATTTATATAGCGCCCTCCAAGCCGGATGGCATCTCAAAGCACTTCACAGTAACGGATCCCGGGGCCGAGCCAGCGAGAGTGGGGGGAAGGTGACCAAAGGCCCGGTTGAAAAGAAAGGTCTTCAGCCGAGATCTGAAAATAGGAAGAGCGGGGGCAAGACGAAGTGAGTGAGGAAGGGTGTTCCAGAGCCTCGGGGCATAGTGGCTGAAGGCACGGCCACCGGTAGTGAAGTGGAGGATTCAGGGGACAAGGAGGAGATCAGACCCGGTGGAGCGAAGGCAATGGGCACTGTTGTGAGGAGAGAGGAGGTCAGAGAGGAAGGGGGGTGCAGAGGAGTGGAGGGATTTGAAGACAATGGTGAAGATCTTGAAGTCGATCCTCTCTGGGACAGGCAGCCAGTGCAGTCTGGCAAGGATCAGGGTTATTGGGGAGCGGAGTTTGGTGTGGGTAAGAATGCAGGCGGCAAAATTTTGGATGACCTGGATTTTGTGAATGGTAGTGGAGGGGAGACTGGTGAGGAGGGCATTTGACTAGTCCAGCCGAGAGGCTTCAAGGCTAGCAGGAAGCATAAAAGGATTTTGGGAAAGTGACTGGGCAGAGAGTTGAAGATAGTGGAAGTATACGGTTGAAATAAAGGAGATATTGAATCTAAACTGTGCTGTGGATTGATAAACAATACAATGCCAAGCAAAACTCACTTTCTAAATTTAGGGCAATTAATGCCCAGATTAACTTAAAACAATCAATTTTGTAGTGACTATGTATTAATGTGGGCAAAATGCGGCAGTCAATTGCACACAGTCGTGTCCCAAAAACAGCTGTGGGAGGCAGGGGACATGAAGCAGTGAACATTTTTTTTTAGGGATTTTATAACTCCGGAAAACAATCCGCCAATCAAGTAACAATCAGGTTCCAACTTACTGCTACGTAAACAGAAGCGCGCTTGCGTGGAGTAAGATAGTTTGCCAAAGGTTTCACCTGCCCAGGAATCAAACCCAGGTCCTCGCTCTTGTGAGGCGAGTGCTTTAACCATTGAGCTGGAGGACAATGCAGCATTCTCCCAACACTGGCCACACACAGGGAACTGCACCGCAGCCAGTGTCAGACACTCATCAGCAATGAATTCAAGTTGTCTTACTGCACACGGATGTATCAAAACTCTTTTATCTTCATTCTGTTTTCTTTAGGCAAAAGAAAAGGATTTTAAATTGTTTGACAATGTGGTTTATATCAATGCCACAGAAAACCATCTGCAGTTTGGTAAGAGTTTATATCCCACCTGGAGCAGTACAGACACGAGGGGTTTGAGGCAGAGACAGAGGAAGGTGACCAGGCTGATCCCAGTGTTAGAGACAGAGAAGAGAAGGGTGGAGGGCAGGGGGTAAAGGAGGGTGACTAAGGCATGGTCAAAGAGGAAGATCTTGAGACGGGTCTTGAAGGAGGCAAGGGAGGAGGTGAGGTGGAGGGATTACAGGTTGGAGTTCCAGAGGGTGGGGCAGAGTGGCAGAAGGCCTGTCCACCAATGGTGGGGCGAGGCGGGGGACATGAAGCAGGCCAGAACCCACTTAGTGGAGGGAGCAGGCAGGTTGGTAGGTCGCAGAGATAGGAGGGAGCGAAGCCATGGAGGTGAGGACCAGGATCTTGAACTGTATCCTCTGTGGGCAGCCAGTGGAATCAAGCAAGGTTGGGGGAGTCCAGTCTGGGAGAGGATCTGCAGCCAATGGAGGGATTGTTGGAGTGGACTGCGCACTCTCTCTCCCTGGAGGTATGCATCGTGCTTACCTAATTCCGGAATATTAGGCGCAGGTTTGTTGAAGGCCACTAGAGTTGGGTTGCAATGAGTGAAAACGATAAGTGTGATGGAGAAAATAGAGCAATAACAAGGTCCTTGGCTGCTGTTTGCAGACATGTTCCGGACCTTCCCAATCATCCGGGAGCTGACATTGCAGCTGAACATGCTCAAGAAGCTGAATGTGATCCAGGGTGACTACCCTTACCTAGAGGTGGGTGATTCCGTATGGTGATTATTCAGTGAGGCTCTAGCTATCAAAGCCGTCCACAGACTTGTTCCTCACCTCGGTGACCTGCTAACTCTATATCCACCTGTAATTCATGCTAACTCTATACGCTCTGCTCAACAGGCTCTGGCCTTCTCCGTGTTCCCTGCCCTGCCCACCACACTATTGGTAGTCAGGCCTTCATCCTCGTCTTGCCCCCTCCCTTGCCTCCTTCAAGGCTCATCTCAAGACCTTCCTCTTCAAATGTGCATTCAGTCACCCTCCTACCCCCACCCTTTCTGCCTTTCTGAAGTGATAAAATACAAGGATTATTAATTATTATAACATTTGGAGCGTTTAACATTGGCGGAGCTTAACGCTGAGCCAGGGAGAGAGGGGCAAGTTGACCATAGGCATAGTAGAAGCAAGTGTGATTACAAAACGGGGACGAAACAGAGGGTTTGAGACTGAGAGTTCCACACTCTCAAGGTGAAGTGGCTGAAAGCATGGCCAATGGTGGAGCAGAGGGCACAAGGGTCGTGCAGGAGGCCAGAGCCAGCCGAACAGAGGGGGTGGGTAGTGACAGATTGGGACGTGCCAGGGCGTGAAGTGATTTGTTACCTGTCGTGGAGAGAGGGGTTTGAGGCAGAGACAGAGCTCAATGTAGCTCAATGGGTAAAGCACTCGCCTCGCAAGCAAACCTGGATTTGATTCCCGGGTAGGGTGAAATGTTGGGCACGTTTTCTTACTCCACTCGCTTGTTTACCTAGCAGTCGGTAGGAACCGTTAATCAATTGTGAGATCACTTTCCGGGGGTAATAATCCTTCAAAAAAAGAATAATTTGGTCACTCAATCCACAACTGTTTGTAGGACCCTGCCTTGTACAATTGGCTGCCGTGTGTTGCCCACAAAATACACAGTCACTACACTTGAAAGTATATTCTGCAAAGTGCTTTGAGACTGACTCAACAACATGATAAGGCACCATATCAAATGCAAAGATTATTATGACAAATACAAGGATTATTGTTATATCAAATGCAAAGATCATTATTATATTATTAGTATTATTAATAAGAAGGAAATGCTTGCATTAACACAACCGGGTGTGTCCTGACCCTGTCTGAGTGAGTGCTGTGTGACCCTATCATCCCCACCCTCGTCCGACTCCACTGGCTCCCGATCCAGTGAAGGATAGCATTCAAAATAATAATTTGGTCCTCAATCCACAACTGTTTGTGCGACGCTGCTGTGCGCAATTGGCTGCTGAGTTTCGCCCATAAAATATACAGTCAATTCACTTTACAGTATATTTTGTGAAACGCTTTGAGATGTCTCGAGGACGTGATAAGGCAGTATATTAAATGCAAGGATTATTATTTTATTATAAAATCCTCGTCCCCACCTTCAAGGCCCTCCACAGCCTCGCTCTTTCCTATCTATGTGACTTGCTAACCTATCCGCTCCTTCGTTCAGCAGGCCCTGGCCTGCTCCGCATCCCCCACCCGCCTTGCCCCACCATCGGCGGTTGTGCCTTCAGGCTCTCCGCCCCCAACCCCACCCTTTGGAACTCCATTCCAGTCCCTTCGCCTCGCTCCCTCCCTTGCCTCCTTCAAGGCACATCTAAAGACCCTCCTCTTGGACCACACCCTCGGTCAACCTCTTACCCCTACCTTCCCTGCCCTCCACTCCTCCTGATCTCAACCCCCAGCTCAGGTTCCAATCCATGACTATCCAGCGCCTTGGGACGTCCTCTGATGTGAGAGGCAGGCGTTGTGTTAGTGTCATATGTTGTTGTTGTTGTTGTGTTACAGGTGCTGGATCTCTCCTACAATCACCTGCACGTATGTGACATTCTCCATCTCGGGCTCCTGCCACGGCTCAAGAACTTGTCTCTGGCTGCCAACGGCCTGGAGACCCTGCCTCGCAACCTGGCTGCTGACTATTACACAGGCTGGTGTGTGTCAGCCCCGTCCCGCCCCTCAGCCCCACACAACTACATCATGCCCTGCCCCGCCCCACCCTGGTCAGCCCCCTCTGAACCCCGCTGTAGCTTGCCCCGCCTTATTCTGCCCTTCACCGCGCTGTTCAGACCCACCCTGTCCTGCCTTGCCCTGTCCTGCCCTTCCCTTCCCTGCCCCCCCTTTCCCTGCCCTGCTCCTCCCTGTCTTGCCCTACCCTGCCCTGCCCCTCGTTGCCCTGCCCCTTAGGTTTCTTTATTCCACACACCTCTGGTGGATCACTTTTCCGGGGAGAATAATCCCTTAAAAAAATTAAAATAATAATAATAATTTGGTCACCCGATCAACGATTGTATATATAATACTAATAATACAATTCTTTTTGTTTGATATAGCGCCTTATCATGTTTTCAAGATGTCGCAAAGCACTTCACGGAATATAATAATAATATATAATAATCCTCGCATTTGATATAGAGCTTTTCACGTCGGGAGGACGTCCCAAAGCGCTTCACAGAACACACTGTAAAGTGAATTGACTGTATATTTGTGAGCAAATGCGGCAGCCAATTGTGCACAGCAATGTCCCACAAACAGTCGTAGATTGAAAATGACCAATTTGTTATTGTTTTTGGTTTTGGAGGGATTATTATTAGGCGTATGGAGTAAGGAAACTTGCCCAAGGTTTCGCCCTCTGCCTGGAAATGAACTCCGGTCTCTCGCTTGCAAAGCGAGTGCTCTAACCACTGAGCTACAGGACTCCATATACTGTAAAGTGAATTGCCTGTATACTTTGTGGGCAAAACGTGGCAGCCAATTGTGCACAGTCATGGATTGAGTGACCAAATTATTATTTTTTAAGGGAAAAGCGATCTGCCAATCGATTAACAACCGAGTTTCTAATTACTGCTAGGTAAACAGAGGACACTGTGCTGGGCACAATTGGCTACTGCATTTTGCCCCCAAATTATACAGTCACTTCACTTGACAGTATATTCTGTGAAGCACTTTGAGACGTCTTGGACGTGAAGACGCTATATCAAATATATCAATGCAAGGATTATTATTGTGATTTTATTGCTGTATTCTTATATTAATGTTAGTAGTAATACAAAATTACATTTGTAAAGCACCTTTCACATCGGCAGGATATCCCAAGGTGTTGAACAGTCAAGGATTAGGACCCGAGCGGGGGAATGGGATGGTGGGATCAGGGAAAGTGGAGGGCGGGTAGGCTGGGGGATAGGAGGGTGGTCGAAGGCACAGTTGAAGAGGAGGGTCTTGAGGCGTGATTTGAAGGAGGCAAGGGTGGGAGCGAGGCATAGGGAGCGGGATGGAGTTCCAGAGGGTGGGCGTGGAGAGGCTGAAGGCCTGACCATCAATGGCCGGGCGGGGGAGCAGACCAGAGCCTGCTGAGCGGAGGGAATGGACAGGTTGTCAAGTGCTTAACAGGATGGAGAGGTAGGAGGGGGCAAGACCATGGAAGGCCTTGAAGATTGAGGACAAGAATTTTGAACTCAATCCTTTGAGGGATGGGGAGCCAGTAGAACCGGGTGGGTGGATATGGTGGCATCACAGAACCTGGTGCAGGTAGTTATATTATTATAACTCTTGTGAAGATGGTGCGTGGCTCAGGGAGGACCTGACAGATCTTCCTTTGTGTAATAGGAAAATGTTGCCCCGGTTCCTGAGACTTGAGACCCTAGTCCTGGAAGACAATAAGTTCTCTCACTCCTGTGTCTTCTTCAGCCTGGCTGATCTCAAGAGGTAACGACTTTATTCATCATCGTCAACAACAGGACCTGATCAGGACCGCCTTCTTTCCTCTCCACCAAATTGCCTGCCTCCAACTGTACCTTACCCCAAATGCAGCTGAAACCTTCATGTATGCGTTTGTCACCTCCCGCCTGGATGATTCAAACGCACCCCTTTCCTTCAATCTTGTCCCCTCTCTCACCTTTTTCAAGTCCTGCCTGAAAACTTTCCTCTTCGACTGCTTATCCCCATCACCCCAGTGCTCACCAGGCTCTACTGGCTTCCTATCACACACACTAAACTTTGTACCCCCATCACCCCAGTCCTTGCCAGGCTCCACTGGCTCCCATTCATCGAACGGATCGATTTCAAGATCATCTCACTTGCTTCCAAATCCCTTCATGCCCTGGCATCTCCTTACTTATCCAACCTGCTTAACCCCCACTCCACCACCTGCTGCCTTCGCTCGGCTGGCTCCGACCCTCCTGTTTGTCCCTCATCCCCTCTGTTCCACCATCAGTCGCCGTGCCCTCAGGCACTATGCCCTGAAACTCTGGAAATCTTCCCCTCAATCCCTCTGCCATGCCCTCCCTCCCCACTTTCAAATGCCGCCTAAAGACCTTCCTTTTTGATCGTTCTTACAGTCCTCTCCCTCTCCCCCTGGCTGAGGGTCCGACTCCGCCACTGTCAAGCTCTCCCGGTCGCTATCCCGCATGAAGACGCTATATAAATACAAGTTGTTGCTGTTATGTCTCTGTGTCCATCTTAGTCTGAAGTATTTGAACCTTGATGGCAACCAGCTGAGTGAGGTGCCATACCTGCATGAGACCAATCTGTGCCCCCTGAACCCTTGTCTGATCTGCAAAATACCCTGCGAGATGCATAAGAAGATCTTGTGTGAGAAGGAGCTGCCCCTGTGCAGGACTGAGCTTCAGGAAGCGGTGTCACTCGAACTTATGACCGACAGTGAATCCAGATCAAACAGGTTTAAAAGTGACGATGAAATGTCCGGTGAGTCTGTGTGAATGAGTGGGACAGCGTCATGTTAATCAGCAGCTAGAGAAACTAGGGGGATGGGGGGAGGCAGGGGAGCAATGAGGTGATGGGGTATGGAGATTAGAGTGCTTGTATAGCACCTTTCACATCAGGTTGAAGTCCCAAGGCACTGGCTGGACAATGAAGGGTTTGCACGCGAACTGTGGGTTAGGTTCAGCTGTCCATCAAGCTTTCCAACTAGGACCACCCTATCCATTAGGGCTGTGGCTGCAGGGTTAACAGTAGCTGAGTGGGAGGATTTCTGCGCCCAGTGACTGGTCGGCCCTTCCAGGTCCTGCTGATGAGCCCGGCTGATATGCTGTCATCAGCAGTGAGTGCCCTGAAATACTGTGGACCCACCTGGCTCAGGAACTGGACTAGAGATCGTCACAGAGGGTTGGGTCGATTCCTGCCTTCCGTTGCAGTCATGTCACCTTGGAGCCAGTTCAATTCCAAGGAGATCCTGTATGCCCCCCCCAGTAGGAGAAAGGTGGAGAGCAGGGAGGGTGAAGGGTGGAGGAGGGAAGGTGACCAAAGGCGCGATTGAAAAGGAAGGTCCAGCCTGATTATTAAACCATCTGCCAAGAGAGTTCCAATGTTTCGGGACGAAGAGGCCGGAAGCGCAGTTGCTGATCATGGAGTGGAGGGGCAGAGGGACATGCAGGAAACCGGATCCAGCTGAACAGAGATGACGGGTGGATTGGGGAGTAAGCACATCAGAGGTAGGGAGGTGCCAGAGCGTGAAGGGATTTGTAGATGGGTGTCTTTGACAGGGAGCCAGTGGAGCCTGGGCAGGACTGGCGTGATGGGGTTACGGAGTTTGGAGAGTTAACTCTATGTTGACCTGTCCGCTCTACAGGCTCTATATCCCCCGCCCCCCCCCCCCCCCCGCCCCACCACCACCGGTGGTTGGGCCTGCAGCCTCTCTGCCTCACCCTCCATCCCACAGTCTCTTCGCCTCCTTCAAATTATATAAATGTAATTCGTTGTAGTTCTTGTTACACGGCACCTCTCATGTCGGGAGGACCTCTCGATATGCTGGACATTTAGGGATGTCATCAGGAGGGGTGGGGGGCAGGGATGGTGGGGCTGGGGGATGGGATCAGGAGAGGTGGGGGGCAGGGATGGTGGGGCTGGGGGATGGGATCAGGGGGGGTGGGGAGCAGAGATGGTGGAGGTATGAGAGTGGGCGATGGCACAATTGAAGAGGAGGTTCTTGAGATTTGCCTTGAAGGAGTTAAGTGAGGACCTAGGCGAAGGGACTGTGGGGTGGAATTACACAGGATGGGGCCAGAGAGGCTGAAGCCTGACCGCTGTAATGGTGGAATGGCCCCGGGGGGGATTAAACAATCTGACAAACTGGTGGACGGGCCCATCCTGTTCACGAACTGTCACTGTTAATGGTTTTACAGTTTGATTGATTCCTGTTATCACTGTATTCTGACATTAAAGCATTTCTGCCACTAAGTTACACTGTCCCTATACTGTAGTTAGTCGATTGGTGGATCGCTTTCCGGGGGTAATAGTCCCTTCAAAAACAAAATCACAAAAAATGTAATCACTACTATCCACGACTGTTTGTGGGACGCTGCTGTGCGCAATTGGCTGCCACATTCCGCCCACAAAATGCAGTCACTTTACACTTTACACTTTGAAGTGCTTTGAGACGGCTTGAAGACGTGATAAGTGTTACTAGGTTAACGAAGCCTGGCTGACAGTGGCTGCTTGTGTTTATTACAGAGATGAACTTCCCCACATTCTCCCCGCTGGACGTGCCGGATTCCCTGCCCTTCATCCAATCAGTAAGTGTGTAATACTTCTCTCTCTCTTTCACGCTTTCTCTCTCTCACAGCCTCCCCCTCTCTCTCACTCTCTAACAGCCTCGCTCTCCCTCTCTCTCTTTCACATCGTCTTTCTCTCTCTCACACCCTCTCTCACTCTCTAACAGCCTCCCCCTCTCTCACAGCTTTGTTATCTCTCATTCTCTCACAGCCTCTCACTCTCTCACAGCCTCACTCTCACTCTCTCACTCTCTAACAGCCTCGCTCTCCCTCTCTCTCTCTTTCACATCGTCTTTCTCTCTCTCACAGCCTCCCCCCCTCTCTCACTCTCCAACAGCCTCCCCCTCTCTCACAGCCTCGTTATCTCTCATTCTCTCACAGCCTCTCACTCTCTCACAGCCTCTATCTCTCTCACTCTCTCACAGCCTCTCTCTCTCACTCACTTCTCACAGCCTCTCTCTCACTCTCTCACAGCCTCTCTCTCTCTCTCACTCTCTCACAGACTCTCTCTCTCTCACTCTCTCACAGCCACTCTTAACATCTTTTTCTCCCAGGAGATCGCAAGGGCGGAGTGGACAGGGTTCTGTGACCCCAAATGTGTGGAACGCAAGCAACCGGGGGAGTTTGTCCTGCCTTTTGCTCAGCTGCTAGACCTGAGCATCTCCCACAACGAGGTCCCTACCCCATCCTCCCTCCCTCCTCCCTCTTCCTCACTCTCCTTCCATCACTCTCACTCATTCTCCCTCCCTCTACCTTCCTTCCACCCTCTCCCTCACGCTCCCTCTATCACTCTCCCCTCCCTCCCTCTCACTTGCTCACTGTCTCACTCCCTCACTTTACCCCTCCCTCCACCTACCTCCCTCTATCCTCCATCTACCTCCATCTCCCTCCCTCTACCTCGCTCTCCCTCCTTCTACAGCTCCCTCCATCCCCCTCCCTCTCCCTCCATCTTCCTCCCATTACCTCCCTCTCCCTCCCTCACTCTCCCTCCTTCTACCCCGCCCTCCCTCTCCTTCACTGTCTCTCCCTCTGCCCTTCCCTCATCTACCTCCCTCCGTCCCTCTCCCTCCCTCCATCTCCCTCGCTCCCTCCCTCCCTCTACACCTCCCTCTCTCTCCCTCCCTCCTTCCCTCTCCCTTTACGCTCCCTCCCTCTACTTCGCCCTCCCTCTCCTTCACTCTCCCTCCCTCCGTCCATCTGCCCTTCCCTCCATCTCTTTCTCTCCCTCGCTCCCTCCCTCCCTCCCTCCCACCCTCTACCTGTCTCTCTCTCTCGCTTTCTCTCTCTCCGTCTCCCTCCCTCACTCTCACCTCCCTCTCTTTAACTCTCCCTCCCTCTTTCTACCTCCCTCTCGCTCTCTCCTCTTATGTTCTCTCTCTCCCTCTCTCTCACCGTCTCTCTCCCTCCCTCTGCCTCCCTCTCCCCGATCTCTCTTTCTCTCACTCTCCATCCCTCTCCCCCCTCTCTCTCTCACTCACCATCACACTCTCTCCCTCACTCTCGCCCCTCTCCCCCATTCACCCCCTCTCCCCACTCCTCTCTCCCTCCTTCTCCCCCTCTCTCTCATTCATTCTCTCCCAGAGTGTTTGTGTGGGGGGCAGTTCCTGGCTACACAGTGTGTGTTTGTGTGTGTATGGGGAGGGGGTCCTGGCTACATTGTGCATGTGTGTGTGTATCGGGGGGGTCCTGGCTACAGTGTGTGTGTGTGTGTGGGTGGTGGGGGGGGTGGTCCTGGCTACAGTGTGTGTGTGTGTGTGGGGGGGGTGGTCCTGGCTACAGTGTGTATGGGGGGGGTGGTCCTGGTTGTAGTGTGTGTGTGTGTGGGGGGGGGGGTCCTGGCTACAGTGTGTGTGTGTGTGGGAGGGTGGTCCTGGCTACAGTGTGTGTGTGTGGGGGTGGGGGGTGGTCCTGGCTACAGTGTGTGTGGGGGGGGGTGGTCCTGGCTATAGTGTGTGTGTGTGTGTGTGTGTGGGGGGGGGGGGGGGTCCTGGCTACAGTGTGTGTGGGGGGTGGTCCTGGCTATAGTGTGTGTGTGTGGTGGGGGGTGGTCCTGGCTACAGTGTGTGTGGGGGGGGTGGTCCTGGCTATAGTGTGTGTGTGTGTGTGGGGGGGGGGTGGTCCTGGCTACAGTGTGTGTGGGGGGGTGGTCCTGGCTATAGTGTGTGTGTGTGGTGGGGGGTGGTCCTGGCTACAGTGTGTGTGGGGGGGTGGTCCTGGCTGTAGTGTGTGTGTGTGGGGGGGGGGTGGTCCTGGCTACAGTGTGTGTGGGGGTGGTACTGGCTATAGTGTGTGTGTGTGGTGGGGGGTGGTCCTGGCTACAGTGTGTGTGGGGGGGGTGGTCCTGGCTACAGTGTGTGTGGGGGGGGAGGGGGGTTCTGGCTACAGTGTGTGTGGGGGGGGAGGGGGGAGTTCTGGCTACAGTGTGTGTGGGGGGGGGGAGGGGGGGTTCTGGCTACAGTGTGTGTGTGTGGGGGGGTCCTGGCTACAGTGTGTGTGTGGGGGGGGAGGGGGGGGTTCTGGCTACTGTGTGTGGGGGGAGGGGGGGGTTCTGGCTACAGTGTGTGTGTGGGGGGGTGGGGGGGGGTTCTGGCTACAGTGTGTGTGTGGGGGTGGAGGGGGGGGTTCTGGCTACAGTGTGTGTGTGGAGGGGAGGGGGGGTTCTGGCTACAGTGTGTGTGTGGGGGGGGGGAGGGGGGGTTCTGGCTACAGTGTGTGTGCGGGGGGGTCCTGGCTACAGTGTGTGTGGGCGGGGGGGGAGGGGGGGTTCTGGCTACCGTGTGTGTGTGGGGGGGGTGGGGGGGATCCAGACTACATTGTGTGTGTGGGGGGTGGCTACTGTGTGTGTGTGTGTGTGGGGGGGGGTCCTGACTACATTGTGTGTTTGTGTGTGTGTGTGTGGGGGGGGTCCTGGCACTGTGTGTGTGTGTGGGCGGGGGGGGGGGGGGGTTCCTGGCTACAGTGTGTGTGGGGGGTGGCTACTGTGTGTGTGTGTGTGTGTGTGGGGGGGTCCTGACTACATTGTGTGTTTGTGTGTGTGTGTGTGGGGGGGGTCCTGGCACAGTGTGTGTGTGTGTGTGGGCGGGGGGGGGGGGGGGGGGGGGGGGGGGTTCCTGGCTACAGTGTGTGTGGGGGGTTTCCTGGCTACAGTGTGTGTGTGGGGGGGGGGGGGTCCTGGCTACAGTATGTGTGTGGGGGGTCCTGGCTGCAGTGTGTGTGTGGGGGGGTCCTGGCTCTAGTGTGTGTGGGGGTGTCCTGGCTACAGTGTGTGTGTGTGGGAGGGTGGGGGGGTGTTCTAGCTAAAGTGTGTGTGTGAGAGATGTGAAGGGGGTCCTGGCTACACTGTTTGTTTGTGTGTGTGTGGGTTGGGGGGTTGTGATGGTCTAACCCCGGCTGTTTTTCTGTTGCAGGTAAAACACGAGGAGGATCTCCTGGCTCTCGGCCTCTTCCCTTCACTCAAAAAACTCACCATGTTTCATAATCCTGTGGTAGAGCTGAGTGGCGGTACAGTATATCTCCCCCCGCCCTGGCCCCCACCTCAAAGCACTTCACAGAATACATTGTAAAGCATAGTAACTATATTTTGTGGGCGAAACACGGCAGCCAATTGCACATAGCAGTGTCCCACAAACAATCATGGATTGAAGTGACCACATTTTTTTTTGGAGGGATCATTTACCCCTGGAAAGCGATCCGCCAATCAACTTAACAACCGGGTTCCTACTTACTATTGGCAAACAGAGGTGTGTGGAGTAAGGAAACTTGTCCGATGTTTTGCGCTGCCGGGAATCGAACCCGGGTTCTCTTGCTTGCGAAGCGAGTGCTCTAACCACTGAACTACAGGATTCCACATTCTCTCTGTTCTCTGTTTGCTCACAGGGAAACTCGAGTTACTTCATAGTTTTCTGCAGGAGAATCTCGGCATCCAGGTCCTCAGCCACGAGCCCCCACCACCCCCCAAACCAACCATCAGCCAGTTCCTCAAACTCAAACGCAAGGTACCCAACTGTGGATGAAAGAGGTGGGCTTTACCTGTTGGAGGCGGGGGAGGCACGTTATGGGACAACCATGGCTGCGTACCAGGTTAAGGATGCCCAGGCTGGAGCAGATGGAATGTGTGGGAGAGTCCAGGAGGGCGAGAATGTGGGGAGGGCGCGAGGAGAGAAGAACTGAATGCCAGCAGCAAATGATGGGGATAAGTACGAGCAACGGCCAAAACACGCAGCAGGAGAGCAGAGAATGGGGTTAGATTAGAGAGCTCCAGTGGGGGAGTGAGCCCCAGCACAGACACGATGGGGAGAGAGAGAGAGAGAGCAGGGAATGGGGTAAGAGTAGAGAGCTCTGGAGGGTGGTGCTCGCTGTAGGTGGAAGAAAGAAGGCCATGTCTTATCGTTCTGTATTCACAGGTTGGCACTGGAATGCTGAAGGTCAGGAAGGTTGTGAAGTCGGAATGGAAAGGGTCGCCTCTCGGGGAGGAGGTGTCCAATGCATTGAGCTTGGCGTATGCCACAGTCGGGAGCAACAAGGCTAGACCCCTCTTCACACAGCAGCAACAGCAGGGGCCCCAGCCCGAGGAGGAGGAAGAGGAGGAGGAGGAGGAAGAAGAGGAGGACGAGTTTGGGTCGGACTCTAAAAAGTCTGTGGAGACCTTTTTCCTCACTCAGGTATAGCAGCATGTGGGGGAGAGGGAGGGGGTGCGAGACACCGGGCTGAGAGGGGGGAGGAGGCACTGGGTGGGGGGAGCTTCCTGTGGGGAGAGACATGTGGGGGTGGGGCTTGCTGGGAGGTGCAGAGACACCGGGGTGGGGGGGGTCACTGGGGGACTGATAGACACGGGGAGCGGTCACTGGGGTTGAAGGGACACCTGGCGGCAGGGCGAGACACGGGGTGGGGGTGTGGCGGGCACTGGGGGAGGGAGACTCTGGATGGGGGCGTTGAGGTCGTTCACTCGGGTGCTACAGAAATTGCTGTAAGACCACGGTCCATCCATTTTACCTTCATCACCACCATCATCACCATCAAATCATTACAATCACCACCATCATCATAACCATCATCATCATCATCACTGTCATCATCACCATCATTTCCATCATCACCATCATCATCACCACCATCATTACCATCATCACCATCACCACCAGCATTACCATCACCATCACCACCATCATCATCACCATCACCGCCATCATCATCACCTCCATCACCGCCACCATCACCGCGTCCATCATCACCATCACCACCATCATTACAATCATCACGATTATCACCACCATCATCATCAACACCATCATCATAATCATCACCACCACCACCATCACCATCATCATCATCATCATCACGACCATCACCACCATCATTATCACGACTATCGCCACCATCATCCTCAGCACCATCTCCATCACCACCATCATCACCATCACGACTTCCATCATCACCATCCCAACCATCATTGTCACCATCATAATCATCACCATCATCACCATCAGCAGCACCACCATCACCAACATCATCCTCATCAGCATCACCACCACCATCATCATCTTCAGCACCATCATCATCACCACCATTACCACCACCATCAGGACCATCACCACCATCATCACTATCACCACCATCAGTCCTGTGGAGTCCTGTAGCTCAGTGGTTAGAGCACTCACCTTGGAAGGGAGACACCTGGGTTCAATTCCAGGCAGGTCAGGGCGAAACCTTGGGCAAGTTTCCTTACTCCACACGACTGATAATAATCCCTCCAAAAAACAAAACAATAATAAATTGGTCGTTTTCAATCCACGACTGTTTGTGGGACACTGCTGTGCGCAATTGGCTGCCGCGTTCGCCCATAAAATATACAATATATAAAATATATAAAACAACAACAAAATTCCATTTATAGAGCGCCTTTCACGTCGGGAGGACGTCCCAAGGCGCTGTGCAGTTGGGTCAGGACCCAAGCATTGGGGGTGGGGGGGGGGAGATGGTCAGGGTGAGGGGAGGGGAGGGAGGGAGCGAGGAGGGGGTAGCGAGTCGAGAGGGGAGCTGAAGGCACGGTCAAAGAGAAAGGTCTTGAGACCGGCCTTGAAGGAGGAAAGGGAGGAGGCAAAGGCGAAGGCACTGGGGGATAGAGTTCCAGAGCCTCGGGGCTGAGAGGCTGAAGGCCCGACCACCGATGGTAGGGCGGTTGGGGCGGGGGATGTGGAGCAGACCGGAGCCTGAGGAATGGAGGGTACGGGCAGGTACGTGGGGGGATAGTAGGTCAGAGAGGTAGGAGGGAGCGAGTCCGTGAATGTCCTTGTAGGTGAGGATGAGGATCTTGAATTTGATCCTCTGGGGGATGGGGAGCCAGTGGAGGCGAGCGAGGGTGAGGGTGAGGGCGAGGATGGGAGTGAGGGCGAGGGTGGGAGTGAGGGCGAGGGTGAGGGCGAGCGAGGGTGAGGATGAGGGTGAGGGCGAGGGTTGGAGTGATGTGGTCACGGTGTCTGGTGCGGGACAGTACACGAGCTGCAGAGTTCTGAATGACCTGCAGTGTGGAGGGAGGGCCGGGAAGGCCGGCGAGGAGAGAGTTCCCATAGTCCGGCCTTGAGGTGATAAAGGTGTGGACCAGGGTTTCAGCCGCGTGAGGGGTGAGGTAGTGCCGTAGTCTGCGATGTTCCGGAGGTGATGGAAGGCGGTGCCAGTTGTGCCGCGGATATGAGGGAGAAAGGACAGCTCAGGGTCGAGGGGAACCCCGAGGTTCCTGATGGCTTTGAGAGGTGGAGAGTGCGGCCTTGGATGCTGATGCTGTCAGCGCCTGAGGTGCGGAGGCGCTGACGTGAGCCAATCAGGAGGGCCTCAGTTTTACGCACGTTGAGCTGAAGAAAGTTCACTTTACAACATATTCAGTTAAGCGCTTTGGGACGTCTCGAAGACATGAAAAGTGCTATGTCAAATGCAAGGATTATTATTATTATCATCATCATCATCATGACCATCATCACCACTATCACCATCATCACCACCATCATCACTATCACCATCATCACCACCATTATCACCACCATCATCACCATCATCATCATCACGACCACCACCATCATCATCACCACCATCATCACTATCACCATCATCATCACCACCACCATCATCACGATCACCACCATAATCATCAAGACCACCACCATCATCATCACCACCATCATCACTGTCACCACCATCGCCATCATCATCACTATCACCACCATCATCTTCACCACACCATCACCACCATCACCATTATCACCATGACCGCCACCATCACCACTATCATCTTCATCACTATCATCACCACCATCATATCACCATCACCACTATCATCATCATCATCCCAACCATCATCGTCACCATCATCATCGTCATCACCATCATCATTATCATCACCACCATTACCACCATCACCACCATCATCACCATTATCACCATCACCACCTTCACCATCATCAGCAGCACCATCACCACCACTATTACCACATCATCACCTTCACCACCATCATCATTATCACCACCATCATCATCACGACCATCACCACCATAATCACCACCATCATCAACATCACCACCATCTTCCTCATCAGCAGCACTACCATCACCATCAACATCATCACGGTCATGACCAACATCACCACCATCATCACTACCATCATCATCACCACCATAACCGTCACCACCACCATCATCACCACCATCATCACTACCTTCATCATCACCATCATCACTACCATCATCATCACCACCATAACCGTCACCACCACTACCATCACCACCATCATCACTACCATCTCCACCATCATCACCATCACTACCATCATCATCACGACCATCACCATAATCACCACCACCATCATCACCACCATCATCAACATCACCACCATCTTCCTCATCAGCAGCACCACCATCACCGCCACCATCATCACCACCATAACCGTCACCACCACCATCATCACTACCATCACCACTATCATCACCATCATCATCAACATCATCACCACTATCACCACCATTATCTTCACCACACCACCACCATCACCATTATCACTATGACTGCCACCATCGCCACCATCACCATTACCACCATCATCACCATCACCACTACTATCATCCCAACCATCATCGTCACCACCATCATCACCACTATTATCATCACCATCACCACCACAACCATCACCACCATAATCACCACCACCATCATCACCCCATCATCAACATCACCACCATCTTCCTCATCAGCAGCACCACCGTCACCACCACCATCATCACCGTCATGACCATCATCATCACCACCATCGTCACCACCATCACCACCACCGTCAACACCAACACTACCATAATCATCATGACCATTACCATCATCACCACTTACATCATGACCATCACCACCAACATCATCTTCATCACCATCACCACCATCATCATCACCACCATCACCACCAACATCATCTTCATCACCAACACCATCATCATCACCACCATCATCATCATCCTCATCACCATCATTATCAACAACAACAAAATTACATTTATATAGAGCCTTTCACGTCGGTAGGATGTCCCAAAGCGTTGGACAGTTATAGTTTCGGACCCAATCTGAGGCTCAGTGGGGGAAGCACGGAGATCGAAAGCATAATCGAAGAGGAGGGTCTTGAGGTGGGTCTTGAAGGTGGCTAGGGAGGGGGCGAGACGGAGGGACTGCGGGATGGAGTTCCAGAGGGTGGGTGCAGAGTGGCGGAAAGCCCGCCTGCCGATAGTGGGGCGAGCAAGGCCGGGGACGTGAAGCAGGCCAGAGCCCACTGAGCGGAGGGAGCGGGCAGGTTGGTAAGGGGTTAGAAGGTCGGAGAGGTGTGGGGGAGCAAGTCCATGGAGGGCTTTGAGGGTGAGGACCAGGATCTTGAACTGTATCCTCTGTGTGATGGGAAGCCAGTGGAGTCGGGCGAGGATGGGGGTGATAGGGTTACGGAGTTTGGGGGGGAGGACACAAGCTGCAGAGATCTGGATGATCTGCAGCCTGTGGAGAGAGGAGTTGGGGAGGCCGACAAGCAGTGAGTGCGTAGTCGAGCATCGAACTTATGAAGGCATGTGTGAGGGTTTTGACGGCCTGCGGTGTGAGACAGCATCAGAGCCATCATCACCATCATCATCACTGCCATCATCATCACCACCAGCAACCCCATCATCACCACCACCATCTTCATCACCACCATCATCCTCATTACCATCATCACCATCACCACTATCATCATTTCGACCATCACCGCCATCCTCCTCCTCAACATAACCACCACCATCACCACCACCATCATCATCACCATAATCATTGTGACCATCAGCACCATCATCATCATCATCAACATCATCATCACCACCACCATCCTCACCATCACCACCATCACTATCATCATCACCATCAGTAACCCCATTATCATCACCAGCATCCCTATCACCATCATCACCACCACCACCATCATCACCATCATCATCACCTTCACCACCATCACTATCATCACCGTCATCACCATCACCCCATCATCATCACCACCACCATCATCACCACCATCATCCCCATCATCATCACCATAACCATCATCACCGTCACCACCACTGTCATCTCACCACCACCACCATCATCACCATCATCATCATCACCATCATCATCATCACCACCATCACCAACACCATCATTACTACCACTATCATCACCATCATCACCGTCACCACCACCATCATCACTATCATCACCACCACCATCATCATCACCGTCACCACCACTGTCATCACCACCATCATCACCGTCACCAGCACCATCATCACTGTCATCACCACCATCATCATCACCGTCACCATCATCACCACCACCATCATTACCGTCACCATCATCACCACTATCACCACCATCATCCCTATCATCATCATCACCATCATCACCACCACTATCATCACCATCACCATCATCATGTCTTCGAGACGTCCCAAAGCGCTTAGCAGAATATGTTGTAAAGTGAACTTTCTTCAGCTCAACGTGCGTAAAACTGAGGCCCTCCTGATTGGCTCACGTCAGCGCCATCATCCCCATCATCATCATCACCATCATCACCACCACCTCCATCATCACCATCATCACCACCACCATCATCACCACCACATCATCATCACCATCATATCACCGTCACCACCACCATCACTGTCATTACCACCATCATCATCATTACCATCATACCACCATCATCATCACCATCATCATCACCGTTATCACCACGACCATCATCACTGTGATCACCACCATGATTACTACCATCATCCTCATCACCTCGATCACCACCATCATCCATCATCATCACCTGAACCACCATCATTCTCATCTCCATCATCACCACCATCATCATCACTATCACCACCATCCTCATCACGACCATCATCACCATCACCATCATCACTACCATCACCATCATCACACCACCGTCCGTCATCACCATGATCACCATCATCACCCTATGCAGGTTAGGGAGTAACATTGGGCTGAGTTTCTTTACTCAACTCTGTTTACCAGCAGTTAGTAAGAATGCAGTTGTTAGTTGTTTGGCAGATCGCTTTCTGGGGATAATAATCCTTTCAAAAAGAATAATAATTTGCTCACTCTGGAACACTGCAGTGTGCAATTGACTGCTGCATTTCACCCACAAAATGCAGTCACTACACTTTAGACATCTTGAAGATGTGATAAGGCGCTATATCAAATGCTAGTATTATTATTCTTATTATATGTGTCCTGGACTATTCATATACAGAAGCCCCGGAATTTTATGCCCATTTAATGTTTTAAACTTACATTTGAAAGAATTGATACTTTCTGCTTCCACCTTCCATCTCCCTGGGGAGCCTTCTATACATTTACCACTCGTTCACTGCAGATTAGCATTGAATTTAACCCCTTCAATCGTAGGCAGTGCACACAACAACAACTTGCATTTCTGTTGCACCCTTCACGTGGAGTAGTGTTCCAGATCGCTTGACAGTGGCGGAGTCTGACCCCAAGCCAGGGGGAGAGGGAGGGGGGCGGTGACCGTAAGCACGATCAAAAAAGGTCTTTAGGTTTGATTTGAAAGTGGGGAGGGAGTGGGCGAAGGCAGAGGGACTTAGGAGAGAGATCCAGAGTTTTGGGGCGTAGTGGCTGAAGCATGGACACCGATGGTGGAGCAGAGGGGACAAAAGACGAGCAGGAGGCTGCGGATGGTGGAGTGTGGGAGTAAGCAGAACCACTGCCCCTGTGGGCCAGAGTCACCAGCCTTGCCCTTGCTACTCAACACCCACCACCCCCCCATCCCACCAGCCTGACATTGACCTCCGGCCCCCCCCATCTTGCCACAGGTGGACGATGATAATGTGTCGAGCTTGGAATCCCCCAACCTGGTAGAGAGCATGCATTCGCCATCCGTGACCAGCATCCCATGGAAATACAGAGGCTACGAGGATCTGCTCAACAGCAAAACAGACCCTGGCTTTGTCCAACCAAAGGGTACCGTCTGCACTGGAGCTGTCTTAACCCCATTCCCTGTTCTCTCCCCATCGTGTCTGTGCTGGTGCTTGCTCCTTCGCTGGAGCTCTCTACTCTAACCCCATTCCCTGCTCTCTCTCTCCCCATCGTGTCTGTGCTGGTGCTCACTCCCTCACTGGAGCTCACTCCCTCACTGGAGCTCTCTAACCCCATACCCTGCTCTCTCTCTCCCCATCGTGTCTGTGCTGATTCCGTGCTGTGTTGCTCACTGACAAGCCGTGATGTTGAGCCACACGCTGTGCAGCGCTCAGGACAGTGAACACTTAAGGCTCTTTAAATGCCTGCTGTTATTGTTGTTGACTGAGTCTCTGGTGTCCTGTGCAGGGATACAGCAAAGCGTTTGTCAGCTAGAGCACACCCTGAGGAAGCTGCAGCTCTACCCAGACCCACACGCCAGGGTGGACCTTCTGCGAGTCCCCTATATACCCAAGGAGAGCAAGGTAAGTGGAGTCCTGTAGCCTAGTGGTTAGCACTCACCTCACAAATGAGAGGACCCGGGGTTGATTCCTGGGCAGGGCGAAAACGTTGGGTTAGTTTCCTTACTCCACACGCCTCTGTTTACCTAGCAGTGAGTAGGAACCTGTTGCTGGTCGATTGGCAGATCGTTTTCCGAGGGTAATAATCGCGCCCCCAAAAATAATTTAATCTACGACTGGGACATTGCTGTGCGCAATTGGCTTCTGCGTTTCGCCCGCAAAATACACGGTCACTACATTATACTATATTGTGTGAAGCGCTTTGAGACAAGGTGGTAAGGTGCTATATAAGAACATAAGAAATGCTAGACGAAAAAAGACCAATATCCATTTAATTCGCCTTCCACCTTCCTGGCGGTGACTTGCACATATGTCCCAAGCTCTCTATGTGCTGTATCGCATAATGTTATTTCCTAAAAGAAAACTATCTAATCTGTATTTGTAAGACTTCAACTGTCTCCCCAAGGAGCCTGTCTGTTCACTATTCACTCACTGAAATAGTTTTTGCGTAGATTTGTTCTGAATTTATCTGCCTTCAATTGTAGGCCATGTCCTCTGATTTTACTATTCTGAACAAGTTGAAGCAGCCCGACATGATCTATATTGTTTTGCCCCTTTAGAGTCTTAAAGACATCAATCATGTCGCCTCTCAATCTTCTCTTTCCCAGCGTGAACATACCCAATTTACTTAGTCGCTCCTCATAGTCCATTCCCTCAATCATTTTGGTTGCCCTCCTCTGTATCTTCTCGATTTCTCCAGTATCCTTTTTGTCCTGCGGTGACCAGAACTGTACACAGTCTCTAAGTACAATCTCACCAATGATTTATACAGTGGCGGGATTACCCCACTATTTCGGCTGCTGTTGATCTTTTGATACATCCTGTATTGTTGGGAGAGCTTTAATTTATTGTCAATTTTCATTTTCCATACATATTATTTTCTTTCTGTTCTATTAATAATAGTCCCTTCCAGGATTTTTTGCCCCCATGTGAAGTACTTCAATTTCTCCACATTGAATTTCATCTGCCGCTGATCTGCCCAATTCCCAAGTATATTCAAATCCTCCTGTAACCTATCTTGTTCAGCTTCACAATCTACCACCTTCATTAGCTTGGTGGCATCTGCAAACTTAGCCTCTGTGCTTGCTATATGAAATGCAAGGATTATATTATTATCATCCTTCTCTCGTCCCCTCTTAAAATGCCACGTGAAAATCTCCCACCATGTCTGTGCCTGGGAGATGGCAGTCAGTGAGGCTGGGAGATGTGTCCTGGGTGACGGTTGTTGTGCATCTCTCACGCGTTTCTCCTTTCTTCTGTTCACCTCCTAAAGCTGCGGAAGCTTCCAGCCATCCCACCTCGTAAAGGCAGAGTGAAAAGGCTGGACGGATTACTCCGGAAAATCCGTGAGAGGTCGGCGCTGACCGAAATTCCTTTAGGTATTATTCCCTTTGTAGTGGGAGGCAAAATGATTAGCTGTGTGTGTTGTGGGGTGGGGGTGGGGTAACAGGACACGGAGTTCTCCATGGGCTGGGCTGGCCCAAAGGTGATCTTCCTGACAACACGTGAGAATCTGTGACGGTCTCTTGTCTGGTTCCTGAGCCAGGTGGGTCCGTGATGCCTGGCTCATCAGCAGGACCTGGAAGGGCAGTCACTGGGGGCAGGGAATTCACCCACTCAGCTCCTGTTAACCCTGCAAGTCACAGCCTTAATAGGTAAGGTGGTCCCAGCTGGACTAATGGCACACCTTGTGTTCATATTTGGCTGCCAGATTTGCTGACGAATCAGTCGTTGCCCAAAAATCGCTGTTAGGCATTGAGGTGTTTGTTTCCATTATTACTTCTCCCCCCCCCCCCCACCCCTGTATTTCTCTGGACTCTTTCTGAGCTCTCTCTCTGATGTTGGTCTCTCTCTCTCTAAGCTTCATCTGTATCTCTCAGCTCCGTGTCTCTCTATGAGCTACCTCTGTCTCTCTCTCTCTCTGTGAGCTCTATCTCGTTCTCTCTGAGCTCTGCCACCCTCTCGCTGAGCTGTTTTTCTCTCTGAACTCTGCCTCTCATTCTGAGCTGTCTCTCTTCCTCAATCTGAGATCTATCTCTAAGCTCCGTCTCTCTCTCTCTCTCTGAGCTGTCTGTCTCTGTGAGCTCTATCTCTGAGCTGTCAGTCTCTGTGCAACCTCTGATAGACGTGCTGTGTGATTGGAACAGCCAGGGCCCTGTGGCAGGAGATCCAGCGACAGGAGTATGGTGATGCGATGACCTTACTCAAGCGGCTACAGAGGAAGTACAAGGAGGCTCACCTCCAGCTGCAGGAGAACATTGCGGCGCTGAGGGTAGAGTGTGAGGCTACTGCCAACAAGGAAAGCCTGCCATCCTCCCCTCAGCCCCAGCACAGCAGCACCCAGACCGCAGACAACACCTCCAACACAGTGCAATGACAGCAGTGACTCCAATCCACCACCGGGGAGGAACAAAGGACAGAATAAAGAGTTCTTGTTTTGTATTTCTCTCTCTCCCGCACTCTGGAATTCTTGTTTCTTGAGATAGCAATAAGAATCCTTGCATCTCAAAGCGCTTCACAGTAAAATGTAAAATGCAGTGACTATTTTGTGGGTGAAACATGGCAGCTAATTGCGCATAGCAATGTTCTAGTCATGGATTGAGTGATCAATTTTCTTTGTTGGAGGGATTATTACCCTGGAAAGTGATCCACCAATCAACTAACAACCAGTTTCCTACTTACTGCTGGCAAACAGAGGTGTGTAGAGTAAGGAAACTTGCCTAACATTTCACCCTGCCTGGGAATCGAACCCGGGTTCTCTCACTTGCGAGGTGAGAGCTCTAAGGACTACGGGACTCCACATTGGCCAGATGGTCTGCTCACTGCTAAAATCTCAATGCGAACATCTTTGATATCTGTGCATTCAACGTCTGCCTGAACAGGTACAGATGCGGAGCACGTTTTAAAGGCTATTTCAATTCGATCACTATTATTATTACTGTCCACACCAAAATAGAAGTTGCTGGGAACACTCAGCAGGTCAGGCACCAACTATGGAGAAACGGAGACAATGTTGACTCACTTTCCTTTCTCCATAGATGCTGCCTGACCTGCTGAATGTTCCCAGCGACTTATTTTATGTTTTCAGATTTCCAGCATCTGCAATATTTTGTATTTTGATCATTACTATCGAGTCAGGTTCAAACCAACAATCTTCTGACCCAAAGAACATAAAAATTTGCTGGCAAAAGAACGAATGTCCAACTAGTTCACCTTCCACCATCCTGGCAGTCGCTTGATGTGTCCCAAACTGTGTCCTGAGATATTATTTTCTTGCAGAAATCTAATTTGTTCTCAAAACAAATGACATTTTCTGGCTCCCTCGGGAGCCTGTTCCACATTTTTACTACTCGCTCGCTGAAGTAGTGTTTCCACAAATTTGTTCTGAATTTAGCACGTGGCTGAGCCAACCAATCTCACCCCCCAAAAAAACAATCCTTTGGTAGAAAATAATAAAGTGTATTATATAGGGAAATAAATTCTACTTTGCTGGGGAGGTAAGGATGGAGGCAAGTAAGACACCAGGATATTGCAGTCCAGACACATTCAGAGTCCACCTGGCCTTGCTCCCACTCCCACATTTGGCACAAATTGTCCATTTATTGCCAGTTGCACTTTTGTAAACCTGGGTGTCCTCAGGTGTTGGATTCCAGAAGGAAGGTCCCCCAACTTGTGACCAAATTCTTCCAGAATTTTTTTTTAATTATACAAAAATTAATCTTTGGCGAGTTCTGTTGTCCTCACGTTACAGGCTGGTGAAGGTTGAGACGCCATCGCTCAAAGAGTGAAAGGGAATGAACGTGTTTGTAAAAGATACAAGTGGATTCTCATCTGTGCCCAAATACAGGCTCTGTGCCCTCAGCTCAACTGCCAGACACCCAGAGTCGCCAGACACTTAATTCAGTGGTTATTTGGTCTCACACCGGTAATGTCCCCACACTTCAAAATCCCTCCACACCTTCATGTCTCCCACCCTGCCACATCAGTCTCTCTGACCTCACCCTCTGGAACTCCCTACCAGAGTCCCTTTGCCTCATCCCCAGGAATCAAACCCAGGTCTCCTTCAAGACCTGTTTCAAGACCCTCCTTTGACCGTGTCTTCGGTCACGATCATACCCCCACCCTCCCTGCCCTCCACTCCTCCTGATCCTAATCATCAGCTCAGGTTGAAATCCCTGACTGCCCAGCACCTTGGGACGTCCTCCTGATGTGAAAGGTGCAATTGGCTGCTGTTTTGTGTACCCTGGATCCCAGGCCCATTCTCAATATATGTCTCTTCGACTGCGATTTTCCCTTCCCCCAATTCCATGTTGCAAAATGTAAGTGCATACTTGGTTGGGTTTTCTTAAGCAAGTGTGCACTTACATTACACAACAAGGAACAAAAGTTTAAAGACAAGTTGCTGAGCGGAATGCGAGGTGCTGGCTGACTCTGTGTGGCAGAGTTTTCATCGGGATTTTTTTTACAGGAGAGAGCAAAGGCGTGAAGGGTTTTTGCTGTCAGGAAGAAATGGACATTGGCTGTAATACGCACTTTGCAATGGCAGCTGGGGGAGGAGTGGGGAGGGGGGGGGTAGTCTCAGATTTGTGAGCTCCGGCCTAATGTTTTTCTCGCGTCCCCTCTTCTCCACCATTGGTGGCCGTGCGTTCAGTCACTATGCCCCGAAACTCTAGAACTCTCTCCCTCCACCTTGCACCCTCCCTCCCCATCTTCAAATCCCGCCTAAAGACCCTTTTTGATTGTGTTTACGGTCACCTCTCCCCGGGCTCGGGGTCAGACTGCGCCACTGTCAAGCCCCGGGATGCTACCCCACGTGAAGGGCACTGTGTTAGGGTTAAGTTGTATTTACAGGGAATCTCCTCACTCAGCCGCTGGGCAGGGTTTGGGAATCATTCCTACGAGCAGCTAGAGCCCCACTATTACCAAATATTTTCTCTCCCAACAATAATCTTGCCCATTAAAATCAACACTGTTCATTGTTAGCATTTGAAGAGGCGCAATTCTGTACCAAATTGAGGTACCAGGCAAGCAGCTCTGTGAGGCGGGGGCGGGAATAGAGAGGGAGTAAAGAGGGAATAAGAAGAGGGGAGAGGAAAGGGGGATGACAGAGAGAGGAGGGAGTAGAGACGAGAGCAAGAGGATGGAGGTAAAGAGAGACGGAGAAGTGAGAGGAGGGGGTGGTAGAGAAAGAGGAAAGGGAATGAGCAGGGCACAGGGACAAAGGTGGGGGAGCAAGGGTACAAGATAGAGGAAAGGGGGAGAGAAAGAGAGCAAGAGAGTGAGAAGGGAGATTAAGGGAAAAGAGGGGAGTGAAATGTGAGAGATAGCAAGAGAGTGACGGACAGGGGAGTGACAGTCAGGGAGTGACAAATAGAGGGAGTGAGAGAGAGACACAGAGGGAATAAGAGACAGAGAGGGGAGGGGAATGAGAGACAGAGAAGGAATGAGAGACAGAGAAGTGAGACACACTCACTCTCTCACTCCCTCTGAGACACAGAGGGAGTGAGACGGAGAAGGGGAAAGAGAGGGAGTGAGTGAGTGAAGGAGGGAGGTAGAGGAAAGGGAAAAAAAGGAGTGAGAAAGATGGGGGGGAAGAGAGAGGGAGTGAGGAGGATGAGCGACTGTGGCAATGGAAGATTCTAGAAGCTGCTGGGGCCGCGGTTACTTGTGTCTGTGTTTAGCGCTGGGCGGGTTGTGACCCCGAGCCTGATTCTGGCTGCGTTTCCTGCGGCTCCGGGCAGCAGGAGCCTGAGCAGAGCCCGAGGCTTGGGGCTTCCTCTTCCTCCTCCTCCTCCCGAGCCCATCCTGCCTCCCCTCCTCCTCCTCTGGCAAGGCTCGAGCCTCAGCCTGGCTTAGTCGCTTATCCCCGGTCTGAGGCTCGTCCTGGGCTAGCCTGGGAGCCGGGGCGGTTAGTGTGGCCTGCGAGTGGCGGTCACGGCGGTCCTGCAGGAGTTGCCCCCAGCGGAGCAGCAGCCCCTGGCCGGCTGGGTACGAGGTGCCAGGGGTTGGGCTATGGAGGCTGCGGCTGAGGTTCCGCGGGGTGGAGCGGACCACCCGAGGCCTAAGCAGTCGCCCGTCAGCCAGACACTTGGGTGGGGTGCATGGGGAGCACAGGATCGGCTTGAAGTGGTTCAGCTCCTCCGAGATGCTGTCATTGCTGTCGGGGCTGCCTGAGCGCTCCCTGGGAGGGCCCACGGGCCGGGAGATGCCCCCCGTTCCAGTACAGCCCCCCACCATGGGCCTGGCTCCGGCACCAACACCAAGGACCCCACCTCCGGCTCGCTCTCCACTCAGAGCCGGCGCCGAGCACGAGCGGCTGTTCTCTGACGAGGATAAGACGTTGAGGAGCGTCGAGGAGCCTGAGCCCAGCACCGGGCAGCAGCCAGCCTGAGGGACAGAGAGAGAATGAGGGACAGAGAGGGAGAGGGGCAGAGAGAAAGGGACAGTGAGAGAGAGCGAGAGCGAGAGGGAGGGACAGAGAGAGAGCAGAGAGCCCAGCACCGTGAGGAGGGAACTGAGTGAGAATTCTGTTTAGGAATTTGGTTAGAGTGGAAATTCGGTGCAGAGGGGGAATGAGGTGCATAATTATAAATTTTATAATATATTAAAATAATATAAAACATGTCTGGAATATGGCAGGACAGCTGAGACTGGTGGCATGAACAATGTGTGGTATGTGGGAACTCCAGGAGGCTTTGTGTGCCCTGGACAAACGTGTGTAGGAAGTGCTACCAGCTACTCGAGCTTCAGCTCAGGGTTTCTGAGCTCGAGGAGAGGCTGAAGTCACAGCATAGCATACGAGAGGCTGAAGAGTACATGGATCAAACATCTCAGGAGGTCAACACCCCACAGCCACAAAGGGTTCAGCAGGAGAGTGTGTGGGTGACCAGCCGCATGGTAGGAAGAGGGGATGGGCAGTGCAGAAATCCCCTGAGAGTGTGGCACTCACAAACCAGTTTCTCTGTACTGATTACCGGTCAGGGTGATGATACCTCTGGTCAGGGGAGTCAAAAGCAAATGGATGCACAGGGGAACACAGGAAGAGTGTCAGTGCAATTATCATTGGGGACACAACGGTGAAAGGAGTAGACAGATGTTTCTGCAACCAAAGACGTGACTCTCACATAGTATGTTGCCTTCCTGGTGCCGGGATTGAAGACATCACGGAACAGATGCAAAGCATTCTACAGGGGGAAGGGGAACATTCAGTTGTGGTCCATTTTAGGATCCATGATGCAGGGGAAAAATGGGCATAGATCCTATAGGGAGAGTATTAGAAGCTAGGGAAAAAGCTGGAGTAGGACCTCAAAGGTGGTGATCTCTGGATTACTCCCAGTGCCTCGTGCAAATGAGTATCAAAACAGCAGATCAAACACATGACTGCATTGTTGGAGAAATGCTGCAGAAAGGAGAGCTTCAGGTTCCTGGAAGTTTGGGACCAGTTCTGGGGCAAGTGGGACCGGTACAAGGTGGATGGGTTACACCTGAACAGGGCTGGGACCAATGTCCTCACAGGGAGGTTAACTAGTGCTCTGGGAAAGCGTTTAACCTAATTTCGAGTGGGGAAGGGAATCAGAATGTAGCATCAGAGAGGACAAACAAGTTACATAGAGAGCTGGGAGGGACGAATAGCAATGTAATAAGGAGTAGTCCAGAAAAAGGAGGGATTAGATGGGAGAGAAATGCAGAACAGACTAAGTTGGTCTTGGAGTGCATGCGTGTAAATGCACAGAGTGTGACAAATAGGTTGGTGAGCTGTGACTCAAGTTGCCACATAGGGTTATGATGTAATATAATAATAATAATAATCCTTGCATTTGATATAGCGCTTTATATAGCGATGTAGTGGCAATAACGGAGACCTGGCTCAAACAAGGGCAGGAATAGGAGCTGATATTTCTGGATACAATTCAGGAGGGATAGGGAAGGAAACAATAGAAGGGTGGAGTTGGTGGCAACATTGATTAAAGATACGGTTATGACCCTGGAAAGGGACGATGTGCTAGAGGGTCCAAAAACAGAATCTATTTGGTTAGAGTTAAGGAGCAGAAAAAGAACGGTTACTCTGTTCGGTGTATACTAGAGACCACCAAATAGTGGGAAGGAGATACACGAGCAAATCTGCAGCAGATTTCAGAAAGATGCAAAACCAATAGAGTAGTGAAAATGGAGGACCTCAATTATCCTGACATAAACTGGCAAAATAACAGTGTAAAGGGCAAGGAAGGGGAAGGAATCCTGAAATGTGTGCAGGATAACTTTCTCGATCAGTATGTTTCCAGCCCAACAAGAAACAGTGATGGATGTAGTTCTGGGGAATGAAGTGGGGCAAGTGGACCAGGTTTCAGTAGGAGAGCATCTGGACATCAGTGATCACAACATCATTAGGTTTAGAGAACTTATGGAAAGCGACAAGGAGCAATCAAAGGTGAAGATACTCAACTGGGACAGGCTAATTTCAGTGAGTTAAAAATGAACCTACCCTAGGTGGACTGGAAAGAAAGATTGGCAGGTAAACAACTAACAAACAATTTACAAGAATGGTACCAGGAATGAGGGACCTTGATGATAAGGAAAGGTTCGAGAGGCCGGGATTATTCTCATTGGAGCAGAGAAGGTTACGAGGATAGTAGAATGAAGGTTATGAGTCGGGGAGCGGCGGCAGGACAGCGCGGGGAGGAGCCCGGGCCTACTGACCCAGGTACTTAAACTCGACGCCGGAGCGAGTTCAGCTAGGAAGGGGGAGGGAGGTGTGGGGGCGGAGCGGGGGAACTGCGACGTCATAGATTAGTTTTCAGGTGCATGCGCGCGCAAAAAAAAAAAAAAAAAACCTCCGCGCCCCCCCCCCCCCCCAGGGCTCACATCAGAGCCCACTATGGTCCTGTTGGGTTCGCTGCCCCAATCTACGGGATAATGCCATCCACCTGACCGCTCGCTCCCGGTCCCCGCGTGCGCACTATGGCTGCCGCTTTGACCCGAGCCCCCTCACCCCCTCCCCCTCCTCTCTCCCCCAAACCCTCCCCCCTCTGCATCTCTCCCGCTCTCTCCTCCTCTCTCTCCGTCCCTCTCGTCTTCTATCCCCACTTGACCCTCCCACAACCTCCCTCTGTTCCAGCCTGGGAATCCTCCGCCGGGCTCACCGCGGCACTCGGCGTTGGCTGTCCAGCAGCAGCCACACCGACTGCCCCATTCCCCACCACACTCGCCAGCCACCCCGGACACAGACCCGGGGAGTCAACCTCTCCTCCCTCATCCCCATTCCCCCCACCCCTGCCTCACAACCTGGACCCCCCCCCTCCCACACACCCTTCTGTCAACCGCTCCCTCCACATCGGACTGCAAAATGTCCGCTCCCTCTGCAACAAGGCCCTGGTCATCAACGATCTCATCCTTGATGAGAACGTTGATATCATGGCCTTAACAGAAACCTGGCTCACCCCAGGCGACACCTTCCCCCTCACGGAGGCCACGCCACCCGGCTACACCTCCCACCACATCCCCCGCCCCAACCGCCGTGGCGGTGGTGTTGCCCTTATCTCAAGGACACCACTTGCCCTATCCCCCTACTCCACTGGCTCTTTCCCCTCCTTTGAGCACCTCACCCTCTCCCACCCCTCATTCCTCTCCCTTAAAATCCTCCTCCTCTACCGGCCCCCTAAAACCTCTCCCACCTTCATCTCTGACATTTCAACACTCCTCACATCTCTTTGCCTCTGCTCCGATCGCCTCATCATCCTGGGCGACTTTAACCTACACTTCACCCCCTCCTGCTCCATCTCCACAGACTTCTCTTCCCTGCTCTCCTCACTCAACCTCTCCTTACACATAAACTCCCCCACTCACAGTCACGGCCACCCACTCGATTTGGTGATCACCCGGGGCCTCAGTGTCTCGGATGTCACTATTACCGACAAGGCCATCTCTGACCACTACTTCATCTCCTTCACCACCTCCACCCCCCTCCCCACCTCCACCAGACCCACCACCATCTTCTACCGCCCTTGGAAGAAGTTACCCCCACAATCCCTAACCGATGCCTTGGAGTCCTCTGAACTCCTCTCCCTCTGGCCTTCAACCCTCACCGACCCCTCTTCTCCTCTCTCCCTCCTCCACAATACCCTCTCCTCCACACTCGATACTCTTGCCCCCATCACTTCCCGCACTGTCTCCTACTCCCGCTCCTCCCCCTGGTACACCACCCACCTCCGCTCACTGAAAAGCCAGGTGCGGGCTGCTGAACGCACCTGTGCCAAATCTGGCCTAACGGTCCACCGACAAATCTGGCTGGACCTCCTCAAAATTTACCGCTCCACTCTAGCCTCGGCCAAGTCGTCCTTCTACTCCAGGATAATCCTGGAGGCGAAGAACAACCCCAGGCTACTGTTTTCCACCACAACCCGACTCCTCCGTCCCCCCGCCACCCCGCGCAGGTCATCTCCTCCAACCTTCACTGCGAGGAGATGCTGGATTTCCTTGAATCCAAGATCAAGGGAATCCGCTCCGCGGTCACTTCCCCTCCAACTTCCACCCACCACCCACCCCTTCCCTCCCACACTCCGACTCCTACCCATCCTCCCCTACACACCTTCGTACCCGTTTCCCCACCCTCTGTCACTGAACTCATCCTATCCCTAAAACCAACCACCTGCTCCCTTGACCCCATCCCCACTCCACTCCTTATCTCCCAGCTCCACTTTCTTGCCCCACATATCACTGACATCATCAACCTGTCCCTCTCCTCTGGCTCTGTCCCCATTCCATTAAAAACTGCCATCATCACGCCCACCCTGAAAAAACCCTCCCTTGATGCGTCGCAGCTATCAAGCTACCGGCCCATCTCCAACCTCCCCTTTCTCTCCAAGGTCTTGGAAAGAGTTGTCGCCTCCCAACTGCGCTCTTTCCTTTCCACCCATTCTCTTTTCGAACCCCTTCAGTCAGGTTTCCGTGCTGCCCATAGCACAGAAACTGCCCTGGTCAAGGTCACCAATGATATCCTGACCATCTGTGACCAGGGCTCCCTCTGCCTCCTCGACCTATCGGCAGCATTCGATACGGTCGACCACGCTATCCTACTCCACCGCTTGTCCTCCCACCTCAACCTTCAAGGCACTGTCCTTGAATGGTTTAGGTCGTACCTTTCTCACCGTCTTCACTTTGTCTCGACGAATGGCTTCTCCTCCACCCCCCGTACTGTCTCATGTGGTGTCCCTCAGGGCTCTGTCCTCGGTCCCCTCCTCTTCACCCTCTATATGCTCCCCCTGTGGTGACATCATCCGCAGACATGGAGTTAACTTCCACATGTATGCGGATGACACCCAACTCTACCTTTCCTCCTCTACTCTCAACTCCACGACCACCGATGTCCTGACAGCTGCCTGTCCGACATCGAGTCCTGGACGAGAGACAACTTTCTTCAGCTCAACGTGCGAAAAACCGAGGCCCTCCTGATTGGCTCACGTCAGCGCCTCCGCACCTCAGGCGCTGACACCATCAGCATCCAAGGCTGCACTCTCCACCTCTCAAAGCCAGTCAGGAACCTCGGCGTTTTGTTCGACCCTGAGCTGTCCTTTCTCCCTCACATCCGCACCACAACTGGCACCGCCTTCCATCACCTCCGGAACATCGCCAGACTACGGCACTACCTCACCCCTCACGCTGCTGAAACCCTGGTTCACGCCTTTGTCACCTCAAGGCTGGACTATGGGAACTCTCTCCTCGCCGGCCTTCCCGCCACCTCCCTCCACAAGCTGCAGGTCATTCAGAACTCTGCAGCTCGTGTACTGTCCCGCACCAGGCTTCGGGACCACATCACTCCCACCCTCGCTCGCCTCCACTGGCTCCCCATCCCCCAGAGGATTGATTTCAAGATCCTCATCCTCACCTACAAGGCCATTCACGGCCTTGCTCCCTCCTACCTCTCCAACCTACTATCCCCCTACCTACCTGCCCGTACCCTCCGTTCCTCTGGCTCCGGTCTGCTCCACGTCCCCCGCCCCAACCGCCCTACCATCGGTGGTCGGGCCTTCAGCCTCTCAGCCCCGAGGCTCTGGAACTCCATCCCCCAGTGCCTTCGCCGCTTCCTCCCTTTCCTCCTTCAAGGCCGGTCTCAAAACCTTTCTCTTTGACCGTGCCTTCAGCTCCCCTCTCGACTCTCTTCCCCTCCTCGCTCCCTCCCTTCCCTCCCTCACCCTGACCATTTCCCCCTCCTTGCTCTCCTTCCCTCCCTCACCCTGACCATTTCCCCCCTCCTCGCTCCCTCCCTTCCCTCCCCTCACCCTGACCATTTCCCCCCTGCTCGGGTCATGACCCAACTGTGCAGCGCCTTTGGACGTCCTCCTGACGTGAAAGGCGCTTTATAAATGGAATATTGTTGTTGTTGTTGTTGTTGTTGAGGAGACCTAATAGAGGTCTTCAAAATCATGAGGGGATTTGATAGGTTAGAAAGGGAAAAACTGTTCCCACTGGTGGGAGTGTCGGTGACTCGAGGTCACAGATTCAAAATAGTATCTAAAAGAAGCCAAGGAGCGGTGAGAAGAAATGTTTTCACGCAGCGAGTTGTTGGAATCTGGAACCCATTGCCTGAAAGGGTGGTGGAGGCCAATCGGTAACAACCTTTAAAAACGTGGTGGACGGGTATTTGAGGAAGACGGGTTTGCAGGTTATGGGGAAAGGGCCGGGGAGTGGGATTGATATTACATTGCTCTATTCAAAGAGCCGCCCAGACTCGATGGGCCGAATGGCCTCTTTTTGTGCTGTACGATTCTATGATTCTATGGGAAGTCTTCAAGGAGGAGATAGTTTGGGGACGGAACAAATACATTCCCACAAAGGGGAAAGGTAGGGCAACCAAACTTCCCTGGATGAATAAGGAAATTGCGATTAAAATAAAACAGAAAAATGTCAGGTCCAAAACACAGAAGATAATCAAATAGAATATAGAAAGTACAGAGGTGAACTAAGAAAGGAAACAAGAGGGGCAAAGAGATTTGTATGAGAAAAGGTTAGTGGGTAACATAAAAGTATTTTATAATCATATAAAGAATAAAAGGTTAGTTAAAGGTAGGGTGAGGCCAATTAGGGACCAAAGAGGAAACCTCCTTGTGGAGGCTGATGTACTGAATGAGGACTTTGCATCTATCTTCACAATAGAAGAGGATGGAGCCAATGCCACAGTATTGGAGGAGAAGGTAGAGAAATTGGATAAAATAAACCAGGAGGAGGTACTAAAAAGGTTGTCAAGGTAGATAAGTCACCAGGTCCTGACGGGATGCATCCTAGGTTTCTGAGGGAAGTAAGGATGGAAATAACAGAGGCTCTGGCCACAATCTTTCAATCCTGAAAGGGTAGAAGGATATATCCGGAACTACAGGCCAGTCAGCCTAACGTCAGTAGTGGAGAAACTTCTAGAGACTATAATCCAGGACCAAATAAATTTTCACTTAGAAAAATATGGTTTAATAAAAGACAGCTCACACGGATTTGTTAAAGGCAAATCATGTCTAACCAACTTGATAGTTTTTTGGATGACGTAATGGAGAGGGTGTACACTTGATGTAGTTCATATGGATTTTCAAAAGGTGTTTGATAAAGTGATAAGAGACTTGTAAGCAAAATAGAAGCCCACGGCATTAAAGAGACAGTGGCATCATGGATACGGAACTGGCTGAGAGACAGAAAACGAGTGTTGTTTTTGTGACTGGAGTGAAGTGCGCAGTGGTGTCCCCCAGGGATCAGTATTGGGACCACTGCTGTTTTTGATCTATATAAGTGACTTGGGTATAAGGAGTACAATTTCCAAGTTTGCAGATGATACTAAGCTGGAAAAGTAGTAACCAGTGAGGAGGATAGCAGCAGACTGCAAATGGCCATAAACAGACTGGTAACGTGGGCAGACAGGTGGCAGGTGATGTTTAATATGGAGAAATGTAAAGTGATGAATTTTGGGAGGAAGAATGAGGAGAGGCGATATAAGCTGATGGTACAATCTTAAAGGGAGTGAAGGAACAGAGAGATCTGGGGTTCAAAGTAACTCTTTGAAGGTGGCCGGATAGGCAGATAAAATAGTTAAAAAAGCATACGGATACTAGGCTTTATAAATGGGGGCATAGAATACAAAAGTCAGGAAGTTGTGATGAACCTTTGTAAACACTGGTTAGGCCTGAGCTAGAGACTGTGGTCAGTTCTGGGCACCGCCCTTTAGGAAGGATGTCAAGGCATTGGAGAGGGTGCAAAGGAGATTCATCAGGATGGTACCAGGAATGAGGGACTTCAGTTATCAGGAGAGGCCCAAGAAGCCAGAGAAGGTTAAGAGGAGACTTAATAGAAGTTTTCAAAATTATGAGGGGATTCGATAGGGTGAACAATAACAAAATTACATTTATAGAGCGCCTTTCACGTCGGGAGGACGTTCCAAGGCGCTGAACTGTCAGGTGTCGGGGCCTGAGCATGGGGGGGCAACGAGGGGTTGGGGAGTGGGGGGCATTAGGGGTTGGGGGCGAGGGGTTGGGGGCGAGGCGTTTAGGGGGCGAGGGCGTGTGGGGGGAGGGGGGTGGACGACGAGGGCGTGTGGGGGGGGGGACACGAGGGCGTGGGGGGACACACAAGGGCGTGGGGGGGGACACGAGGGCGTGGGGGGGGACACGAGGGCGTGGGGGGGGACACGAGGGCGTGGGAGGGGACACGAGGGCGTGGGGGGGGAACGAGGCAGAGGGAACGAGAGAGGGGTTAACTGGGTTGTGTGGGGGGGGAACGAGGGTGTGGGGGGTGACGAGGGCGTGGGGAGGGGACAAGAGGTGGGGGCTCTCGATGTCCTGCTCACCTTACGCCCCGTGGTCCCAGCTGGGGTGCTCCAGCTCCTGCTCTTCTCACAACTCGTGCTCAGTGCCCTGTAACACAAGGCCCAGGGGTCAGTGGGTTTTGACCACGACTATCTCCGCCCTCCTCGCCCCACCTCCTGATCCTAACCCCCAGTTCAGGTCCAAATCCCTGATTTGGGATGTCTTTCCGACATGAAACGTGCTATCTGTATAAATCCCAGCAGTGTGAAACCTTGGGCAAGTTTCCTTACTCCACACAGAGCCTAATAATAATCCTTCAAGAAAAAAACAATAATAAATTGGTCATCTTCAATCTACGACTGTTTGTGGGACATTGCTGTGCACAATTGGCTGCCGCGTTCGCCCACAAATATAAAGTCAATTCACTTTACAGTGTGTTCTGTGAAGCGCTTTGGGACGTCTCGAAGATGTTAAAAGCGCTATATGAAATGCAAAGATGATTATGACAGACAGACAGACAGACAGACAGACAGACAGACAGACAGGCAGGCAGGCAGGCAGGCAGGCAGGCAGGCAGGCTGGTCGGACTGACCTGGCTCGGGGGCTGCTGTTGGCTGCTGGGACACGCTTTGCCGGCTCCTCGTTTTCCGAGTCCGACATGTTATCTGCTGCCTGTAGGAGAGAGAGCGGAGATCAGCATTGTCAGCCCCGCCCCCAGCACCCCAACCCCGCCCCCCAGCACCCCAACCCCGCCCCCCAGCCCCACCCCCAGCACCCCAGCCCTGCCCCAGCACCCCACCCCCCCCCAGCCCACCCCACCCCCCAGCACCCCGCCCCAGCACCCCAACCCCGCCCCCAGCACCCCAACCCCAGCACCCCAGCCCCCAGCACAGCCCCGCCCCAGCACAGCCTTGCCCCCAGCCCCGCCCCCAGCCCCGCACTGCAGCCCCCAGCCCCGCCCTCCAGCCCCCAGCCCCGCCCACCAGCCCAGAGAAGCCCCCAGGCCAGTCCCAGCACAACCAGGTATTGCCCCCAAGCCCCCAGTCCAGCACAACCCCTACCCCAGCCAACATTGCCCAGCTACTCTCAGCCCCTACCCCACCCCACCCACATACACTCCCACCCCTCATACACACTCCCCCCGCCACACCCCCCCATACACACTCCTTGCCCCCTCCACACACACTCTCCCTCTCCCCCCCCACCCCCATCACATGCATACACACTCCCCCCTCACACATGCACGCTCCCCTCCCCCTCATGCACACTCACTGTCCCCCCTCCCACACACACTCCTAAGGTTTTCCCTGCCCGGGAATCAAACCAAGGTCCTCTTGCTTGCGAGACGAGTGCTCTAACCACCAGACTCCGCCACTGCCTCACCCCTCAGGCCCCCAAACCCTCACCCATGCACTCGTCACATCAAAGCTCGAATACGGGAACTCCCTCCTCATCGGCCTTCCCAACTTTTCCTTTCACAAACTGCAGATCATCCAAAACTCTGCAGCTCGTGTACTCTCACGCACCAGGGCTCCGTGACCCCATCACTCCCACCCTCACCCGACTCCACTGACTCCCCATCCCCCAGAGGATCGAGTTCAAGATCCTCGTCTTCACCTTTAAGGCCATCCATGGCCTCGCCCCCTCCTACTTCTCTGACCTGCTGACTCCTCCGTTCAGTGAGCTCCGGCTGCTCCATGTCTCCCGCCCGACCCTCCCTACCATCGGTGGCCGGGCTTTCAGCCTCTCCGCCCCACACTCTGGAACTCCATCCCACGGTCCCTTCCCCTCACTTCCTCCCTTTGCCTCCTTCAAGGCCGGTCTTAAGACCCTTCTCTTCGACCGTGCCTTTGGTCTCCCTCCCACCTCTCTGCCTTCCCTCACCCCTACACCACCCCTCCCCCATGCCCCACCCCGCCCCCCTCCTCAACCCTCACCCCTACCCCACCCCTCCCCCGTGCTCGGGCCCCAACAGCTGACTGTTCAGCGCTTTGAGACGTCCTCCCGATGTGAAGGGCGCTCTATAAATGTAATTTTGTTGTTGTTGTTGAGCTACAGGTCTATATCAAATGCTAATATTGTTATTATTGACAGTTATTCTCTGTGATAAACACATGGGAGACATTTTGACATAAAAAGCATTGGACACTTACAAATTCTCGGCTCCACTTTCGCGAAGGCTCTTCGTCTTTCTTCCCCGGCTCTGTTACCTTCTTCTCCATTTCCTGCGTTTCCTCTTCAGCCAAAATGATCTGGATCAGCTCCTCTGTGGCCTCATCCTCCTCCTTTAGGCCCTCCTTCTGATCCTCGTACTTGGTGGGGCGGGCGGAGGGGGGGTGACAGAGACAGAGACAAGCACATTAATACCACATCCAACAGGCTTCACTGTGATGGCTCACCCAATCACATTCTCAAGTCAGGAGGTTGTTGGTTCAAGCCCCTACATTGGGGACTCTCGAGCTCACAGTCCAGGCTACTGCTCCAGCACAGCGCTGGGGGCGGAGGGAGACAGCATCACGTTGTCAAGCGCCTTCCTTTGGGTGATATGTTAATCTGAACTCCCGTCTGTGCCCTGTTCAGGTGGAGGTTAAAGACACTATTTAAAAAGAGAAGGATGATTCTCTCCCGATATCCTGTCCGACAATCCTCGAGAAAAATTGGTCTCCTGTCTCAGGACATTTTGTGGGACTTCGCTGTGCAGAAACTAGCTGCTGTGTTTGCTCACAATCACTACACTTTACAGCTATTCCCTGTGAAAAACACCTCGAGACATTTTGACATAAAAGGCGGTAGCAATGTCTCAAAGCGTTTTAAAGACTAGGATTATCGTGAATTTTAACTGAAAGTTAGACCAGGCCAAGGAATCAGTGCTGATTATTTTACCGAGGAATGAAAACTGTCAGTGCAACATGTTGTCCTGATAATAATAATCCTTGCATTTGATATAGCTCTTTTCACGTCGGGAGGACATCCCAAAGCGCTTCACAGAACACACTGTAAAGTGAATTGACTGTATATTTGTGGGCGAACGCGGCAGCCAATTGCGCACAGCAATGTCTCACAAACAGTCGTAGATTGAAAATGACCAATTTTATTATTGTTTTTTGTTTTTTTGGAGGGATTATTATTAGGCTCTGTGTGGAGTAAGGAAACTTGCCCAAGGTTTCGCCCTCTGCCTGGAATTGAACTCAGGTCTCTTGCTTGCAAAGCGAGTGCTCTAACCACTGAGCTACAGGACTCCACGATATCTTGTGCGGTCCTGTAGCTCAGTGGTAAGAGCACTCGCTTTGCAAGTGAGAGACCTGAGTTCAATCCCCGGGGGGTCAGGGCCAAACCTTGGGCAAGTTTCCTTACTCCACACAGAGCCTAATAATAATCCTCCAAAACCACAAACAATAATAAATTGGTCATTTTCAATCTACGACTGTTTGTGGGACATTGCTGTGCGCAATTGGCTGCCGCGTTCGCCCACAAATATACAGTTAATTCACTTTACAGTCTGTTCTGTGAAGCGCTTTGGGACGTCCTCCCGACGTGAAAAGCACTATATCAAATGCAACGATTATTATTATTATAATACTGTTGTCACTGTGGAGCCCTGCAGCTCAGTGGTTAGAGCACTGGCCTCGCAAGTGAGACCCTATGTTCGATTCCTGGGCAGGGCAAGGACATTGGGCAATACCTAGCATTAAATAGTATCCCGGTTGTTAGTTGACTGACAGATCGCTTTCTGGGGCACATAATTCCCTACCAAATAAATATTAATAATTTGTTCATTCAATCCACGACTGTTTGTAGGACAATGCTGTGTGTTGATTCCCCCCTTTCCTCCCGGTCGAATTTACACTAATGGAGGGGTGCCAAAAACAACAATACATTACATTTACACAGTTGCTTTCATGTCGGGAAGACGTCCCAAGGCGCTGGACAGTCAGGGATGTGGACCGGAGCTGGGGTTGGGATCAAGAGGGTGAAGGGCAGGGAGGTGGGGGTAGGAGGGTGACCGAAGGTGTGATTGAAGAGGAGGGTCTTGAAAGACAGATCATGAAAGAGGCAAGGGAGGGGGCAAGGCGAAGGCAATGTGGGATGGAGTTCCAAAGGGTGGAGGCAGAGAGATTCAATGCGCGATCGCTGATGGTGGGGTGGGGCAGGCGGGGGTTGTGGAGCAGGCTGGAGCCTGCTGAGGGTAGAGAGCGGACAGGTTGATATGAGGTTTGCAGGTCACAGAGGTAGGGAGGTAGGAAACAACCCCAGCACAAGCATACGTGTCAAAAGAAGAGATGGAGGGTGGAAAAGAGGTTTACAGCCACATCACCCCCAGCGCCCACCCAATCCTGAGCAGCCATCCAGGCACCAGACAGTTAATCCAGTCACTGGACAGTTTAATTCTTGTCAACTCCATGTCTGTCCAGACTGGACTGACTGACCGAGCGATCGACTGACTGAGCGCGAATCAGCTGCTGCTTTCACTCTCTCGTGACTGGCCTGGTGGGGGTGATCCCAGTGAGAACATGCAGAGGCATGTCTGATACCAGCTCCCAGCCAAGATACACCGTATACACATACATACACACACAGCACACATACATACATACACACACATATACACACTGTATACCTCCACACAGCATACACTATACATAATAATAATGATGCTTGCATTTGATATAGCGCCTTATCACGTCTTAAAGCGTTTCACAGAATATAATGTAAAGTGAATTGACTGTATATTTTGTGGGCGAAACACGGTAGCCAATTGCGCACAGCAGCGTCCCACAAAGTCGTGAATTGATTTTTTTTTCCAGGAATTATTACCCCCGAAAAAGTGATCTGCCAATCGATTAACAAGCGGGTTCTTACTTACTACTGGTAAAGAGGCGTGTTGAGTAAGGAAACTTGTCCATCATTTTGCCCAGCTCGGGAATCAAACTCTTAGATCTCTGGCTTGTGAGGCGAGTGCTCTAAGCACTCAGCTACAGGACTCTACTTGCACACACATACAAATACATACACACATACCCCCACCCCCCACATATACACATATAGAGCGCGCTGTATATCTACACACACAGCACTGTACATATACACTCTCACACAGCACTCATATACACACATAGCACTGTGTTTATACACACGGAGCACTGTACACACACAGAGCACTGTACACACACAGAGCACTGTACACACACAGAGCACTGTACACACAGAGCACTGTATACACACAGAGAGAGCACTGTATATACACACACACACTCAGAGCACACCGCACACACTCTCACTTGGAGACTGAGCTTACAGCCCCAGCCTACGCTCCAGCGCAGTACTGGGGAGCGCTGCATTATCAGAAATGTTATCCTTTTAAACAAGACATCAAAATTGAGTCCAGCGCAAACACCCAACCGTGCCTGGTCCCTCATTGCTATTCCACATCTTCTCCAGATCAGCTCTGAGCTGTTTGTTTGCATCAAACACAAGTATTGCCAACAATTGTTAGTGGGAAAGAGTTAATGGTTGGTGGTGTCCGGTAGCTCAATGATTAGAGAGTTCACCTCACAAACAAGAGGATCCGGTTCAATTCCCGGGTGGGGCAAAATCTTAGGCAAGTAATGATAATAATAATCTTTGCGTTTGATGTAGCATTTTATCACGTCAGACGTCTCAAATCGCTTCACAGAATATACTGTAAAGTGAATTGACTATTTTGTGGGCCAAATGCGGCAGCCAACTGCATACAGCAGTGTTTTACAAACAGTCGTGGATTGAAGTAACCAATTTGCTGTGTGCAATTCCTACTTACTGCTAGGTAAACAGAGGCGTGTGGAGTAACGAAACTTGCCTAAGGTTTCACCTTGACAGAAACTTAACCCAGGTTCTCTCGCTTGTGAGGCGAGCATGATAACCTCGGCGTTTTGTTCGACCCTGAGCTGTCCTTTCTCCCTCACATCCGCACCACAACTGGCACCGCCTTCCATCACCTCCGGAACATCGCCACTACCTCACCCCTCACGTGGCTGATCCCTGGTCCACACCTTTGTCACCTCAAGGCCGGACTATGGGAACTCTCTCCTCGTCGGCCTTCCCGGCCCTCCCTCCACACTGCAGGTCATTCAGAACTCTGCAGCTCGTGTACTGTCCCCCACAGACACCGCGACCACATCACTCCCACCCTCACCCTCCCCCTCATCCTCACTCCCACCCTCGCCCTCACCCTCCCCCTCGCTCGCCTCCACTGGCTCCCCATCCCCCAGAGGATTGATTTCAAGATCCTCATCCTCACCTATAAGGCCATTCACGGCCTCGCTCCCTCCTACCTCTCTGACCTACTATCCCCCACTCACCTGCCCGTACCCTCCGTTCCTCCGGCTCCGGTCTGCTCCACATCCCCCGCCCCAACCGCCCTACCATCGGTGGTCGGGCCTTCAGCCTCTTAGCCCCCAGGCTCTGGAACTCCATTCCCCAGTGCCTTCGCATTGCTTCCTCCCTCTCCTCCTTCAAGGCCGGTCTCAAAACCTTTCTTTTTGACCGAGCCTTCAGCTCCCCTCTCGACTCTCTTCCCCCTCCTCGCTCCCTCCCTTCCTTCCCCTCACCCTGACCATTTCCCCTCTCCTCGCTCCCTCCCTTCCCTCCCCTCACCCTGACCATTTCCCCCCCTGCTCGGGTCCTGACCCAACTGTGCAACGCCTTGGGACGTCCTCCTGACGTGAAAGGCGCTTTATAAATGGAATCTTGTTGTTGATTAATTAATTAGGAGCCTAGTTGTTAGTTGATTGGCAGTTCGCTTTCTGGGTGTAATAATCCCTTAAAATGTTTTTATAATAATTTGGTCACTCAATCCACGACTGTTTGTGGGACACTGTTGCCAAATTCCGCCCACAAAATACACAGTCCCCACATTTTACAGTATATCCTTTGAGACATTTCGAAGAAGTCAACTGCAAGGATTATTATTATAACCAGAGCCATCGGGAATCTGTTTTCCCATTAAGTGGCGGAGCGCTGAGTCAATGCATTCCCACATGGCCTGGAAGCGGGGACAGAAAGGGTGTAAAGCTACGGTACCTGTCTCAGCTGGCTTTCAAACTCATCCCGCACCTCACCCGCTTTGCTCAGCACCAGTGGAGCTCGGAACACAAACTCTGTAAACACAAAGAGAACAGCGCGTTGTGACAGGAAGCCTTGGGTCCCCTCCCACCCCCCGATACAGCATTTAATCTGCTGTTCGCAATTAGTTGCTGCTTTTCGCCCACAAAATATAGTCACTACACTTTACAGTATATTCTGTGAAGCGCGTTGAGATGTCTCGAAGACATGACAAGGCGCCATATCAAATGTGAGGATTATTATTATAATCAAATGCTCACAGCATCACACCATCCTGCTGCTGCTGCTGTCAATTAGCTGCGCAAATCAGCCCCGTTTCCTGTACATTTTCAACAACAATAACAACAACTTGCATTTACACAGCGCCTCTCACACAGGGTAATGTCCCAGAGCACTTGTCAGTGGCCGAGCATGATGCCGAGCCGGGGGGAGGGGGAGGTGACGTTAGGCACGGTCGAACAGGAAGGTCTTCAGGCGTGACCTGAAGATGGGGAAGGAGGGGCAAGGCGGAGGAATAGAGAGTGTTCCAGGGTTTCAGGGCATAGTGGATGAAAGTGCAGCCATCAATGGTCGAATGGAGGGCACGAGAGATAAGCAGGAGGCTGGAGCTAGCCGAGTGGAGGCAGTGGGTTGTGAGTGAGCAGATCGGAGATGAAGGGAGGTGTCAGGGCCTGAAGGGATTTGAAAATGAGTGTGAAGATCTTAAAATCTCAACTACTACAATAAACTCAATCGCCAGCCATCGCCTGAACACTAAAAAGTGGCTCACAGCTTCTGGTGTTGTGGTGGGAGGGGCGGTGACCAGCGCTGTAACACACCAAGGAGCTTCACACGTAATTGCTGGTGATTTACTGTAGATGAACGCAGCAGCCAATTTGCACACAGCAACAAACAGCCATGACGTGAGTGAGAGATTTTAATTGAGGGATTGTCGGCCAGGATGTTGGGAGGAGAGAGGTGGAGAGAGAGAAAAACTCCCTAAACTTGCTTCTCTTTTTAAATCACGCTGCAGAGATCTTTAACATCCACCTGAACAGGGCACAGACGGAAACTGGGTTTCAATGACAGATGAGATAGTTTCATTTAAGAAATAACATTATGGGATATAGTACACAGGGAGTTTGGGACATATGGGCAAGCGACTGCAGGAGAGTGGAAGGCAAACTAGATGGACTGTTTTCATCCAGAATTTCTTATGTTCTGATGTTAGTGACCCATTGAAAGGGAAGTGAGGTCAGTGACTCTATAAAATCTCTCCCACAGTGAGTGCCCCCCAGTGCTGTGCTGGACTGTGGGCTTCAACTCGAGGCAAGAATGCCAGTGACTGAGCCATGTGATAGGGGTGAGACATTTCATTATGATGAGGCATGTGTCAAGAGGGAGGATTATAACAGTTAACTCAGACCATTTCCTCATCTCCCTCTGCTCCCGCATCCCCTGCCCTCTTGCCTCTCTGCAACCCTCAACTCACTTCCCCCCCACCCCACCCCCACCGAAATCCAGATCTCCAAATCTACCCGCTCCCCCTGGGATAAGAGTCATCTCCACTCCCTCAAAACTAGAACCCAGACACTCAAGTGCAGATGACTCTCGAAACCCTGTTCCTCTATTCCTCCGGCTTGCCCCTTCCTTCCCCATCTGAAGGTAGTGCCTGAAGATCTTCCTATTCAACTGTGCCTACAGTCAGCCCCCTACCCCCTGCTTGGCATCGTGCTCCGCCATTGTCAAGTGACTGGGACTCTACGCTGCCTGAGGTGCTGCAACTTGTTGTTAATAAGCCAATAAAAAGATTACATTTGTATACACAACAACAACAAGATACCAAGTCCCCAGCTTTAAATAATAATAATCCTTATTATACAGACTTACTGTAGAGTGTAGTGACTGTGTGTTTTGTGGGCGAAACAGCAGCCAATTGCACACAGCAAACAGTCATGGGTTGAAGTGATCAATTACTTTATTATTATTTATTCGTTGGGATTATTACCCCAAGAAAGTTATCCACCAATTGACTAACAACCAGGTTCCTACTTACTGCTGGTGAACAGGTGTGTGGAAACCCGTCCGACATTTCACCAGGAACAGAGCGCAGGTCTCTCATCCCCCCCCTCCCTCTCACACCCCCCTCCCTCATCCCCCCCCTCCCTCTCACACCCCCCTCCCTCTCACACCCCCCCTCCCTCATCCCCCCCCTCCCTCTCACACCCCCCTCCCTCATCCCCCCCTCCCTCTCACACCCCCTTCCTCACACCCCCTCCCTCTCCACCCCCCTCCCTCTCACACCCCCCCCTCCCTCATCCCCCCCTCCCTCTCACACCCCCCCCCTCATCCCCCCCTCCTCTCACACCCCCCTCCCTCTCACACCCCCCTCCCTCACCCCCCCTCCCTCTCACACCCCTCCCTCTCACACCCCCCCTCCCTCATCCCCCCCTCCCTCTCACACCCCCTCCCTCATCCTCCCTCTCACACCCCCCTCCCTCATCCCCCCCTCCCTCTCACACCCCCCTCCCTCTCACACCCCCTCCCTCATCCCCCCCTCCCTCTCACACCCCCCTCCCTCATCCCCCCCTCCCTCTCACACCCCCCTCCCTCATCCCCCCCTCCCTCTCACACCCCCCTCCTCATCCCCCCTCCCTCTCACACCCCCCTCACTGTCTTTCTCTCGTTCCCCCCCCTCTCCCCCTTCTTTTGTCCCTCTCTCTCATACCCTTCTCTCCCTCTCTCGTCCGCGCCCTCTCTCTCTCATCCCCCCCTCCTCCTCTTTCGTATCCTTCTGTCTCATTCCCCCCTCTCATCCTCCCTCTCTTGTGCCCCTTTGTCCCCCCCTCCAGTCCCCCCTTTCACTCTTTCTTTCCCCCTCTCTCTCCCGTACCCTCTCCCTCTCTCTCTCTCTGTCACTCAGCTCCGGTACCTGTTCTCTCCGCGGGTTCCTGCCTCTGGCGGCGGCCTCTCCTCACGGGCCCCGAGTGTCGGTGAGGCTGAGGTCGGGCGCGGCCCGAGCGGCGGCGGCGGCAGCAGCTAAGCTCGAGTGTGGCCTCGGGAGTCAGGGTCCGGGAGCAGCCGTCACACAGCGGCCCGGGCCCGGCCTGGCGCTGGGCCTCGATCCCCGGCCTCGTCTCAGTGCTAACCCCGCGGCGGCTCCGGCTCCGCCCGCCCGAGGCCCCGGCCGCCATCTTACACCGTGACAGGCTGGGCCCCGCCCCCCCGTGACCGGCTGGGCCCGGCCCCCCCGTGACCGGCTGGGCCCCGCCCCCCCGTGACCGGCTGGGCCCCGCCCCCCCGTGACCGGCTGGGCCCCGCCCCCCCGTGACCGGCTGGGCCCCGCCCCCAGTGACCGGCTGGGCCCCGCCCCCAGTGACCGGCTGGGCCCCGCCCCCCAGTGACCGGCTGGGCCCCGCCCCCCAGTGACCGGCTGGGCCCCGCCCCCCAGTGACCGGCTGGGCCCCGCCCCCAGTGACCGGCTGGGCCCCGCCCCCAGTGACCGGCTGGGCCCCGCCCCCCGTGACCGGTGGGCCCCGCCCCCCGTGACCGGCTGGGCCCCGCCCCCCAGTGACCGGCTGGGCCCCGCCCCCCAGTGACAGGCTGGGCCCCGCCCCCCAGTGACAGACTGGGCCCCGCCCCCCAGTGACAGACTGGGCCCGCCCCCCAGTGACAGGCTGGGCCCCGCCCCCCAGTGACAGGCTGGGCCCCGCCCCCAGTGACAGGCTGGGCCCCGCCCCCCAGTGACAGGCTGGGCCCCGCCCCCCAGTGACAGGCTGGGCCCCGCCCCCCAGTGACAGGCTGGGCCCCGCCCCCCAGTGACAGGCTGGGCCCCGCCCCCCAGTGACAGGCTGGGCCCCGCCCCCAGTGACAGGCTGGGCCCCGCCCCCAGTGACAGGCTGGGCCCCGCCCCCCAGTGACAGGCTGGGCCCCGCCCCCCAGTGACAGGCTGGGCCCCGCCCCCCAGTGGGAAGAGAAATAAAACTTTTTTATAAAAATCCTTTATTGACATCAAACGGATTGACATTGAGACACAGTAACAGTCACATCATCCCACACCCCACCCCACCCCAGGGCCCTCCCCACACCCCACCCCACCCCAGGGCCCTCCCCACACCCCACCCCACACCCCACCCCACCCCAGGGCCCTCCCCACACCCCACCCCACACCCCACCCCACCCCAGGGCCCTCCCCTCACCCCACCCCACCCCACCCCACCCTCCCCACACCCCACCCCACCCCAGGCCCTCCCACACCCCACCCCAGACCACCCCACCCCACACCCCACCCCAGGGCCCTCCCCGCCCCAGGGCCCTCCCCCATGAAAACTCCAGATCATCTTCATTGGGGTCAAAACTGACCATTCCTGTCACTGCGATGGCAGGACCTGGGGCTCCCGAGAATCCCACATCTTCCCGAGAACATAAATTTGTGAGAAGTATGTCTCAGGTTAACAGATGGGGAAAGGTGTAAAATGCAGGTTGGGCAAACAGCCCAGCGGGTACACATACAGGTGTTCCTGCTCGTAATAGTAATCCTTGCATTTGATATAGTGCCTATATACTGGAAAGTGCATTGACTGTCTATTCTGTGGGCAAACACAGCATCCAATTGCGCACAGCTTGTCCCACAAACAGTCGTGGATTGAGTGACCAATTATTATTTTTAAGGGATTAGCAATCTGCCAATCGACTAACAACTGGGTTCCTACTCACTGCTGGGTAAACAGAGGCTTGTGGAGTAAGGAAACTTGCCTAAGGTTTCACCCTGCCTGGGATTCAAACCCAACTCTCGCTCATTCCAAATACAAGAAGCATTTCAGTAAATATGAGACAAACTTAAGTAAAAATGTGCTCGTGAAGTGAGCTGATGTGTGGTAGCCAGACCCTGTAACTAATGGCATCAGTTGTTAACTAATAAACACAATTTATTTTTTATGTTGGTCACCAGGTGTCTGAGACACCCGGAAACACATCATCATGCTTAAGAGTTTCCAAACCAGACTCCAGCTCAAATATCTCCGGGAGTTTTAACATACATGACCGTAGGCGTTCAGGCATAACACACGCGTGGCAAAAAATTAAAACCCTTATATTTGATTATAGTCCTTCTGTCTAACAGCGCTTCACAGAACATTTCCTTTAAAATGTAGTGACTAAGTGAATGCAGCGTAGCAGTCTACCACAAGATGAATGGCGAACTTCAACTAGAAATGAGAGAATAGTGCCCCGGGATCGTTAACCTCCACAAGAACAGATACAGACGGAACATTTGATTTAACGTCTCATCTGAATTCCGACAATGCTGCGTTCCCCCAACACTGTACTACCAGTCCCGAAGTGGGGGCATGCACCCATAACCTTCTGACTCGGAGGCGAGAGTGCTACCGACTGAGCCAGGCTGACAGCTGTGTGTGTGTTGCAAACCCAAGGACAGAAGTCTCTGCAAACTGTGCATTGGGTGTGGGGAAGCCAGAGAGAGAGAGAGGGTTTGCTTGGGAGCGAGAACATAGAATGACAAAATACTGATTTACAACTAAACTCTTCCAAATAGAGGGAGGGTCGAGAGGAAGGGAGGGGGGAGGAGTGAGGAGGTGGAGGGAGGAGGCGAGAGGGAGGGAGGAGGCGAGGGCAAGAGAGGGAGGAGGCGAGGGGGAGGGAGGGAGGAGGCGAGTGTGGGGAGAGGAGGCGAAGGGAGGGAGAAGGCGACGGGAGGGAGGAGGCGACAGGAGGGAGGGAGAGAGGGAGTGGAGTGGGGGGAGGATCTAGTTGGCTTTCTTGAAGAAGCCCATGATAGAGGCCTGCTTGCTGGAAGCTATTGGTTTCCTCTCCTTCCCTCTGGCCTCCTCTTTGCCGCTGGCTTTTCCCGGGCCGCTCACCAACTTCCTGGGTCCTCCAGTGGCCTCAGACTCACTGTCCGTGCAGGACTCACTCACATAGGCTTTCTCTGTGACTGTCACCCAAATACACAAGGTCAAGAAAGTCAGATAATAATAATAATCCTTGCATTTGATATAACTTATAAATATTTTTATATATATTTTTATACATTTTTATAGCCTCATATAAACGCTTTTATAGCCTCAAAATGCTGATATAGCCTCAAAGTGCTTCACAGAGTAAACTGTAAAGTGAATTGACTGTGTCTTTTGTGGGCGAAACACGGCAGCCAATTGCGTGCAGCAGCGTCTCACAAACAGTCATGTAGCCAATTTTTTTTATTACCCCTGGAAAAGTGATCCGCTAATTGACTAACAACTGGGTTCCTACTTACTATTAGGTATACAGAGGCGTGTGGAATAAAGAAAGTTGCCCAACGTTTTGTCCTACCCGAGAATCAAACTCAGGTCCTCTTGCTTGCTCTAACCACTACGCAACAAGTTTCCACCAAGGACACAGCCTGGCTCAGTTGTAACACTCTCACCACTGGTCAGAAGGTTGTGGTGTAAGCCCTGGGTGGAGGACTTTGAGCTCACAGTCCAGTCTGACATGGCTAAATATGAGCGCACTAGCCACTAAGCGGCAGGACTGTACACACACACATACAACACACACAATACACACAAACTGCCACACACCGGTGAACTCACCTATTGAACCATCTTCATCTGCGAAGGTTTTGGACTTGAGAACTCGGCGGCGTTTGCAACTCCTCCCCACAGCGGCTTTGAGTGAGACAGGCCGCTGGGGGGGTTCCTCCTTCACCAGCACCTCAGGGGGTGGGGAGGGGGTCCTGACATCACAAGCTGCAGGAGGCGAGTCTGGGATCACTGCAAAGAGCGACAAGTGATCATTAGTCGCTTGTCCACCCAGCTTCCACACAAGTAATTTATAGTCTCTCCACCCCCCAAGGTATGGAGTCCTGTAGCTCAGTGGTTAGAGCACTCGCCTTGCAAGCGAGACACCTGGGTTCGATTCCAGGCAGCCTGGCTCAGTTGTAACACTCTCACCACTGGTCAGAAGGTTGTGGTATAAGCCCTGGGTGGAGGACTTTGAGCTCACAGTCCAATCTGACATGGCTATGCCTTATAATAATCCCTTCAAAACAAAATAATAAATTGGTCATTTTCAATCCACGACTGTTTGTGAGATGCTGCTTTGTGCAGAAGACGTGAAAAGTGCTATATCAAATGCAAAGATTATTATATATTATAATAATAATAATCCTTGCATTCAATATAGCTCCTGATCGCGTCTTCGAGACGTTTCAAAGCATTTTATAGAACATACTGTAACGTAAATTGACTGTATAATTTGTGAGAGAAACACAACAGCCAATCTCGCACAGCAGCGTCTCACAAACAGTCGTGGACCAAATTAATATTATTATTTTTTGAAGGGATTATTACCCCGGGAAAAGCGATCAGCCAATCGACTAACAAACAGGTTCCTACTTACTGCTAGGTAAACAGAGACGTGTGGAGTAAGGAACGTGCCCAACGTGTCACCCTGCTTGGGAATCAAACCCAGGTCCTCTCGCTTGTGAGGCGAGTGCTCTAACTACTGAACTACAGGACTCCACAACAGGAATTAACTACAACAACAACTTGCATTTATATAGTGCCCTTCACACGGGTTAGCGTCCTGGAGCATTTGACAATGGTGGAACCTGACCCCGAGCCAGGAGGAGAGAGTGGGGTAGGTGACCGTAAGCAGGAAGGACTTTAGCCAGCATTTGAAAGTGGTGAGGGAGGGGGCAAGGTGGAGGGATTGAGGGAGAGAGTGATAAAGTTTTGGGGCGTAGCAGCTGAAAGCACGGTCACCGATGGTGGAGCAGAAAGGATAAGGGACGAACAGAAGGCTGGAGCCAGCCGAGCGGAGGCAGCAGGTGGTGGAGTGTGCGGTAAGCAGGTTGGAGAGGGAGTGAGGTGTGAAGGAAAAGGGATTTTAAAATGAGTGAGAAGATCTTGAAATCGATCCGTTCGGTAATTGGGAAGTAAGCGAGGTCTCCTCGGGCCTGGGCTGGCTCCAAGATGACAAGTCAGGAATGTCATAACCGAGCCAGCCCTCTGTGACGGTCTCTAGTCTGGTTCCTGAGCCAGGCGGGTCCACAGTATTCACAGTATTCCAGGCCATTCACTGCTGATGACAGCACAGCCCTGCCTGGCTCAATAGCAGGACCTAGAAGGGCCGACCAGTCACTGAGGGTAGGGAATCAGCTCCTGTTACCCTGTATCTACAGCCCTAGGGTGGTCCTAGTTGGACAAGCAATGGGAAAGCTTGCCAGACAATGATATCAATGGCAAGCTGTGTGGTTTTAACTGGTTCGGCTCCAGCAGTTCACCCAACAAACACTCTGGGGTCCCCCCAAGCCAACCTGCCAAGCCAACCTCTTGCCAACCTGCAGCTAATACTCTCCAGAATTAGGTGAGAAGGATGTATCCCTCCAGGGAGAGAGTACACATTCCATTCCAACAATCTATCTCTGGGATTTCCATGTATAGATGGGATGATTGGAATTCTCAGCTTGGTTTGAAGACTCTTAAGCATGGTGATGGGTTTTGCGGTGTGTCAGACACACGGCTGGGCAATACATTGGCCATGTTCACTGCCAGGACTTTACTGCCCACAAAGGGGGTTGGCAAAATAATCACTGGGAGCACTGAGATTAGTCACTGACCACAGAGGCAGGGGATGCTACCCAGAGGATTGCTATGGGAGTCATGGTAAAACACCTTCTCTAGTAAGTGAAGAATTAAACAGACTCACCCTCGTCCTCGCTACTGTCAGAGGGAAGCCTGATTCTGCAACGGCGTTTGTTTCGAGGCTCAGTCTCCTCAGTGTCCAGCACCTCACCTCGCTTGTTCTTCTTCGTACTGCACAGGAGAGGGGAGGGGGGGAAGAGAAACACCTTCAGATTATAATTACAACAACACATTAGATTTACACAGCAGTTTTCACGTCAGGAGAACATTCCAAGACCCTGGACAGTCAGGGATTTGGACCCAAGCTGGGGTTTGAGATCAGGAGGGGTGGAAGCCTGGGAGGGTGGTGGTACATAAGAAAATAAGATTTAGGAGCAGGAGTAGGCCATTCGGCCTCTCTAGCCTGGCCCGTACGATCATGGCTGATCTATTCTAACTCCACCTACCCGCCTTATCCCCATATCCCTTAATCCCTTTATCCACTAGAAATCCATCAATCTCAGTCTTGAATATGTTCAAGCACTGAGCATCTACAGCCCTTTGGGGTGGAGAATTCCATAAATTCACTACCCTCTGAGTGAAGAAGCTTTTCTCAACTCAGTGCGAAAGGACTTACCCCGAATTTTAAGACCGTGACCCCTGGTTATAGTTTCTCCAACCAGGGGAAAAAGTCTCCCACTATCTATTCTGTCATGCCCCTAAATAATCTTATAGGTTTCCATAAGATCACCTCTAATTCTTCTATATTCTAGAGAATATAGGCCTAAATTGCTCAACCTATCCTCATAACTCATCCCCCTCATCCCAGGTACCAACCTAGTGAATCTACGTTGTACCCCCTCCAAGGTGAGTACATCCTTTGTTAAATAAGGAGACCAAAACTGCGCAAAATACTCTAGGTGTGATCTCAGGGCCCTATACAGTTGCAGCAAGACTTCCCTACTCTTATAGTCTAACCCTTTTGTAACAAATGCCAACATACCATCAGCCTTCTTAATTGCATACCCTGCGCTATGCTGTGATCACTGCTTGGGGGTCTATAAACTACTCCCACTAATGTTTTCTGCCCCTTGTTATTTCGTAATTCTACCCATACCGTCTCTACATCCTGGTTATCTGATTTGAAATCCTTCCTCTCTACTGTTTTTATTCCATCCTTTATTAACAAGGCTACGCGCCCCCCACCTCGTTTTCCACATTGTCTATGCTTCCTATAAGCTGAAAACCCCGGAATATTTAACTCCCACCCTAGATCTACCTGTAATCATGTCTCAGTAATGGCTACTAAATCATACCTATTTGTATCTATCTGTGCCTCTTATTCCGAATGCTTCATGCATTCAGATATAGCGATTTTAATTTCTTACCATTTCCCCTACTCTCTGATGCCATATCTTCTTTACTGAGCTTCTTACCCCTCTTTGACCTATTCCGTCTATCTCTCTCGCTATTCTGTTCTGCCACCTATAGTTTTCTTAATATTACTGTCATTGGTACCTATATGAAGTACCAGCAATGGATCCTGGCCATCATGTTTTAGATCCTCCTCCAGCTCCGCCGAGACGTCCTTCACCTCGGCCCCAGGAAGGCAACAGAGCCTTCGGGTCTCCTGGTTGCGGCTGCAGATAGTGTATCTGTCCGCCTGATAGTACTACAATTACTACAACTTTCTGTTTATTTCCCCATATAATAATCCTTGCATTTGATATAGCGCTTTTCACGTCTTCTAGACGTCTCAAATATTGAAATCCCGTTTTCATTCCTTCTCACAGGCTTCCTTGTCCACACAGGTTGCAAGGATCTCGTACCTGTTGGCCAAGGTTAAAGCCTGAGGCTTCATTACCACTTTCTCTGGTGTTGCCTTAACCTCCTGCCTGTCAGACACCCTATCCTGTCCTTGACTGATACTATTATCTATACATTCCCTGAGCCTCAGGGGAGTGACTGCTCCAGGATGAAACTATCCAGGAAGCACTCACTGTCCCTGATGCTGCGTAATGTCTGCACCTCAGATTCCAACTCAGACACTCTGAGCTGGAGCTGCCTCAGTTCCAGACATTTGCTGCGGTGTGGTCACCCGGGCTCAGACTGCCCTCCAGCAATTCCCATATGTTACAATCCTCACACAACACCTGCCATGCCAGGTGGCAGGTGTTGTGTGAGGACTGTACCAGATGGTAGGAGGGTAATCGAAGGTGCGGTCTTAGAGGAGGGTCTTGAGAAGGGCCTTGAAGGAGGCAACAACAACAACTTGCACTTATATCGCCCTCCACGCAGGGCAGAGTCTCACAGTGCTTAACAGTGCCAGAGCCTGACTCTGAGCCACGGGGAGCGGGGAGATGCCCATAAGTGCGGTCAAAGAAGAAAGTTTTGAAGCGGGACTTGAAAGAGGGAGAGAGGGAGCAAAGTGGATGGATTGAGGACAGTGTTCCAGAGTTTTGGAGCGTAGTGGCTGAAAGTGCGACCTCTGATGGTGCGGCGAAGGGTGTGAGGGACGAGCAGGAGGCCGGTGTCAGTCGAGCAGAGGCACCGGGTGGTGGATTGGGGAATGAGGCGGTTGGAGAGTTTGGGAGGTGCCAGGGAATTAAGAGATTTGAACACGATTGAGAAAATCTTGAAGTCGATCTGTTCGTTGATGTGGAGCCAGTGGAGCCTGGACAGACCTGGTGAGATGTGGGTACAGAGTTTGGCTCGGGTCAATATGCGGGCAGCAGAGTTCTAAATGAGTTGGATCTTGTGAATAGTGGAGATGGGGGAGATCAGCAAAGAGTGCGATGGAATAATCCAAGCGGGAGGTGACAAACGCAAGCATGAGGGTTTGGGCTGTATTTGGGGTAAGGTACGGTTGGAGATGGGCAATGTGGCAGAGGCAAGGGAGGGTGTGAATGAAGGAACTGTGAGATGGAGTTCCAAAGGGTGGGGGCAGAGAGGCTGAAGGCCTGACTGTCGATGGTGGGGTGGGGCGGGACAGGGACGTGGAGTAGTGGAGGAAGCAGACAGGTTCTGTATCCAATACAAGGCCAATTTTATTATATTACCTTTATTATAATACAATTGGCTGCCACATTTTGCCCACAAAATACATAGTCACTACACTTTACAGTGCATCCTGTGAAGCACTTTGAGACGTCTCGATGACGTGATAAGATGCTGTTTCAAACGCAAATTATTATTATTACTCACCCGCGCCCAGCCCTCTCTGGCTTCCTGTCTGCTGTGGCTGTCTGCGCTGAGATCCTGGCTTCCTTCTCGTGGGGCCCCTCGGTTGCTTCACACCTGACTGATGGGGCCCTGGGGCCTTCTTTCTCTGCGGACTTTCCCAGCTCCTCCACGCTCTGGGGGGATTTGCCCCACGACCCCCCTTTCTCCGGGAGCTCGGGGTCAGACTTGTTTGGAATCTCTCCTCTTTTGAGGGCTGGGGAAGGGGAGTGTCTGGGGGACTCTTCCATTTCTGAGAATGAAACAAGGTTCAGTGCTACTCCAGGGCCCAACCCTCCAATAAGCCCACCCACCCCCACAGAGCAACTCACCTTCCTCACACACAATATCTCATTCCATCACAACATCTTAAAGATAGCAACAGGAAATGAGCCCATGTTAGAGCTTGGGAATGGAAAAGCTCCAGTGGGGGAGTGAGCACCAGCACAGACACAATGGGGAGAGAGCAGTAAATGGGGTTCAAGTAGAGAGCTCCAGTGGGGGAGCAAGCACCAGCACAGGCACAACAACAACAACAAATTTACACTTGTTTAGTGCCTTTCACGTCGGGAGTACGTTCCAAGGCACTGGACAATCAGTGTTTCAGATCCGAGCTGGGGGTCGGGATCTGGGAGGGTGGAGGGCAGTGGGAGGAGGGTGATCGCAGGCACGGTCGAAGAAGAGGGTCTTGAGATGGGTCTTGAAGGAGGTAAAGGAGTGGGCGAGGCGGAGGGACTACGAGATGGAGTTCCAGAGGGTGGGGACAGAATGACTGAAGTCCTGTCCTCCAATGGTGGGGCGGGCGGGACGGAGGACGTGAAGCAGGCCAGAGCCTGCTGAGTGAAGGGAGTGGGCAGGTTCGTAGGGCATTAGTAGGTCGCAGAGGTAGGGGGGAGTGTGACCATCGAGTCGGGCAAGGGTGGGGGTGATAGGGTCACGGAGCCTGGTGTGGAAGAGGACGCGGGCTGCAGAGTTCTGGATGATCTGCAACCTATGGAGGGAGGAGTTGGAGAGACCGACAAGCATGGAGTTCGCTTAGTCAAGCCTGGATGTTATGAATGCGTGTGTGAGGTCTTGGTGGCCTCCAGTGTGAGACAGTGGCAGAGCCGGGTGATGTTGTGGAGGTGGAGGAAGGCAGAGCGGGTCATGGCATGGATGGGATAGAAAGGATAGTTGAGAGTTAAACAAAACACCAAGGTTCCAGACTGGCTCAATAAGGTGGAGTGAGCAGCCATGGATGGTGATGCTGTCAGTTCCTGAGGCGTGGATGGGGAGAGAGGAGGGAATGGGGTCATAGTAGAGAGCTCCAGTGGGGGAGCGAGCACCAGCACAGACATGATGGGGAGAGAGCAGGGAATGGGGTTAGAGTAGAGAACTCCAGTGCTCCTGGTTGCTGTACTCACTGGAGCCAGCTTTGCTGAAGAAGTTACTGAGGGTGCTGCTGCCTTTGCTCGCTGGCCTGCTGGTTGATGATGAAGCCTAGAAAGGGAGCGAAAGAGAGTGAGGACGTGACTGTTACTCTGTCCCCACAATCTCAAACTAACCTATCCTCATACTCCTCTTCAAATCCTCGGCACCTGCCTACCTCTCCAACCTGCTTAATCTCCAACCCACTACCGGCTGCCTCCACTCGACTGGCCTCCTGCTTGTCCCTTGTGCCCTCCATTCAACGACTACACCCCGAAACACTGGAACACTCTTCTTCTATCCCTCCACCTTGCCCCCTCCTTCCCCAGCTTCAAGTTGTGTCTGAAGACCTTCCTCTCACAACAATAAATTGCATTTATATAGCGCTCCACACACAGGGTAGCGCCCCAGAGGACTTATGGTTACCTCCCTCCTCTCCCTGGCTCAGCATCAGGGTCCGTCACTGTCAAGTGCTCTGAGAGTGCTGCCCTGTGTGAGGGGCGCTGTGTAGCAAGTTGTTTTTGTTGTAACTGGGGATGTTGCTGTGCATTGTGGACTCTCAAGGACAGACCAATATTAGCCTAACTCCTTCTTCAGAATTAAATGATTGAATTAATTAAATGAATGAATGAAGGGAGGAGGTATGTGTATTGTGTGAGGTGTGTGTTTGTGAAGAGGTGTTCAGCCTGGTCTATTAGATTACGTGAGCTCACTGTACAGTCTGATGCTCCAGTGCAGTAATAATAATAATCCTTGCATTTGATATAGCACCTTATCATACCTTTGTGACCTCTCAAAGCGCTTCCCAGACTATACTGTAAAGTGAATTGACTGTATAATTTCATGGGATTATTACCCCCAGAAAAGTGATCCGCCAATCGACAAACGAACAGGTTTCTACTTGCTTGGTAAACAGAGGTGTGTGGAGGAAGGGAACTTTCCCTGCCTGGGAATCAAACCCAGTTCCTCTCGCTTGCAAGATGAGTGCTCTAACCACTGAGCTACAGGACAGGGAGAGAGAGCCGTATTGTCAGAGACATGGCTCTTTAGATGAGGTCTTAATCTAGGGGCCATCAGTGCCTCTTCAGGAGAACATTAAAGATCCCATGACGCTATTTGAAATGGGAAGGAGTTGTCCTGGCTGTCAATCCCCGGGTCACTCACCTCACAGCTGAGTGCAAAACAGCGATTGAGTTTTCATACAAACCAGCCACTACACCGGACCGCAATTCCCTGTATATGAGACCTTCTGAATTATTGATTATTATCATTGTAGTATTTGTCATCTTTTAATCCCATTTCCTGACCATTTCTCCTTTAATTGCCTAACTTTCTTTCTCTGTCCTCTCCCGCACCAAACTCCGTGACCCCATCAACCCCACCCTCGATGGTCTCCACTGGCTCCCCATGCCCCAAAGGATAGAGTTTAAGGCCCATCTCAAGACCCTCCCCTTCAACCTTTGGTCATCCTCCTATCCCCACTCTCCCTGCCCTCCATCCCTCCTGATCCCAACCACCAGCTCGGGTCCAAATCCCTGACAGTCCAGTGCCTTGGGAAGTCCTCCTGGCATGAAAGGTGCTATATCTATTGTTGCTCTCAATCCGGCCTGTCCCGCCCAGATGGCCTCAACAATCCCATCTCTTTGGGAGGAGGTATGTGTATTGTGTGAGGTGTGTGTGTGTGAAGAGGTAAGTGTGTGTGTGTGTGTGAGGAGGTGAGTGTTTGTGAGGAGGTGAGTGTTGGTGAGAAGGTGTGTGTTTGTGTGTGAGGAGCTGTGTGTGAGTGGAAAGAGATGCGTATGTGTGTGAAGTGTACGTGTGTGTGAGGAGGTATATGTGTGTGAGGAGGTGCGCGTGAGGAAGGGTATGTGTGAGGAGGTGAGTGTGAAGTGTGTGTGCGAGGTGTGTATGAGGAAGTGTGTGTGTGTGAGGAAGTGTGTATGTTTATGAGGTGTGTGTGAGGAGGTGCGCGTGTGTGTGTGAGATGTGTGTGTGTGTGGGAAGAGGTGCATATGTGTGTGAGGTGTGTGTGTGTATGTGAGGTGTATGTGTGTGAAGAGGTGCGCGCGCGTGTGTGAAGTGTGTGGGTAAGGAGATGTGTGTGTGAGGAGGTGAATGTGTGTTTGAGATGTGTGTGTGAGGAGGTGTGTGTTTGAGGTGTGTGTGTGTGTTTGAAATTTGCGTGTGAGGTGTGTGTGAAGAGGTGAGTGTGAGGAGGTGAGTGTGTGTGTGAGGAAGGGTGTGTGTGAGAAGGTGAGTGTGTGTGTGTGTGTGAGGAGGTGTGTGAGGAAGTGCATGTGTGTGAGGTGTGTGTATGAGGAGGTGTATGTCTGTGAGGTGTGTGTGTGAGGAAGTGCGTGAGTGTGTGTGTGAGATATGTGTTGTTTGAGAGGAGGTGCGTATGTGTGTGAGGTGTGTGTGAGGAGGTGTATGTGTGTGAGAAGGTACGCGTGTGTGTAAGAGGAAGGGTGTGTGTGAGGTGGTGAGTGTGAAGTGTGTGTGTGAGGAGGTGGTACGCATGTTTGTGAGGTGTGTGTGTGAGGAGGTGCGCGCGTGTGTGTGTGAGATGCACGTGTGTGTGGGAAGAGGTGCGTTTGTGTGTGAGGTGTGTATGTGAGGTGTATGTGTGTGAAGAGGTGCACACGTGTGTGTGTGAGGAGGTGAGTGTGTGTTTGAGATGTGTGAGGAGGTGTGCATGTTTGAGGTGTGTGTGTTTGAGGTTTGTGTGTGAGGTGCATGTGAGGAAGGGTGTGTGTGAGAAGGTGTGCGTGAAGTGCGTGTGAGGAGGTGCGTATGTGTGTGAGGTGTGTGTGTGAGGAGGTTTATGTGTGTGAGGTGTATGTGTGTGAGGAGGTGTATGTGTATGAAGAGGTGTGCGCATGTGTGTGAGGTGTGTCTGTAAGGAGGTGTGTGCGCGAGGTGTGTGTGAGATGTGCGTGTGTGAGGAAGTGTGTGTGTGAGGAGGTGCCTGTCAGGTGTGTGTATAAGTGTATGTGAGGGGTGTGTGTGTGCGCGCGTGTGTGTGTGTGTGTGAGGTTTGTGTATATGTATGAGTACTTGTGTGTGTGAGGTGGTGTGTGTGACAGATGAGGCCGCACACTCACTATGCTCTCCTCGCTTGGCTCCGCTCTCTGTGTCCTGACCTCCTGAGGTTTGCTGGAGGGTTTGGTGGAGAACATGCTCATGACACCTCTCAGTGTCTGGGCTGCGGGTTTGGGGGTCGCTGGTGTCAAGCTGCCATTCACGGTGGGTTTGGTGCTGCTGTTGGGTGGCTGCCCCGGCCCCTGCCTGGTCTGCAGGGACTTGTGAAGACGGGCCATCTCCTCCGCCGAGCGGGGCACAGCGTCAGCACACCGAATAGCGCTGTACCTGCCGTCAGAAACATCCTGGTCAATACAGCAGCAAGTTCCCCTCACACAGACTGTCAGTCCTCAGCTTGGCCCAGCCAGTGCACCTCTGGGCATAATATAATAATCCTTATATTTGATACAGCACCTTATCACGCTGTTGAGATGTCTCAAAGCATTTCACAGAATATACTGTAAAGTGTGGTGACTGTGTTTTTGTGCGCGAAACTTGGCAGCCGATTGCGTACATCAGTGTCCTACAAACAGCCGTGGATTGAGTGACCGCATTTTTTTTAGGGATTATTACCATCGGAAAAGCGATCTGCCAATTGTTTGAGATGTGTGAGGAGGTGTATGTGTGTATGTTTGAGGTTTGTGTGTGAGCTTCCTACTTACTGCTAGGCAAACAACACCAAACAACAGATTACATGTACACAGCGCCTTTCAAATCAGGGGGATGTCCCAAGACACTGGACAGTCAGGGATTTGGACCTGAGATGGGGGTTGGGATCAGGAGGGGTGGAGGGCCGGGAAGGTGGGGGTAGGAGGGTGACTGAAGGCCTGGTCAAAGAGGAGACGGGCCTTGAAGAAGGCAAGGGGGGCGGCGAGGCGAAAGGACTGTGGGATGGTGTTCCAGAGGGGATTGGATGTTTCCACACCCAGATGCAGGGTTGTATCTGGACAAAAAACTAATCACTACACCTGACAGGAAACAGTTGGTAGCACTCTAGCCTCTGAGTCAGAAGGTGGTGGGTTCAAGGCCCCACATCGGGACTTTGAGCTCAGTCTCTCAAGTGCAGGGGGAGTGCTGTGTTGTTGGAGGTGCCATCCTTCTGATGAGACGTTAAACTGAGGTGCTGTCCGCCCTCAAAGAGGAGTTTCTCCTGTTTTGCTGACCAATAACACCAAGATAAAATCAGCCAGGCTGCTTATGGCGCATTGATTTGCACAAATTGTCTGCCTCATTTGCCTGATACACAATCACTAAGCTTTCTAGTACAACAAATCCTGTGAAGCACTAAGAAATCCTCTTGGTATGAAAGTTATGCTATCAAATGTAATGCGGAGTCCTGTAGTGTAGTGGTCAGAACATGTGCCTCGCAAGCAAGAGGACCTGGGTTTGATTCCCAGGCAGGGCGAAACCCTAGGCAGATTTCCTTACTCCACATGCTTGTTTACCTAGCAGTAAGTAGGAACTCAGTTGTTAGTTGATTGGCGGATCGCTTTTCCAGGGGTAATAATCACTCAAAAAGTATTTGGTCACTGAATCCATGACTGTTTGTGGAACACTGCTGCCGTGTTCGCCCACAAATATACAGTCAATTCACTTTACAGTGTGTTCTGTGAAGCGCTTTGGGACGTCCTCCCGACGTGAAAAGCGCTATATCAAATGCAAGGATTATTATTATCTGTGTGAGGATATATATGAGATGTTTCAACAACATGATAAGGCACTTTATCAAATGCAAGGATTGTTATTATTATCCTGTGAATTGCTTTGAGAAGAGCTCTGATGTGAAAGCTGTAATCAAATGTAACTGTAATGACTGTAAGTGCTTTGAGATGTTATTATACAAAACAACATACTAGATCCAACTTGTGTAAGGCCTTCATGCCCCTCCCTCACCATGTCACTCTGCCTCTCGTCTCAACACAACAAATTACATTTGTTTCATTTCATTTCACGTCGTCAGGATGTCCCAAGGCGCTGGACAGTCAAGGATTTGGATCCGAGCTGCGGGTTAGGATCAGGAGGGTAGAGGTAGGAGGGTGACCAAAGGCACAGTCGAAGTGGAGGGTCTTGAGACAGGTCTCGAAAGAGGCAAGGGAGGGAGCGAGGTGAAGGGCTTGTGGGATGGAGCTCCAATGGGTGGGGCAGAGAGGCTGAAGGCCCACTAGCCGATGGTGAAGTGGGTTGGGCTGGGGGACATGGAGCAGGCTGAGCAGAGGGAGCGAACAGGTTGATATGGGACACTCTGTCCTGACTAAGTGTCATGAACACATTGGCACATTGTAATGTCCCTGTGTCACAGCCCGGAATGGCCCAATCTGAGGCACTCACTTGTTGCAACTCTCCAGGTTGCCTTTGATGGCGTCATAGTCAGTGTTGAAGAGAGGGCCGCTGTCCCGCAACATGGCCTTGTGGATGCTGTACACATGCACACTGGCTGTGCCTGCCATCCTCGTCTTCACAGCTGGGAACAAACACAGCGAGAAAACAAAAGATTACATTTGTATAGCGCCTTTCACATCGGGAGGACGTCCCAAAGCACTGGACAACAGCCTATTAATGACCACCTTAATACATAATTAATAACAAACCACAACAACTTGCATTTATATACCGCCCTTCATGCGGGGTAACGTCCTGGAGGGCTTGACAGTGGAGGAGTCTGACCCTGAGCCAGGGGTGAGGTGACCATAAGTTCGATCAAAAAGGAAGGTCTTTAGGAGCGATTTGAATGTAGGGAGGGAGGGGGCAAGGCGGAGGGATTGAGGAAGAGAGAGAGCGGGAGGAGAAACCACTCGAGGAGATATAGTGAAGGCGGTTTGTTAAGTAGGACTCAAACCCTACTAGTCCAGTCCCACTGAGGTGGTTGAGGGAAGAGAGGCAGTGGAGGAGGATGGTCTGATTGACTCTCAAACTCAGTGGACAAGGAGGCAAGAGTGAGCCTTGGTCACAGAGAGAGGACATCACTTATGACCTTGAAGAGCACTGTTTCTGTGCTGTGGGAAGGGCAGAAAACACACTGGTTCCAAACAATACTGGCCTAGAACTGGATGGTTATGTCCATAGGCCTGAGTTAGCTGGGCAGAGGAATGGGGGGAGAAAATTGGACAGATAGGGACATGCTGGGGCAGGAAGGGGTGTGTAGGTAAGGGTGAGGATCTTGACATTGATTTAGTGTGTGTGATAGGGAGTCAGTGGAGCCTGGCGAGGACTGGGGTGATGGGTGTATGGAGTTTGGTGTGGGAGAGGTTAAACTGAAATCTTTGTCTGGCTCAATCCATCGGGCTCAAAACTGGTTAGATGGCTTTGTTCAGCCTCAGGGACATGTGTTCACAGATTAAGATGAGGCTCCACCTCGGTGCAGTTGTCACATGCCCCCACTGCAATTTTCCGGAGCCCCAGTCAAATTTCCCTGCAATTTTTGGCAAATATTTCCACAATTTTCTTTTGTCCCAGCTCATGGCCCATTTGATGAAAGGTTACAGCAGAGACTGGACAGCTCTCCGACTTTTTACCCTGGACAGGAGGCTTTTAAAAAGGACTTGTGTTTAACTGTGACAGGATTTGCTAAGGTCACAACAACATCTACACATGTGAGAAGAACATCCCAGGTTCATTGTAATGGGTTTGGAGGAGTGGAGGGCAGGGAGGCGAGGGGTAGGGTGGCCGAAAGCATGATAAAGAGGAAAGTCTTGAGATGACTCTTGAAGGAGGCGAGGGAGGGGGGCGAGGTGGAGAGATTCCGGGATGGAGTTCTAGAGGGTGGGGGCAGAGAGGGTGAAGGTTCGACCACCAATGATGGGGCGGGCAGAATAGGGGACGTAGAGCAGGCCAGAGCCCACCATGCGGAAGGAGTTGTTGTTATGGTGTTAATAGCATTAAGTATATATAAATATATAAAAATATAAATGCAAGTTGTTGTTGTTATTATTATGTAATCCTTTTATTTGTGCTCTGCACAAGTGTGATTCCCTGTACTTCCCTCTGCACACGAGGTTGGCACATAACTATGGACCACAATTGCCTTTTCCGTTCCCTGGGGCTAATAACCCATACTGATAGCCCGGCCTCTGGAGCCCAGTCCTCACCTTCCAACTGGTCTTCTCTCACTACCGCCACCTTATGGCACTGAAAGAGAACAACACACAGTTCAAGAGAGTGCAGACAGCACATTTAATAATAATTAAATCATAATAATAATAATTTAATAATAATAATGCTTGCATTTGATATAGCGCCTTATCACGCCTCTTTGAGACACCTCAAAGCGCTTCACAGAATACATACAGAATAAATTTTAAACCCCAGTCCTCGTCAGGATCAACTGGGTCCCTATCACATACACTAATCTGTGTTGCACTTAATCTGAGCACTAATTGTGGAGTGCTGTAGCTCTGTGGTTAGAGTACTCGCCTCATAAGGAAGAGACCTGGGTTCGATTCCCAGCAGGTTGAAACCTTGGGCAAGTTTCCTTACTCCACATACCTGATGACAATCCCTCAGAGAAAAAAAATAATAAATTGGTCACTTCAATCCACGACTGTTTGTGGAACACTGCTGTGTGCAATTGGCTTCTGTGTTTCATCCATAAATATACAGTCAATTCCCTTTACAGTATATTCTTTGAAGCGCTTTGAAACAGCTCAAAGACGTGAAAAGCGCTATATCAAATGCAAGGATTATTTATTTTAGTTACTAAACACCGTACCCCCATCACACCAGTCCTCACCAGGCTTCACTGACTCCCTATCATACACATTAAACTACGTACCCTCATCACACCAGTCTTAGCCAGGCTCAGCAGGCTCCGTCTCTCAGCGAATTGATTTCAAGATCCTCACCTAAACACCCCTTCCTGCCCCAGCACCTCCCTATCTGCCCAATCTCCTCTCCCCATTCCTCTACCCAGTTAACTCAGGCCGACTCGGCACCACCATCTAGTTCTAGCCCAGTATCCTCTGGTACCAATCTGGTTTCTGCCCTGCCACAGCAGAGAAACAGCGCTCGTCAAGGTCACAAGTGATGTCCTCTCTGTGTAACCAAGGCTCACTCTGCCTCCTCGTCCTCCTGGATCTCTCCGCCACGTTCAACACAGTCAATCACCTCCCCCTCCACCATCACTCCTCCCTCATCCACCTCAGTGGGACCGCACTAGCCTGGTTCGAGTCCTACCTGACAAACAGCCTTCTTATCTCCTCAAACGATTTCTCCTCCTGCCCCCACCCGGTCATCTGTGGTGTACCCCAGCGCTCCATCCTTGGCCCCCTCCTCTTTCTCATCTACATGCTCCCTCTTGGTGATGTCATCTGCAGACACGGGTTAAAGTTCCACATGTATACAGATGACATACAAATCTACTTATCCTCCACCAGCTGTGACTCCAGGTCCCCAACATTCTCTCGGTTTGTCTGGTGGACATCAACAACAACAAAATTATATTTATATAGTGCCTTTCCCATCGGGAGGACTTCCCAAGATGCTAGACAGACAGAGCCTGGATGAGCGAAAACTTCCTACAACTCAATGTTGATAAAATATTCATTGGCTCCCATCAATGTCTTCTATCCTGCAGCTCTGACCTCCTCAACCGCCCGGCCTATCCCTCAGAGTTAGTGAACCTGTGATCATGTGTATTAGGTTCGACCCACAGCTGTCCTTCCCACATCCGAGCCCTGACCAGGACTGCTTTCCTCCACCTTCGCAATATTGCTTGCATCCGACTGTACCTTAACCTAGATGCAGCCAAAACCTTCGTCCATGCGTTCGTCATACCTGCAAATGCCCCCCTCCCAGGTCTCCCCAGCTCCACTATCCACAAAATCCCAAACTCCACCACCCGTGTTCTCCAATCCCAGTGGCACCTACTGGGGTTCCATCCTCCTCCAATCTCCCAGACACCAGGTAGGTTACGTGCAGCTGAGCTCCCAAATTCTCTTTCCTCTTTCTCTCCACATAATAATAGAGCATCCTGGGAGAACGGAGACAGAGAGAGGGATCTGGTTAGATTGTGTTACAAGAGAGATGTGGATGAAAAAAGACCTTCACCCTCCTGACCATCTGATTCCAGAACCGAAAGGAGGAAGAATTACAGTATTAAGCTGTTCCTTCAGTTTCCTGCCTCCGGCCCCCCACCCAAAGCACCGATTCTGGTAACCACAATCCAGTCATTAATGATTATATCTGTTGTGTTCTTCCTGGTACCAGCACAGAAACGAGGGGGAGAGAGAAGGGAATGGGATTAGAGTAGGGAGCTCCAGTGGGGAGCGAGCACCAGCAAAGATGACGGACGCTCCTGTTAAACACTGTGTAAAAGGGGGTTTAGAAGGAAAGCGAGTGGTTCACTTACTGCTTGGCCTGGTTGACATGGACACCGAGTGTGTGACTCAGCAACTTGTACGTTACCTGACAGTAAAAATATAAATGGCAGAAAATTCAGGATGAACTTCGCATTCCACACGAACCTCGACAACACACATTGCACGAATGGACTTAATCTCAACTCCCTCCCCTCCCGCAAACTGCTTCCCTGAAACAAACACCACCAACCAAAGTGTTTGTTCACGGGTTTCCCCAGACCCCTCACTGCTGTAACCCCCCTCTCCTCACTGCTGTAACCCCCCTCTCCTCACTGCTGTAACCCCCCCCTCCTCACTGCTGTAACCCCCCTCTCCTCACTGCTGTAACCCCCCCTCCTCACTGCTGTAACCCCCCTCTCCTCACTGCTGTAACCCCCCCCCTCCTCACTGCTGTAACCCCCCTCTCCTCACTGCTGTAACCCCCCTCTCCTCACTGCTGTAACCCCCCTCTCCTCACTGCTGTAACCCCCTCCTCACTGCTGTAACCCCCCTCTCCTCACTGCTGTAACCCCCCCTCCTCACTGCTGTAACCCCCTCTCCTCACTGCTGTAACCCCCCCTCCTCACTGCTGTAACCCCCCCTCCTCACTGCTGTAACCCCCCCTCCTCACTGCTGTAACCCCTCTCCTCACTGCTGTAACCCCCCCTCTCCTCACTGCTGTAACCCCCCCTCCTCACTGCTGTAACCCCCTCTCCTCACTGCTGTAACCCCCCCTCCTCACTGCTGTAACCCCCCCTCCTCACTGCTGTAACCCCCCCTCCTCACTGCTGTAACCCCCCCTCCTCACTGCTGTAACCCCCCTCCTCACTGCTGTAACCCCCCCTCCTCACTGCTGTAACCCCCCTCCTCACTGCTGTAACCCCCCTCCTCACTGCTGTAACCCCCCTCCTCACTGCTGTAACCCCCTCCTCACTGCTGTAACCCCCCTCTCCTCACTGCTGTAACCCCCCTCCTCACTGCTGTAACCCCCCTCCTCACTGCTGTAACCCCCCTCCTCACTGCTGTAACCCCCCTCCTCACTGCTGTAACCCCCTCCTCACTGCTGTAACCCCCTCTCCTCACTGCTGTAACCCCCCCTCCTCACTGCTGTAACCCCCCTCCTCACTGCTGTAACCCCCCTCCTCACTGCTGTAACCCCCCTCCTCACTGCTGTAACCCCCCTCCTCACTGCTGTAACCCCCCCTCCTCACTGCTGTAACCCCCCTCCTCACTGCTGTAACCCCCCCTCCTCACTGCTGTAACCCCCCCCTCACTGCTGTAACCCCCCTCTCACTGCTGTAACCCCCCTCCTCACTGCTGTAACCCCCCCACCTCCTCACTGCTGTAACCCCCCCCCTCCTCACTGCTGTAATCCCCCCCCACCTCATTGCTGTAACCCCCCCCATCCTCACTGCTGTAACCCCCTCTACTCGGTGCTGCACAATTTAAAGCAACATAATAATCCTTCAATTTAATATAGAGCCTTATCGAGACGTCTCAAAGTGCTTCATAGAATACACTATAAAGTGTGGTGACTCTGTTTTGTAGGTGAAACGTCAATTATGCACACTAGTATCCCACAAAAAGTTGTGGATTAAGTGATGAAATTATTATTTTAACATTTTTTTTGAAGGGATTATTATCCCAGAAAAGTGATCCGCCAATCCGACTAACAACCGGGTTCCTATTCACTGCTCGGTAAAACAGAGGTGTGTGAAGTAAGGAAACTTGCTTAACGTTTTGCGCTGCCTGGGAATCTAACCCAGGTCTCTCGCTTGTGCGGCGAGCGCTGTAACCATCGAGCTACAGGATTCCACAACATGCTCCACGACGGAATGTCGGAATCGACCCAACCCTCTGTGCCGGTCTCCAGTCCGGGTCCTGAGCCGGGAGGGGCCACAGGACTCCAGGGCACTCACTGCTGATGGCAGCACAGCCCGGCCGGGCTCATCAGCAGGACCTGGAAGGGCCGAGCGGTCACCGGGGACAGGGAGACATCCCACTCGGCTCCTGTTAACCCCACAGCCACAGCCCAAACGGGTAGGGTGGTCCTAACTGGACAAGCAGCGGGAAGGCTGGGAGACATCAATGGCAAGCTATAGGGTCCTGTTGGGTAGTAGTTAGTTTTTTCACTCAATCCACGACCGTTTGTGGGACGTCGCTGTGCACAACTGGCTGTGGCGTTTTGCCCACAAAATACACAGTCAATACATTTTACAGTATATTCAGCCCCTCTCCCTCCCCATTCTCTCCCCAGGCCTCTCACCCAAGCTTCTCTCTCCTCCCCAGCCCCCCTCCCTCCCAGCCCCTCTCGCCCCCCTCCCCCCAGCCCCTCCCCCCTCCCCGCATCTCTCCCCCTCCCCCCACCTCCCCCCCCAGCCCCTCTCCCCCCCTCCCCCCAGCCCCTCTCCCCCCCTCCCCCCCAGCCCCTCTCCCCCCTCCCCCCCAGCCCCTCTCCCCCCCTCCCCCCCAGCCCCTCTCCCCCCTCCCCCCCCAGCCCCTCTCGCCCCCTCCCCCCAGCCCCTCTCCCCCCTCCCCCCCAGCCCCTCTCTCCCCTCCCCCCCCAGCCCCTCTCGCCCCCCTCCCCCCAGCCCCTCCCCCCTCCCCCGCCTCTCCCCCTCCCCCCACCTCCCCCCCCAGCCCCTCTCCCCCCCTCCCCCCCAGCCCCTCTCCCCCCTCCCCCCCAGCCCCTCTCCCCCCCCCTCCCCCCCCCAGCCCCTCTCCCCCCCTCCCCCCAGCCCCTCTCCCCCCCTCCCCCCAGCCCCTCTCCCCCTCCCCCCCCAGCCCCTCTCCCCCCTCCCCCCAGCCCCTCTCCCCCCTCCCCCCAGCCCCTCTCTCCCCCTCCCCCCCCAGCCCTCTCCCCCCCTCCCCCCCAGCCCTCTCCCCTCTCCCCCCAGCCCCTCCCCCTCAGCCCCTCTCCCCCCGCATCTCTCCCCCTCCCCCCAGCCCCTCTGCCCCCCTCCCCACCAGCCCCTCTCCCCCCTCCCCCCCCAGCCCCTCTCCCCCCTCCCCCCCAGCCCCCCTCCCCCCTCCCCCCCAGCCCCTCTCCCCCCAGCCCCTCTCCCCCCAGCCCTCTCCCCCAGCCCCTCTCCCCCTCCCCCCAGCCCCTCTCTCCCCCCTCCCCCCCAGCCCTCTCTCCCCCCTCCCCCCCAGCCCTCTCTCCCCCTCCCCCCCAGCCCCTCTCCCCCCAGCCCTCTCCCCCCCAGCCCCTCTCCCCCCAGCCCTCTCCCCCCCAGCCCCTCTCTCCCCCTCCCCCCCAGACCCTCTCCCCCCTCCCCCCAGCCCCTCTCCCCCAGCCCCTCTCCCCGCTCCCCCCAGCCCTCTCCCCCCTCTCCCCCAGCCCCTCTCCCCCCTCCCCCCAGCCCCTCTCCCCCCCTCCCCCCCCAGCCCCTCTCCCCCAGCCCCTCTCCCCCCGCATCTCTCCCCCTCCCCCCCAGCCCTCTCCCCCCCTCCCCTCTCCCCCCAGCCCCTCCCCCCCCCCCCAGCCCCTCTCCCCCCGCCCCTCTCCCCCCTCCCCACCAGCCCCTCTCCCCCCCCCCTCTCCCCCCTCCCACCAGCCCCTCTCCCCCCTCCCCACCAGCCCCTCTCCCCCCCCCCCAGCCCCTCTCCCCCCCTCCCACCAGCCCCTCTCCCCCCCTCATCCCCCAGCCCCTCTCCCCCTCTCATCCCCAGCCCCTCCCCCCAGCCCCTCTCCCCCCCTCCCCCCCCGCCCCCCCCTCCCCACCAGCCCCTCTCCCCCCCTCCCCACCAGCCCTCTCCCCCCCTCCCCACCAGCCCCTCTCCCCCCTCTCCCCCCAGCCCCTCTCCCCCCTCCCCACCAGCCCCTCTCCCCCCCTCCCCACCAGCCCCTCTCCCCCCCAGCCCTCTCCCCCCTCCCCCCAGCCCCTCTCCCCCCCTCCCCATCTCCCCCCTCACCACACGGTTCTCCTCGGCCACCAGCTCCTCCAGATTCTCCACGAAAAGCTCGTCCATGGCGGCGGGAAGCGGGGACAGCGGGGAGGAGCCGCCCCGTCACCTGGGCAACAGCGGCCTAGCGCACAGCCTGCAGCCTGGGCCTCGAGTGGCAGCTCAGTCAGGAGCCGCGGCTCAGGCAGCCTCAGCCCTGCAAGTCAGAGTCCGTGTGTGTCTCTGTGAGTCTGTGTGTCTGTGTCTGTCAGTCTGTGTGTCTGTCAGTCTGTGTGTCTGTGTCTGTCAGTCTGTGTGTCTGTCAGTCTGTGTGTCTGTGTCCGTTTGTCTGAGTGTCTCTGTCTGTCTGTGTCCCTCTCTGCCTGAGTGTCTGTGTCTGGAAGAGGGTCTCGGGGGCTGCGGTGTGAGACAGTGGCGGAGTCGGGCAATGTTGAGGAGGTGGGGGAAGGCAGAGAGGGTCACAGCGCGGATGTGGGGTACAATCACAGTATCATAAAATCATACAATTATACAGCACAGAACGAGGCCATTCGGCCCATCGTGTCTGTGCTGCTCTTTGAAAAGAGCTTCCAAATCAACCCCACTCCCCCCCTCCCTCCCCACAGCCCTGATCAACCCCACTCCCCCACTCTCCCCACAGCCCTGATCAACCCCACTCCCCCCCTCCCTCCCCACAGCCCTGATCAACCCCACTCCCCCCCTCCCTCCCCACAGCCCTGATCAACCCCACTCCCCCACTGTCTCCCCACAGCCCTGATCAACCCCACTCCCCCACTGTCTCCCCACAGCCCTGATCAACCCCACTCCCCCACTGTCTCCCCACAGCCCTGCAAACTTGTCCTCCCCAAATAATTATCTACTTCTCTTTTAAAAGCTGTTATCGAATCGGCAAGAAAGGATAGTTGAGGGTCAAACAAGACGCCAAGGTTCCGGACTGGCTCAATGAGGTGTAAGTTAGAGTTTACTTCAAACCGTTTTTTTTCTCTCTATTCTCAGGTCTGTTGTGTTCACTCAGTGATAGGCCCATCAGAGTTTAGCAAAGAATTCTCAACCTTACTCTGGAGCTGTCTGATCACTAGTAACCCCACACTCTGCAGTCGCTGAGCTTGGAGTCACCCCTCACTCATTGCACTCCACAGTTTTTAAGCATAAATTAGAGATAAACATAAAGAAGAGAGGACGGTGTAAAGACTAGAAGCTTGAAGACTCCCCTACATTCTAGTCCAGGATTCCTTAAATCCCGTGCTTCTCGGCTTTTCCCATCTGCCCTGGACAATTCCCACAAGTGCTGTGAGCTCCCATGACTTAATCCTGTGATTCTGCTGGGTCCCCACCTGGGCCTTCAATTGACTTCTCTCTCCAGATAGTCTCCAGGTCTGACAGCCGGGATTTCTTCCCACAGGCCCGGACTTGGAGAGAGATTGCAGCCAGTTACGCTACCTTGAGCCTCATCTGCAGGACTGTAGCTATGAACCTGGCAAGACCAGTGGTAGAGGTGGTGAACCTGGGCAGGATGGGGTACACCGAGGCCCTGCTGGCACAGAGGAGGTACGTGCAGCGACACCTGGACACGCTGTTCCAACCCAGCCACACAGCCAACACTCTGCTGTTGTGTGAGCACCCACCCGTCTTCACGGTAGGCATCAGGCGAGCTCCCTACCCCGCCCAGGATGAGGAGAGGTTGAGAGCCCTGGGTGCGGAGTTCCATCGGACAGACCGAGGAGGACTGATCACGTTCCACGGCCCCGGCCAGCTGGTGTGCTACCCCGTCCTGGACCTGCGTGGCTTCCGCAAGAGCCTGCGCTGGTATGTGGGCGAGCTGGAGGCCACCGCCATGCAAGTCTGCCACATGTTCGGCATCTCAGCAGAGACATCAGCTGACACCGGAGTCTGGGTTGGAGACAACAAGATCTGCGCTATCGGTAAGGCTGTCTTCACAGGTCGTAGAGTCCTGTTAGAGCACTCACCTCACGAGCAAGATTCCCGGCCGGAGCGAAACCTTAGGCAAGTTTCCTTACTCCATGCCATGCCTCTGTTTACCAGTAATGTCCCCATGTCGGAACATTGAACTCATAGTCTAGGCTGACACTGACTGAGAGCGTTGAGAGATGCTGTTCAGATGGATGTCGACAATCCTATGGTGCTATTCAAAAAGAGAAGAGAGTTTCTCCCTCTTGGTTTCCTGGTTGACAATCCTCAGATTAAATCAGTCAATCTGATTTATCTGATCTCAGTGGGATATTACTATGTGCAATTTGGCTGCCACATTCCTCTACAAATATACAGGCACTCCACTCCACAGTAAATCCTGTAAGGTGTCGTGATGTGGTAAAAGCAAGGATTGTTATTATCTACCCATCTGCATCTGTCTATCATTCATCCTAATTGATTCCATGTAGACCTGTCCACTCCCTCCACTCAACAGACTCTGGCCACCATCGGCGATCGGGCCTTCAGCCTTTCTGTCCCCATCCTTTGGAACTCCATCTGATAGACCTCCACCTCCCTTGCCTCCTTCAAGGCCCATCTCAAAACCTTCCTCTTCGACAGCGCCTTTGGTCATCTTCCTACCCCCACCCTCCCTGCCCTTCACCCCTCCTGATTCCAACCCCCAGCTCGGGTCAAAATCCCTAACTGTCCAGCGACTTGGGACATCCTCCCGACGTGAAATGGGCTGTGTAAATGTAATATGTTGTTAATGTTGTGTATTTTGGTGCCTCTGAACAGTGCTGTCTCACTCTATCACAGCCTCAGTGTGAAGGAAGACATTGCCTGATGTCTCGCCTCCTGTGTTCTCTGCAGGGATTCACTGTGGCCGATACATCACCTCACACGGGTTGGCACTGAACTGCAATGTGGACCTGGGCTGGTTCTCGCACATCACGCCCTGCGGCATCACGGGCAAGGGCGTGACCTCCCTGAGCCGGGAGCTGGGGAGGGCAGTGAGCGTGACTGAGGCCGTCCCACCCCTGCTCCAGGCCTTTGCTGAGAGATTCAACTGCACACTGGTGGCGATGGAGACCACAGCCCACGTGACCTAGTCCACTCCACACTTCTCCCCGATTACTGCTCTCGGACAGGGTCACCGAGGAGAGATGGAAATATTGGGAAACCAGGAAATAGAACCAGGACGCCCAAGAAATGATCTCGTTTTTTTTGCCCAGCCGGGTATCTGACACATGGGGAAACCCATCACCATGCTTAAGAGTCTCCAAACCAAGCTGAGAATTTCATGCATCCCACCTATATATGGAAATCCCAGAGATAGATTGTTGGAATGGAATGCTCACTCTATTCTTAGAGGGACGCATCCCGCTTACCTAATTCCAGAGAGTATTAGGCGCAGGATGGCAAGAGCCAAGGCTTGGGGAGACCCTAGAGTGTGCATTGGGGTAACTGCCATTTGTTAAACTCTCGCTTTGAAAGCTATTATCGAATCTACTGCCACCACCCTTTCATGCTGTGCATTCCAGACCGTAACAACTCTCTGGGTTTAAAAAAAAATAAGTCCCGTCTGTGCCTGTTCAGGTGAATGTTAAAGATCCCGCAATGCTCTTTGGAAAGAAAAGGGAGTTTCTCCCTGCGTGCTGACCACAGATCAGTTGGTTATTCATGTCACAGCTATTTTATAATAATAATATTACAAATCCTTCCTTGCATTTGAAATAAATATTAATAATTTGGTTACTCAATCCATGACTGTTTGTGGGATGCTGCTGTGCGCAATTCGCTGTTGTGTTTTACCCACAAAATATACAGTCAATTCACTTTACAGTATATTCTGTGAAGCGCTTTGAGATGTCTCGGAAGACGTGAAAAGCACTATACCAAATGCAAGGATTATTATTATACAGCGCCTTCTCACGTCATTGAGACATCTCCAAGTACCTCAGAGAATATACTGTAAAGTGAATTGACTGCATTTTGTGGACAAAACCCGGTGGCCAATTGTGCACAGCATCTCAAAGCGTCTCGAAGAGGTCTTTATGGGGCCTTGCTGTGCACAAAATAGCTGCCGTGTTTGCTGACAAATCTCCATATTAATTACTGTAATAAGCTTTGGAACACTGACATTGATAAGATCCTATAAAAATACAACTTCTCATATAAGCTTGAGATCAACCAATCCCTTCCTTCTACTGGTCTTGTTCTCAGAGTTGACCTTTGCTCAGCCGTCAATTAAGCTATTTATAGCAGGTATTCCGATAAACACGTGATTGCAGGTGAAGCGGAACCGGCCTTAACTCAGAAACACATGCCACGATCTGTCCGCAGGTAACCTCATCGGGGCAGGACACCGTTTCCAAAAGTGTTGAGAATCTTTAATGTTATAATAAGAACAATAATCCTTACATTTGATACAAACAATAGCTGACTCAAAGCGTGCCACAGAATATACTGTAATGTGTAGTGACTGTGTGTTTTGTGGATGAAACACAGCAGCCAACTCCTATAACATCAAGACATTTCAATGGTCCCAGGTGCTTATCCAGTATGAGGCCTGTAGTGTAGTAACCTACAAGCGCTAACCTCACAAGCGAGATACCTGGGTTCGATTCCCAGGCTGGGTGAAACCTTAGGCAAGTTTCTTTACTCCACACGCCTCTGTTTACCTAGCAGTAAGTAGGAACCCTCGGCTACTGTGTTTCCACAAAACACACAATAACCACGCAAAGTAGAGTGTAGAGTGCCTAACAATGGATGAGCCTGACCTAGAGCTCGGTGCGGGGGGGCCCACAAAATACAGTCACTACACTTTACAGTATATCCTGTGAAGCGCTGAGGCATCCCAACGACATGATAAGGTGCTATATCAAATGCAGGGATTATTATTATTTTCCCCCACCCCTGAACACAGCTTCAACACCATTGCCTGGACACATAGCGCCCTGTGGGAGGGACTCAAATAAGAGAGCGCTTTTAGAGGCATAAAATTCCACCTGTCTTATCCTATCAGACCTTTTTTGTCTTAAACTTTAAAGACGTACTTGATTGTGTCAGGAATAAGATAGCAGAGGCAGGTTCACCACATCACCCACTCAGCCACTCTTCAGACCCAGAGTCCAGAAGGCATTTGCTTTAAGCTGCTCCTAGCTATGTAAGTCCTGCACACAGCTGGGCTCCCACACACTTCACCTGGGCTCCGTGATATCCAGCTGTTCTTTTGCTCCTGAGCCACTGCCCTGTTTCAGGAGCCTTTCTGCACCAGTTCCCAGGTCAGTGTGGTATACAGCACATCAGCCAAACTAAAGCCACATCGCTGCACTCATCCAGCCCAGTGAAGTTCCTCTCTGTTCAATCATCTTAAAGGTATATTTTACCACACCTTGCACTTAATATAGCGCCCTCACACAGGATAGTGTCTCAGAGCGCTTAAAAAGGAATTATTTTTTAACACAAACTCTATACACAGACTATCCACAGCAAATATCATTAGAGCAAGGTACAGCGTTAATAAAAAAAAGTTGTCCGTGATGGTACCCAGTTATTAGTCGATTGGCAGATCGCTTTCTGGGGTAAGAATCGCTTACAAAAAAGTGGTCACTCAATCCAATTTGTGGGACTTTGTGCGCAATTGGCTGGTGGGTTTCAGGGATTATTATTATAATATTATACTATATTATATTACTAGCCTTTCTTGAGAATTGGGCCTGTGAAACTGGGATCTGAGAACATGAACCAACCCCTGGAAGAGAGACTGCTGTCTGTGCTAGAGCAGCTGAACGAGACGTTACACAAGCTGGAGGAGGGGGTGGCGGTGCCCCTGGCTGTCGCTCAGCAGGAGGGAGACTCTGTGATTTACGTGGGCTTTGTGCTGGCGATCTTCGCATTCCTGGTCTGCTGTCTGATCCTGGAGCACGGGAAATCAAACCGGACACGGATCCCGATCGAAGCCTATTCACAGCCCTCGAAAAAAACCCTCATCTTTACTAACCAGACCGTCCACTCCCACAGCGGCAAGTGAACCATATCATTCACATCCCGGGACTTGCTCCACTCCTTTCTCTCTCGCTATTCCCTCTTTGAACCCCTCCAATCCGGCTTCCACACTGCACACAGCATGGAAACAGCCCTGGTCAAAGTCACTAATGACATTCTGAACATCTGTGATCAGGGCTCCCTCTGCCTCCTTGTCCTCCCGACCTCTCTGCTGTCTTCAACACTGTTAACCACTCCATCCTCATACACCACCTCCCCTCTTTTCTTAACCTTCGCAGACCTGCCCTTGCCTCCACTTTGTTGCCTCTAACGGTTTCTTCTCCAGCCCCCACACTGTCACGTCTGGCATCCCCCAGGGCTCTGTCCTTGGACCTCTCCTCTTTAATATCTATATGCTCCCCCTCGGGGACATCATCCGCAGACATGGGGTCAACTTCCACATGTATGTGGATGACACCCAACTTTCTGCCTCCACCCTCAACTCCAAGACCACTGCTGTCCTGACAGACTGCCCGTCAGACATCAAGTCCTGGATGAGGGCAAATTTCCTACAGTTGAATGTGAACAAGACTGAGGCCCTCCTGATTGGCCTCTGCACCTCAGGCTCTGGCAACATCAACCTCCATGGTGTACACTACAACTCACCGCCAGTCAGGAACCGAAGTGTCTTGTTCAACCCTCAACTGTCTTTTCTTCCCCAAATCCAAGCCACAACCCACTCTGCCTTCCCTCACCTCCGTAACATCGCCCGACTCCACCACTATCTCACCCCTCAGGCCGCAAACTCTTGTTCATGCCTTCATCACCTCCAGGCTCGACTATGCAAATGCCATGCGTGTCGGCCTTCCCAACTCCTCCCTCCACAGGCAGCAGATAATCTGTGTCCTCTCCCGCACCAAACTCTGTGACCCCATCTCCCTCATTCTCGCCCGACTCCATTGGCTCCCTATCCTTCAGAGGATCCAGTTCAAGATCCTGGTCCTCACCTACAAAGCCCTCCACGGCCTCGCCCCACCCTACCTCTGTGACCTCCTAACCCCCTACCAACCCGCCCGCTCCCTCCGCTCAGCCGGCTCTGGCTGCTCCACGTTCCCCGCCCCACCCGCCTCACCATCGGCGGGAGAGCCTTCAGCCACTCTATTCCCAGCCTCTGGAATTCCATCCTCGGCCTCGCCCCCTCCTTAGCCTCCTTCAAGTCCCGCCTCAAGTCTCTTCCTCTTCGACGATGCCATCGGCCACCCCCCTTCCCCTCCCCTCCCTCCTCCCTCCTTGACCCCAGCTCGGGTCTGAAATGCTGTACACTGTCCAGAACCTTGGGACGTCCTCCCGACGTGAAAAGAGCTGTACAAATGTAATCTTGTTGTTGTTGTTGTTGTTGCTTCCAGACATGTTTCTCTGCCGATACCTTTCTGTACTTTCTGCAGCTTTGAAATTCCCACCTTCCCTGTCAGTGTCCCACTTCCCTTTGGACCAGAACTGCGGAGGAACAGCTCAGTGTGACTTCTGGATATCCTATGTGTGTCCCAGGACCGTCTGTACGTGTGTGTGTGTGTGAGTGAGTGTATCAGTGACACAGATCGGGTGTCCTGTGTGTGTGTGTGCGTGCGTGCGTGCGTGAGAGTGTCAGTGACACAGATCGGGTATCCTGTGTGTTTGTGAGTTGTCAGTGACATAGATCGTCCACAAAACATAGTCCTGTAGCTCAGTGGTTAGAGCACTTGCTTTGCAAGTGAGAGACCCGAGTTCAATCCCCGGCAGGTCAGGGGGAAACCTTGGGCAAGTTTCCTTACTCCACACAGAGCCTAATAATAATCCCTCCAAAACCCAAAACAATAATAAATTGGTCATATTCAATCTACGATTGTTTGTGGGACATAGCTTTGCGCAATTGGCTGCCGCGTTCGCCCACAAATATACAGTTAATTCACTTTACAGTGTGTTCTGTGAAGCGCTTTGGGACGTCCTCCCGACGTGAAAAGCGCGATATCAAATGCGAGGATTATTATTATTATTACTGTCCCGTGTGTGCGTACGTCAGTGATACAGATCGGGACTGTCCTGTGTGTGTGCGTGTATGTGTGTGAACATAAGAATTAGGAGCAGGAGTAGGCCATTCGGCCCCTCGAGCCTGCGCCACCATTCAATAAGATCATGGCTGATCTATTCTAACCCCACCTTATCCCCATATCCCTTAATCCCTTTATCCACTAGAAATCTATCAATCTCAGTCTTGAATATGTTCAAGAACTGAGCACCTACAGCCCTTTGGGGTAGAGAATTCCATAAAATTCAGTGGCCAGTGGCCCATAAAATTAAACCCCTGTGTTCCGCACCACTCCCTCAGCATTTAACTCTCTAATTTGCTTATTCCTGTACCAATTTGCACATGTCAAAGGCAGCAATCCTGATATCACTACCTTTGATGTTCTTTGTTTTAATTTAGTTCCCAGCTCCTTGAACTCCCTCCTCAAATCATCACAACTAACTGAGTTTGTCAGTGACACAAATCATGACTGTCCCGTTGTGTGTGGGTGTGTGTTTGAGTGTGTCAGTCACACAGATCGGGTCTGTCCTGTGAATGTGTGTGAATGTGTCAGTGACACAGATCGGGACTGGTCTGTGTGTTGTGTGTTTGTGTGAGTGTGTCAGTGTCACAGATCGGGACTTTCGTTTCATCCACAAAACATAGTCCTGTAGCTCAGTGGTTAGAGCACTCACTTTGCAAGTGAGAGACCTGAGTTCAATCCCCGGCAGGTCAGGGCGAAACCTTGGGCAAGTTTCCTTACTCCACACAGAGCCTAATAATAATCCCTCCAAAACAAAACAATAACAAATTGGTCATTTTCAATCTACGACTGTTTGTGGGACATTGCTGTGCGCAATTGGCTGCCGCGTTCGCCCACAAATATACAGTCAATTCACTTTACAGTGTGTTCTGTGAAGCGCTTTGGGACGTCCTCCCGACGTGAAAAGCGCTATATCAAATGCAATGATTATTATTATTATTATAGTCAATTCACTTTAAAGTCAGTTAACAAGTGGGTTCCTACTTACTAGCATGTGGAGTAAAGAAACTTGCCTAAGTTTTCGCTATGCCCGGGAATTAAACCCAGGTTCCTCCTGCTTGTGAGACGAGTGCGCTAACCGTGCTTAATACCACTGTCCACTGTGACATCCCTCCCCTAACAAACACCCTGTTTCCTTTGCTTCAGCCAATTCTGAATCCATGTCCATGCCTTGCCTTTGATCTCCAGTGAGTACCGTTTGTGAAATAAATTTTTATGTCATATTGTCAAATGCGTTTGAAAAGTCTAGATAAACTACATCTTACCGGCTTCCTGGAGGCAATCGGGGCTGTCACCTCCTCAAAAAAATCTATGAGATTGGTACTTCATCAATGGAAGTTATGTATGAATTAAAGCTGCTGTTGGCAAAATGTCCAGCAGGTGGCACCATTACTTACACTGTCAGTGTTGTTTTCAGCAGTGTCCTTCACCCTCAACCGGCTGGGAGTGGGAAGGGGAAAGATGACCGAAAGTGTGCTCAAATACAACAACAAAATTACATTTGAGTAGTGCCTCTCACGTCGGGACAAGGCGCTGGACAATCAGTGGTTCGGACCCGAGCTGGTGGTCGGGATCGGGGAGGGTGGAGAGCAGGGGGGGATGTAGGCATGGATGAAGAGGGTCTTGAGCTGAATCTTGAAGGAGGGGATGAGGCGGAGGAACTGCAAGATGGAGTTCCAGAGGGTGGGGGCAGAGTGGCAGAAGGCCCGCCCGCCAATAATAATAATATGGCGCCTTCCAGCATGAAGGTCAAGTTGTTGTTCCCTTATCACAACGTTGAGACATCTTAAAGTGTTTCACAGGATATACTGTAGACTGTGTATTTGTGGGCGAACCGCGGGAGCCAGTTGCTTACAGCAATGTCCCACAAACTATTTTGGAGAATTATTGGCCAGGACACCCGGAAGAAGCACCCTTCTCTTTTCAAATAGTGCCACGGGATCTTTCATATCCACCTGAACAGGCAGATGGGATCTCAGTTTAACATCTCATCTGAACTGCGTAACTTGCCATTGAGGCTACTGAGGGCAACTTTCCTGCTGCTAGTCCAGCGAAGACCACCCGACCGTTAGGGCTTTGGCTTGAAGGGTTACCAGGAGCTGAGTGGGTGGATTTCCTGACTCCAGTGACTGGTCTGCCTTTCCAGGTCCTACCGATGAGCCAGGCTGACAGTGCTGTCACCTGCAGTGAAGTACTGTCGACCAGCCTGGGCTCAGCAACCGGACGAGAGACTGCCATCGAAGCTCCCAGACCATCACCTTGGAGCCTGTGGTCGCTCCCCTCCCCAGCCAGGAGGATGGAGGGGTACGAAGAGGGGAATTTAATGGGTCGAAACTCATGGAGTATAATTACATAATAATAATAATAAACATAATCCCCTATACCCCTTTAAACAGGATGGGCAAGAGTGGAGAGCTTGACTGAATAATATTTCTATGGTCTTGTGTCTGCTGCTGAAGAGGAAGAAACTCTAGGTCCCGGCGTGCACTGAGCGGGCGCGCAGTGCCTGTCGGGAGATGTTGTCTTGCTGGGAAGTGGTGGATGTCGGCGGCACACCCAACTACAGCTCCCGTGAGGCACCGCGAAGGAGCCGGCGCCTTTTGCGATGCCTCACGGGAGATGCAGTCGGAGGACTCGCGGCTTCAACTACAAATCCCGGCGGTCAGAGCGAGCGCACGCGCAGACTGAACACAACAAAGGGGGCAGTCGGTGCGCGCGAGCGAACCTGACAGCGACCGTTGGCTCAGCGCCCGTCCGTCACCCGCCGCCGTTTGCGGTGTCTTCCTCGGGAGAGAGACTGACAGAGAGAGAGAAGAGGGGAAAGAAGCAGATAATGGGAGAACGGGTGAAGGACGAGAACGCGAACCCGCTGGCGGCGCAGCTGGAGCCGGAGCTGCGGGACGCCGTGTGCCGGTGGCTGTGCTGGGACCAGGTCAGGCGCCTCCCCTCACACCGCCCGCGACAGGGTGAGGGGCGGGAGGGGGGTGGGTGGGGTGAGGGGCGTGAGGAGCGGGTGAGGGGCGGGAGGAGCGGGTGAGGAGCGGGAGGAGCGGGTGAGGGGGTGGGGTGAGGAGGGGGTGGGGTGAGGGGGTGGGGTGAGGGGGGGTGAGGGGCGGGTGTGAGGGGTGGGTTGAGGGGCGGGTGAGGAGGTGGTGGGGTGAGGGGTGAGGGGGGGAGGGGTGAGGGGGGGGTGGGGTGGGTGAGGAGGGGGGGTGGGGTGGGGTGTGAGGGGGGGGGTGTGAGGGGGGGTGGGGTGAGGGGTGTGAGGGGGTTGGGGTGAGGGGTCTCAGTGCACAATAATAATGATGATAATCCTGGCATTATTATGGAGCAGATAAGAGTGAACAGAGGTGGAACTGAGTGAGAATTCTGTTAAGGAATTTGGTGAGAGTGGGAATTTACTGCAGACTGCCGAGGTGCAGAATTATAAAATATATAATATTTATATTAAAATAATATAAAACATGTCTGGAATATGGTAGGGCAGCTGAGACCGGTGGCATGCACAATGTGTGGCACGTGTGTAGGAAGTGCTACCAGCTACTCGAGCTTCAGCTCAGGGTTTCTGAGCTCGAGGAGAGGCTGAAGTCACAGCATAGCATACGAGAGGCTGAAGAGTACATGGATCAAACATCTCAGGAGGTCAACACCCCACAGCCACAAAGGGTTCAGCAGGAGAGTGTGTGGGTGACCAGCCGCATGGTAGGAAGAGGGGATGGGCAGTGCAGAAATCCCCTGAGAGTGTGGCACTCACAAACCAGTTTCTCTGTACTGATTACCGGTCAGGGTGATGATACCTCTGGTCAGGGGAGTCAAAAGCAAATGGATGCACAGGGGAACACAGGAAGAGTGTCAGTGCAATTATCATTGGGGACACAACGGTGAAAGGAGTAGACAGACGTTTCTGCAACCAAAGACGTGACTCTCACATGGTATGTTGCCTTCATGGTGCCGGGATTGAAGACATCATGGAACAGGTGCAAAACATTCTACAGGAGAAAGGGGAACATCCAGAAGTTGTGGTTCATAATTGGGATCCATGATGTAGGGGAAAAATGGGCTGAGATCCTACTGGGAGGAGCTAGGGAAAAAGCTTAAAGACAAGGACCTCAAAGGTGGTGATCTCTGGATTACTCCCAGTGCCTCGTGCAAATGAGTATCAAAACAACAGGATCGAATGCATGGCTGGAGAAATGCTGCAGAAAGGAGAGCTTCAGGTTCCTGGATCATTAGGACCACTTCTGGGGCAGGTGGGATCTGTACAAGGTGGATGGGTTACACCTGAACAGGGCTGGGACCAGTGACCTCGCAGGGAGGTTAACTGGTGCTCTGGGGAAGGGTTTAAACTAATTTTGAGGGTGGAAGCGAATCAGGATGCAGCATCAGAGAGGACAAACAGGGAGCTGGGAGGGCCGAATAGCAATGTAATAAGGAGTAGTCCAGGAAAAGGAGGGATTAGCTGGGGGAGAAATGAGGAACAGACGAAGTGGTCTTGGAGTGCATGTGTGTAAATGCACGAGTGTGACAAATAAGCTTGGTGAGCTGCGGCTCAAGTTGCCACCTGGGTTTAAGATGTAGTGGCAATAACAGAGACCTGCTCAAACAAGGGCAGGAATAGGAACTGAATCTTTCTGGCTACAATTCAGGAGGGATAGGGAAGGAAAAAAAGTAGGCGGGTGGAATATTGATTAAAGTCACGGTTACGGCTCCTATACATTTGCAATTTTGTTGTTGTTGGAAAGGGACGATGTGCTGGGGATCCAAAAACAGAATCTATTTGGTTAGAAGTAAGGAGCAAAAAAGGAGCGGTTACTCTGTTTGGTGTATACTAGAGACCACCAAATTGTGAGAAGGAGACACATGAGCAAATCTGCAGCAGATTTCAGAAAGATGCAGTAATAGAGTATAATGGGGGACTTAAATTATCCTGACATAGACTGGCAAAATAACAGTGTAAAGAGGCAAGGAGTGGGAGGGATTCCTGAAATGTGTGATGGATAACTTTCTCGATCAGCATGTTTCCAGCCCAACGAGGAAGGAATCAGTGCTGGATCCTTCTGGGGAATGAAGTAGGACAAGTGGAGCAGGTTTCAGCAGGAGAGCATCTGGACATCAGTGATCATGAGGTTTAGAGTACTTACGGAAAACGAGCAATCAAAGGTGAAGATACTCAATTGGAACAGGCTAATTTCAGTGAGTTTAAAAACGGACCTATCCAATGTGGACTGGAAAGAAAGATTGGCAGGTAAACAACTAATGAGAAATGGGAGGTCTTCAAGGAGGAGATAGTTTCGGGACACAAGAAATACATTCCCACAAAGTAGGTCATCCAAATCTCCCTGGATAAATAGGATTAGGATTAAAACAAAACAGAAAAGGGAGGTTTATGATAAATGTCAGGTCCAAAATACAGGGCGTTTTACCCACATATATACAGTCAGTTCACTTTATTCTGTGAAGCGCTTTGAGACGTTGAGAAGACATGAAAAGTGCTATGTCAAATGCAAGGATTATTATTATTAAGATAATCAAATAGAATATAGAAAGTACAGAGGAGAACTGAAAAAGAAGGGGCAAAGAGATTGTGTGAGAAAAGATTAGTGGGTAACATAAAAGGGAATCCTAAGGTATTTTATAATCATATAAAGAATAAAAGATTAGTCAAAAGTAGGGCGGGTCCTAAGAGAAAATCTTCTTGTGGAGGCAGAGGGCATGACTGAGGTACTGAATGAGTGCTTTGCATCTTGTCTTCACAAAAGAAGAGGATGCAGCCAATGCCACAATATCAGAGGAGAGGGTAGATCTATTGGATAAGATAAGAATAAACTGAGAGGAGATATTAAAAAGTTTGACGCTGCTCTAGGTAGATAAGTCACCCGGTCCGGATGGGATACATCCTAGGTTACTGAGGGAACTAAGGTTGGAAAGTAACGGAGGCACCTTTGAGCGGAGAAGGTTAAGAGGAGACTTAATAGAAGTTTTAAAAATTATGGGGTGATTCAATAGGGTGAACAAGGAGAAATTATTTCCACTAGCGGTAACCCGATGATACCAATTTAAAATAGTTGTTATTAGAAACAGAGGGGAGGTGACGAGAAATTTTTTCACACAACGAGTTGTTCGGATTTGGAATGCAACAGCAACAACAAGATTTTCATTTATAGAGCGCCTTTCACGTCGGGAGGTTGGTTCGGGACCCGAGCAGGGGGGGATATGGTCAGGGTGAGGGGAGGGAAGTGCATTGCCTGAAAGGGTGGTGGAAGCCAATTCGATAACAACTTTTAAGAGAGAAGTGGATAATTATTTGGTGAGAGTGCAGGGGAATGAGATTGATTTGGAAGCTCTTTTCAAAGAGCCAGCACAGACACGATGGGCTGAATGACCTCCTTATGTGCTGTATAATTCTATGATTCTATGATTTGATACAGATCTTGTCACATCTTCAAGACCTCTCAAAATGCTTCACCGGATATATTGCAAAGTGTAGTGACTGTGTGTTTTGTGGGCGAAATTTTAAACAAACAAGCAAGATGCTTACCTCCCCCCAGCTCAGAGTGCGGCTCATCCACTGTTAAACACTCTGAGACTCTGAGGTGGGTAACCTGGTCGAAGACGAGGGTCTTGAAGGAAGCAAAGGAGGGGGCGAGGCGGAGGCACCGCGGGATGGAGTTCCAGAGGGTGGGACAGAGTGGCATAAGGTCCACCCACCAATGATGGGGCAGACGAGGCGAGAGACATGAAGCAGGCTGGAGAGGCCAGGTTAGTAGTGGGGCCATGGAGGGCTTTGAAAGTGAGGACCAGGATCTTGAACTGTATTCTCTGTGTGATGGGACACCAATGAAGTCGGGCGAGGATGGGTTTGATAGGAACGCGGAGTCTGGTCTGGGAGAGGACCAGAGGTAAAGTTGTGTATCATCTGCATACATGTGGAAATTGACCGCATGTTTGCAGATGATGTCACCATGAGGGAGCATATGGATATTGAAAAGGAGGGGACCAAAGACAGAGCTTTGAGGAACACCACATGAGATGATGTGAGGAGAATCCGTTTGAGGAGATGAAATTGAGGCGGTGTTAGAATTAGACAGTAGAGGACATTTATCAGTTGTAAGTTGTAATTTTCACTGCTCACGTCTTACTTACAAGGGACATCAAAGAACAACAACAAAATTACATTTGGAGGACGTCAGGGATCAGGACTCGATCGTGGGGGGTGCAGGGTTGGGATGAGAGAGGGCAGAGGGGATAAGAGGGTGGCCGAAGGCACGGTCAAAAAGGAGGGTCTTGAGTCGTGCCTTGAAGGAGGCAAGAGAAGGAACAAGGCTAAAGGATTATGAGATGGAGTTCCAAAGAGTGGGAGGCTGAAAGCCCGGCCACCGATGGTAAGGTCGGTCAAGCGGGAGACCTGGAGCGGAGGGAGCGGACAGGTTGGTAGGGGTTCAGCGGGTCAGAAATATAGGAGGGGGCAAGGCCATGGAGGGCCCTGAAAGTGAGGATAAGGATTTTGAATTCTATCCTCTGAGGGATGGGAAGCCAGTGGAGCCGTACGAGTGTGGGACTGATGGCGTCAAGGAGGCTGGTTCAGGAGAGGACACAAGCTGCAGAGTTCTGGATAATCTGTAGAAAGTTGTTTCTCATCCAGGGACTTGATGTCAGACAGACAGTCTGTCAGGAAGTCAGTTGTCCTGGAATCGAGGGTGGAGGCAGAGAGGTAAAGATGGATGTCATCTGCGGAAGTTGACCCCATGTCTGCGGATGATTTCACCAAGGGGAAGCATGTAGAGGTTGAAGAGGAGGGGACCGAGGATAGAGCCCTGAGGAACACCACACGAGACTATGCGGAGGCTGGAAGAGAAACCGTTGGCGGAGCCAAATTGGAGACTGTGTGAGTGAGGAGACCTGAACCATTCAAGGACAGAGCGGTGTAGGTTG